TCAGAATAAATCGGTCGATCCACGATATGTTGCCAACCCATCAAATATATCTTCGGACCCCTTCGATTCTGACTTCTGATTTCACTAGGTGGGTACGATTCATAGTAGGTGTTACTGGTTTAAAGGTTTTCAAACTCCAAATACTTGTGGCATCTTCATAAGTGAGCCTATCGTGATCTGGTACAACAGCTTACAAACTGTGAGTCTGTTCCTTTTTGGAATTTCGTAAATCATTGCTTCATCTTAATTTTTATATATTGTGATATGCCAATTACTGGCATAGACCTGCTACAACACCACGATCTACTAATTGATACACGCAAACAAAGGCTAGTAGACGGAAACACTAAGTTATCTGTTCGCGTAATTTCTTTCTCCGGTTGCGGATTATCCCTAGTCACAATCAGGCACACAATAGATCCATTCTATAGACTATTACTTGGCAAGTACTCTGAGACATACCAACCGCAACCGAAATGGCCGTGTGTTACACATCACGTCACGACTATAAAATCACCTGTATTTTCGGAAGCACGCCGACTAGCTCCAGAAAAGCTGAGGTTGGCCAAAATCGAATTCGATCACATGAGAGATTCAGGAATCATTCAACCATCAAACAGCCCATGGGCATCTCCCTTGCGTATAGTCCCTGATAAGGACAGCAATGACCGACGTCCAACTGGTGATTATCGGCGTCTGAATGCGAAAACCATTCCCGTTGCCCCACATTCACGATTTGACGGCTACCTTGAAAGGTACAGCTGTTTTCTCGAAAATCGACTTGGTTAAAGCCTATAAACAAATCCCTATGGCTACTGACGATATTCCCAAAACCGTTTTTCACAACTCCCTTCGGACTCTACGAATTCTTACGAATGACTTTCGGCCTAAGAAATGCTGCATAAATTTTCCCGAGATCCACCGATGACGTTTTCCGAGGTCACAATTTCGTACATGAGTATGTTGATGACTGCTTGATAGGAAGTCCAGACAGACAATCCCACCCCCAGCATCTGAACATTGTGTTCGAACGACTGCAAAAGCATGACATTACTGTAAACATCCAGAAATGTCAAATCGGAACCAACTCCTTAGATTTCCTAGAACACACTATTGATGCTCAAGGCATCCCACCTCCAAGAAGCTTAAATAAATACACAGTACTATACGGAGGGACGTGTTAAGCGTATACAGAGACCAGTAGCATTTGCAGTAGTGACTGCATATATAAAAATAGTGAGAAGGTTATTCAGACTTGCGCCTTTTTAGATCAGATAACTCCTTCATTGTTGATGATCTGGCTGATGAATTAGACCTTGAGGGAAAACGAAAAACGGTGTTTTTGAAGACTCTTGGTAATAAATAATAATATATTCTGAAAATAATATTTACAGAATTCACACCAGTTTACAGGCATGATCAGATTGATATAAATCATCATTGATATCCAAAGAAGTCCATCTAGTGTTGCACTCGCCAGACATTTTGTCATCGTTAAAGTGCAGAAAGTGATGACAGTCAAACAACTTTCGGCGGTTCACAGGACTGTGCTAACGGTGAATCAAATTGCAACCTAATCTCATTTAAAAGACATAAGCTTTCCGAGAGTAGAAGACGAGGATGTCAAATTGTTGATTGGGTCTAATGTACCAGGTGTACATGAGATGAAAGAGATGAGAACCGGAAAGGTGAATGAACCGTCTGCCGTGAGGACTATATTTGGTTGGACGCTGTTCAGCCCCCACAGGGAACTTTATAAAAGCAACCATGTACCTAATTACCTCTCAGATAAAGAGGAATTAGAGGATAAGTTCGAACAATTGTACTCAACCGAATTCAAAGATCCATTAAGTCGTACTGCATCGATGTCTGTAAAAGATCGTACAGCACTCAACGCTATGTCGAGTTCAGTGCCAATTTAAATGGGCACTATCAATTAGCTCTGCTTTTGATGCACGAACACAAGTTGCCTAATCAAAAAAATTAGCAGAGCGTAGGCTTAGCTGTTTGAATGGTCAACTTATTTGGGATTTGAAGTTTTTCCAGGACAATGTGAGCGCCATGACTCAGTATATGGAACGAGATTACGCCGAAAAGTTAAACGATAACCACGCTGATGGACGAACTTGGTATCTTCCTCATCACCCTGTTTTCCATCCCAAGAAGCCTAACAGGTTAAGAACAGTGCTAGATTGTGCAACCCAGTGTGCTGGAGCGTCTTTAAACATGAATCTTTATTTTGGTCCTGATTTAGTCAATAACTTAGTAGACGAGTTCACCAGGTTTCTAAAACGACCAATAGGTCTTACGGAGGACATAAAAGTCATGTTCCATCAAGTAGTAGTTTCGGAGCTTGATTGAGATACTCTTAGGTATTTGTGGTGGCCAGGTGGGGACTTAGAAAAGATGCCAGAGGTCTATAGAATGAAAGTCCATCTGTTCTAAGCAACTTCACCGCCATGTGGCGCCTTGCAGAAAACGATTTCTGATAATCAAGATAAATTTGCTAGGGTTGTTACGCAGTCAGCTAAGGATCAGTTCAATGTTGACGATTTTGACAGATTTGTCAGATTTTCTAATGAACTACCACGGTGATGAAGATTTTGGAAGCTACCTCGTGAAGTTGCGGAATGTCGAAATTTATCCCAGAAGAGCAGCTCGAGAAGTTAGGCCTCTTTACCCTGTTCTGCCGTTCCGTCGCCGCTCTCTTATTTCTGCATCTACATATCATCACCTAATACGACTGGTCAGGATTAGTTTAGCACGCTCATATATTTCTGATCCAGTTGGTTCGAGTGGATTTTTGAATATGAGATTCCTTTACTCAATGGAAGCTAAAGTAATATTTAAAATGCCGCTTGCTTGAATACTTTCAGAATCCACTTTTTATTTTATCCTGTAAATCTTACGAGTACTGACTCCTGTTACAATTTCCGGTAGTAGCTTGCTTATTCGAGATTTAATATGGCTTCGGTCGTGTTCAAACCTAGCCTTTAGCTCCTTTTCGGAAGACTCCTTTAACTTGTGGAAAATGACGGACCTCTGAAAGACTGTCATGATAAATTTCGGGGTTTTATTTCTCAAGCTCTTCTCATTCTCGTAGTCCGGCTAGGCAATAGATTTTTTAAACACTGCTGTTAGCCAATCACTGACTTTATTTTGTTTCCAAGCTTAATCTACAACTTGTGGATTTTGCTATGACTTAGTCCGTGATGAATTGATGTGGGGTTCTGTAATTAAATCCATCGACTCAAATATTTTGGAGCTCCCTGTAATTTGTCTCTTCCTTTCGCACACGTTCTTTCTCCTTGTAACCTTTCCTGCATGTGTGCTTATCATCTACAATGTAATGGGAGGTCTACTTATATTACTTTGTCCAAACTGAAAGCCGAATTTGTGATGAAGCCTATTGTTTCATCAAGACCTGGCAGCTGCTTATCTACGGGTTGTTGTTTACCCGGTGGGAGGTTTCTAGCTGTGTTTAGCAGCTAAATCGTCTCGAGAATCAGAACGCATTTGGTAGAGCAGCATGCATTGGATGGCCAACGTGGTAGTGGTTTTCAACACCTCTTATATGCAGTCACCGTGAGTTCTGTGCACACACTGTGATACCACTTGTTTGAGTTGTCACATTATGTTCAATTGTATACAATGAACGTTGATGATCTATGTCGAATGGTTGGAGGCCTACTCGAGTTAGACGGGAACGGTGTGACGGACCAGCTAACTTCGAAGTCATACCTCGCGGTAAGCATCTAACATGGATTACCCGTTTGACGTATCAAAGTGCTATGGCGGCTTTGAAGACTGTATAACACAAAGGGAGTGATTACGTAAATATATTAGTAAGAATGAGTACAGCTATGTTAGTCAGACCACCAACGCATGGGTCAGTCCATGGCGTATGATTAAGTGATGCGCGTTTATTGTTTTTGACTTTAACAGGGATCGACGATCTGTTTGATATTCAGTGACCCAACTGCCGAGTGATATGGCTAGGGTTCAGTGATAATTCATTGCCCCCACACTATCATCTACTAGAAAGCATGTATGTTTGCCACAACGATGTTCTGTCCGGACAATTCGAATTGCTAATTAGAAACAGAAAACAAAAATTTTGGCGGCACCGAAAATAAGAGCGAAAGCAGAAATAATTTATGGAAAAAGTCCTGCAAAGTCTGAAGATGATGGACATGGAACACTGAACAGTCGTACTCATGAAGGGAGCACGTAAAACCTGATGCACAAGTGAAATGGTTCGTCCGCTAAATGGGAACTACCTGGTAAATCCGAAGATATCACCAGTACTGTAGTTTGACAATACTTTACCAGTAACACCTATAATGGAATCTCACCCACTCAGTAAAATCAAAAGTCAAAAGCGAGGAGGTTGGAAGATATATTTGATGGGTTATCAATATATCGAGAAGTGACTGATCTAATCTGGCTAATGATCATAGGAGATGTTTCACACGCCGTTCTGAAACGTGATCTGCTACGGGGGCATGACCGAGCGCCTTCAGCTAAATGAGTCCACTAAAACTAATAAGGTCAGCATCTAATGTCAAACACTTGCAGAGCTATTGATTTTGGCGATTTATTTATAGCTACAAGTCTTTTTTCTGCACTGACGATATGAGTACAACCCAATAAACCAAAGTTGAAATGACATTATCGAGAAGTTTATTACTAGTACGATATCGTAGCTAAATATTCGGTCTTGGTAAGTATAAAAGTAACTTCCAAGTTTTTGGGACATAATCAAAACTCTAAGACTTACTCAGCAAGGAAAAAGTACCGCTTTTTACTAGGGAGGAATGGCACATGTAACTGACACAGTTAAGCGAGCAAAAGTATATCAAGTAGAAAGAAGTCAATCAAGAACTGCCAAAATGACTTGACAAAAAGCGTTTGTTCTCAACCAGTTTGAATGTAATATGTGGGGGCGAGACTAAAATTTATGAACGAGACAGTCAGAAGAGTCTGAAGGATTTCAAGGTCACAGCGCCAATTTCAGTACCTGGTGCTCATGTAAGGTCGGTCCTCAGGGGATTTTAGAGAAGACTTGACAATTGAATGGCTACAATATATGAGATTACTAAGAAGTCCCTTTACCTGGAATCGCGCAGACTGTCGTGATGTCCTGTGATATAACATTTTGAAACACCATAAGACGTTTGCTAGAATAGGGACCTTTTTCGCTCGATCCAGATTGAAACTAAGGCATATTATAACAATTGCCGCAAAATGTGTAATAAAAGCACCAGTAACATTGGCTGCAATAATTGCAGATATCACAGAAACCTCGGCTGTTCAGTGGTATGAGTATTATAGGTACATATCAATAATAAAAATGATAAATTTACCCACCCGGAGTACACACAAACAATATTTAAACTATGTGGTGGAGGCCGAGAGGGTTTATGTGACCTTATCATGGTTCCAGAGACCGAGTACTTCGGAGCGAAACTATGAGATAAACTTTAAAAATTAGCTTGGTGGGACTGGCAAACTACTATTTTATTGGAATCTTTGTCTGCGTGGTTGCTAAGCTTTCTCGTACTGAAGACAATGTTTTCATTTTTCTTCTGAAACTGACGGTTAAAGTAAGTCAGTTATTGATAATGAAAGTGGCCGTAGATTAGCTCTTAAGTAATCGCTCTTAGTACCTACGGAAACAAAATAAACATCGAGTTTTCTCATGATTCTATAGAAGTTGTTATTATTGTCTCTGGTAGGGACTTCCACGGTTCTCTAATTCTAACCACTGAAAAGTTTGTACATATTTCTGTGTGAGTTCGTTCATGTTATTTTATAAGTGGACATCCTCATCGGTGTAATTTAATACTGAGATGAATCGAGGGTCTGTTATGGTGTAGTGGACCATGAGGAATATTATACACCCGAATCATATTTCCCCTAATTCTTCTGTACTTTACAAGCTGGAAGCTTAGACTTTCCTGAAGATCTGCGTATGTATTTTTTTGTCCGAACACCTCTGTTGCTGCTCTTCTTGGAACACTTTCCAAGCGAGCACTATACTTATTAAAGTAGGACGATAACACAGACGTTTTTTCTAGATGAAGTCGGAAGTAAACACTTAAATCAGTTCTAAATGTTTCCGAGATTAGGTTCCCTAATGTTCTGGCAAGAAACTACAAGACAGTATGTTTTGTTAGCTTCAGAATGCCAGTGGGAATAGAGACGTGGGGTACTACACAGAGTGATGCCCCAGTTCTTTTACTATGGTGAGGAGCGTGATGTATGTATCACCCGAGAATTACTAAGTGGATAGATTACCTGTTGGGGATATGAAATCTCCAAATACAACTTGTGAGAAAAAATCAATATCGATTTAAGGTGAATTTATATTGAATATAAAGTCAACTTTCAACACATTTTCTTCTCATTACTTTGTGGACTTCCAATGGATTTTGGTTATGATCTGTGTTGACTGACAATGTCTCAGTTTATTAATCATGACGATTTTAATAGATATGTAGTTCATTAACCTAAATGTATTTTCTACTAGGAAGCTAGGGTTCTTACTCTAGATGTAGCGTGCAAGACAAGAATAGTAGTCTTGTCGTATTGACGTCGGAGTGGACAACTAGCAGACTACCACACGTATTTATCAGTATTAACATTGTTCATCAACATTCCAAATTTGGTGGTATTGGTAGGAAGGTGGTTTATGTTTCCCCAGTTCGGGGTTTTCTGATGAACTATGGTTTTCGATTATTGTTATGAAATTTAATGTTCTGCTTACTAGAACTAATCCTAGTTGCTCAGAATTCCATATTTTACGAAATATCTAGTACTAGACAAAACCACTATTGATACTATTAATATCAAAACACTCCTAAAGAGTTGAATGTGATTTGTTATTCAAATTTTCTTCCCATCTAATATGATATTTATTAATCTTTTCACTCATATTGTGAAAAGGAGTTTGTATGGTGACACCGTAGCTTCTTTCTAGATCGTTTTCAGTGACAATACCCATTCAAAGGCTGATAAATTTAGCTAAGGTATAGGAACCACGACAAGTCAGTGTTACTCACGTTCTTATAAGGTTTACAGGTATGAAAACTCCTTTTTTGTGTTATTTTAAGTAGTATAAATCTATGAGCTTGCTTTGGTTGGATAATTTAAGCCGTAGTATTTCTCAGTGACTTTTTCGAGTTATTATCCAGTCTAGTTGCCTTTTTCTTTTGAAATGTAAATTAATTGTTAAATAAATAAGAGGTTTCATAAATTTACTCCTGATTCGTTTTTGTTGAATAAAGGTTTTCAATAGTCTGATAGTTATTTTACTTTCGGGAGCAGAGTTCTTCTAAACATTCTTACATCACCTGTGTCCAGATCGTTGTATACTGAAGCTTACAAGATGACTGTACAGTTTGTGAGAGAATCGTTAGACACACCATTTCTTAAGAAATTTCGCAAACGTATTATTTACTGAATCGAATCCTTCAAACGATTAAATAAAAATAAAAGTGGCCACTACTTAGGACAGTTAGTCTAGATGATCGACCGCAAAATCACAACGGTCAAACATTAATGAAAACATAGTCTATATATGAAGGCCTTAAGGTATACTGGAATGTAGCTAACATCAAGCACAGTTGATTCCATGTTGAAATTTTCGATCTTTGAGTACGATTTATTTGTAAAACACTGGCGTTTTTAAGTTGATTTTCTGATATATATATATATATATATATATAACCGTAAGTGTTCGTATCCACCCCACAAAATCTTGGGAGAGATTTTGATCTAAATGTATTTACTGTCTTCCTATCCTTACAGCAATGTTGATTAGATACTAAGACACAAATCCATTAGGAATAACGTTAGAACAAAGAAATTTCACATCAAAAGTTATCGGGGCTGATATTGAGAACTACTAGTTTAGCTAAGTGAGAATAGTCTAGGTAGCTTTATCTTCAGTGCTTGGTTTTAATTAATTTGGTTCATTCTCATATGTTCTATAGAGTGAAGCACAATAATGTGTTCATAATACTGATTGTATATACCTCATAGTATAACTGAATTCCGTCTCTTTGTGCTTTCTTATCCTAAATGTTGTAAATTTTTGAGTTGATTGGAAAAACACCCGACTTTGTGTAGTTACATGTCGCCATAGCACCATTACACTGTGTGTTAATTTCTACAGTTTAGTATTTTAAATGAAGTAAAATATTCCCTAAACAATAGTAGTTGGCCTGAATGAACATGATCACTCATTCTGTTCAATTGTTTGCTTAGTTTTCAGTTTCCAAATTTTCCATAAACTTACGTTTAAATATATTGTGTATTTATTGGTCTGACATCGCAAAAGTTAGGTTCCACAATTTGAGTATATGGAAGAGAAAAGCCATTCAAGTGTTTCCGGTGCCTCATCAAAAAATGTAAAGAGTTGTAAATATCGTAACAATTATTCCAAGTTTATCACTTCAACTCCAATTAATGGTCAAAATCATCGGAATAATTCATTTGTAAAACAGGTGAGACCTTGTAGTCAATTCTGAAAGTAGTGTTAAATAAATATTTTGTCACTTAATATGATATATTAATCCGTGTACATCCTCGTTTAAGGGCGTATGTTGACCTTTTTCTGAGATGATGATAGTGGATAGAGTCTTTCCAGAGTTGTCTAGCATTCAATTTTTTTCTAGCTAATTCTGCGTAGTGCAGATCCATATACCCGATATCGAAACACACTCTCAGGGCAGAGAGGTTGTCAAGGTTATAAGTCTTCTTCAAAGCCCCATTGATAATTAGCATCGTAACTTTATTTGTTTAAACACATAAATATTGGTGCAAAGGGGTACCAGATATGTATGCTCCACACAAATCTCATTTGATTTGTGTGAGGGCTGTGATACTGCTCGGGTGCCCAAACCGAAGCAGAAACATCGTAACTACTCAATAGCTGAATGATGTAATCGGCTCAACAATAACATGGAGTGTTCAATAGGATTATTCAGATCATGCAATAGTATGAATTAAAATATGAAGGAGAAAAATATCTACTTGGTCTCTCAACAGACTAAAGTGTTGACTCAAAATTGAGCCACTTTCTTGTGCCATTCCAAAATGACGTATCATCTTGAATAAATCTAAAGAGAGGAGAGTTCAAAAACCTTAAGGATAGACGGTTTAATATTAAATAGTGATGAAAATGTTGGATGTTAATTTCAGGTCTGGGCTGGAAAACCGATACTTTGAGAACTAGGTACATCTAACTGACAAATCTGTAATTGGACAAAATATGTGTTCTGAATCCCACTGGAAATAATATTAAGGTATGCAATGGTAAATAACTGAATCACTGTACTTTTCTCCAGTTTTCAATGCTTATTCAATCAACGATAATTTTAAGCGTGCTAATTTCTGTTGTCGCTGAAGTACGTCACGTATAACTCAGCACTCAAGTCACAGCAGTAAAAAAATTTAGATTCATTTTGGGAATGAAATGATTTGAAGAAAATACTTAAGTCAGCTGAAAATTAAAAGCTTAAATAAGATAATACACTGTTTAGAAAAAAAGTCTCTAACTGTCGGTTTTAGTTGCCTTACGTAAACCAACTACAAAGCCTACATTTCTGTGTACAAATCAAATCACTAATGAGTGACTTAGATTCTATTTGTGTGTACATTAAATTCAAATGACAAAGACAGAATCCTATTTTCACTATTTTTCGTTATGTTTTCGATCTCTAAAGGGACTGATAGTATGTATTTCTAAAATTCCCCATTCTAGAACTGAACACTCGTTCAGTACTTTTCAGTTTCGATTGTCGTTTTGATTAATACAGATACCATTAAGAGAATGGCTGCATAAAATTTGTTAACTTCGTAAAAATGTCGAATTCTAAAACAATGTATTGTTTATTCTTTTTTATTTCAACACTTAGGAATCGAGGACCTCGTTTTCAGTGAATGAACGCCTAACAAGTTTATTAAATAAAATTCTTCCTTTAAAAAAGAAATGGAACACAAATTTTCACCAGTCATGTATCGTTTTCACAAATCTGGCTACACATATTTGTAAAATCCTGTCAGGTAAGTTTGAAAACATCGTAACTATTCCATTTTGAATTATGCCTAGTACTACATCTATGTATTCTTGTCCTAACCTAATCAGAATCTTCGCAGTTTAAGAGTTTGAGATTTTCCCAATGGATTCTGACCGTTTAAAAATCACATTAGTTTTTGACATGAGACTTAGTTTACATCAATGGACATCAATATCCCTCGGAATCCGTGGTAGGAATTCGTTTGTTTTGGCAGTCATATTTTCCCCATTCATCCTTAATTTAAGGTCATATTTAGGTTTTGAAATTATCGATAGAACTGATGTGACTATTACATTGGCATCGTCTATCCCTTCATGACGTATTAGTCGCAAGAGTTCTGAGTGATTAGTTTTACATTAAGGCCACAGTTTACCTCAGAGTTAGGTTGAATAAAATCGAAAGCCACACATCTTACCTTTCTAAGTTGACAATGTCACTAGGATGAATGAGAATTTTGAGATGGTATAACACTCAACAAGTAATCCGTAATCCTCCATATATCAATCAGTTATAACTAACACTGATGAGTGATCAGTGAAGTAAGATTTGATTAGCTACTGGATGTGAACGGGAAGACACTCATGTTTCCTCCTTAATATGTGGTTTCTTTTCTACCATTGCTTTCTACTCTGTACTCATTGAATGTAGACTGCTTGTGTGTTGAGTAAAGTATTATCTAGCCCATACTATGGACCTCTAATAATAGTCGTGAATTGTGTATCTTGTATAACATGGTACAGTCTGTGTGTAGCATATCGATTAAGCATCCAGCTTGGTGGTGTAATGAACAAAGACTTGGTTAGATTAAACCAAAATCACACGCTGCATTTATAAAATATGAATACATTGAATACACCATTTGTACATCTTCCTTGAATTATATCTTACAAGTTCCATCGTTCTTTCATTCCCGTTGCTACTCGGACTGCTTTTGCTTTTCTCTACTCCTTATGTTCCTCTTCTGTCAGTAAGAATCGTACTTCCAATTATTGGTACAAACTACTTATATCTGTCCGGGTAAGTAGTACACATCATAGTGGTAGTATAATTTCGGTCACTGGTCGTATTATCGTTAAATCGTAGTGTATTGAGGAAATAGAATGTATTTTTATGCTGTTGATATGTCAAAAGTAGGACCTGGTAAGAATATCGACCGGCTGAATATATATCAGTGGAACTACCGTTTATTTTTCAGCCGTAACCCGCTACTCATGTCATCACTCAATATGTTCTTGAAATGCAGTCACGTTTTGGATTGGTTGCCATTAACTTTTTTACAATGTATATTCACCTTTGCTTGTCTGAGTAGGGGATGACTAGGATTGTGTACAATATTTGTCAATCATCTCGATCGATGAAGTATTATGCTCATACCAGCCTACTTTCCATTACTATCTATTAATCTACACGAAACTTTAATACTACTCACTAAATGGTTCCATCATATCCCAGCGATGCTTTAGAGACATCAATAATCAAATATTTGTGGCTTACGTAAATGTCGTACTTTTATGGTCCATGCTTTACAGCTATGGATCAATAAACAAAGACTCGTTGCATAATATGTTTAGCTTTAAGAATTAGCCTATTCTAATCATTGTGTCTACTTAATGAAACTTAGATCACATGTACGTGATGTCATAAGAACTTATTTTACTTTTCTAGAGGTTAATGCTTATTATTTCATAATTTAGGTTCTGAGTGACTTGTTACACGTAATATTTAGTGTTATTCTCATTAGTTCTTTATCACTCTTGACTTGACTTTTCCTGGATAATATAAATTTCAGTCGAAACGTTGTTATCTAAAGATCTTTATTTCTCTGTTAGTTGTACTTTAGAATACTTGCCAGTAGGAGCTAACTCGTAAGCACCAATCATGAACTCTCAGTTTTCTGTAAATTTACAGTTAATAACCACCTCTAAAAGAAACTTCCAACTAGATTGATCAGTTCTCCAACACTGTAAATGTAAGGCTAGTCATTATCGTCAGTAGGAATTGTGACATACAGTTAATAAAAAAAGGTTTTTATCATAATTTTTCTTTCGTTTCTGATGTTGGTATGGAAAGTCTAACCAATTTACTGACGTACATTTCTATGGATTGCTTCTATGTTATTTGAACGTTTTCATATGTCTTACCAACCAACCAATTTTCCAAAGTATCATGGAATTAAAATTGCATAGAAAGAGACGTACTACTTATTAACTAATGAAATTAAAAGGTGTAAGTTTTCGAAGTTATGTTTTATATGTTAAATTTTCTCGCAGGTTCATCATCCTTCGAGAATCATGATGATTTTGTCACTTATGAATTGTGTAATCTATATTTAAATGGTAATTTCGAACAAATGACAAAACTTCGTGATGGTCAAATTTTGGAAACATGTTATGACAAACTAAATGAATTTATAAAAAATATGGAAGATTGTGGCGTACAGCTAAAGTCTATGGTTTGTATTTTTGTTCTTTGATTGTTTTTTCGTCATAGTATTGCATTGATTCTCTTTATTTATCAAGATGGTCTACATCACAATCCGTTAGTCGTTTTCCAACCTACTAGATGTTCCGAAAATATCACATTCTTGACTCATTTTTTTTTACAGTTTCACTTAAAATCTTCACACTACTATTCATTGTTTAGTGATATATTCGTACACTAAGCTACTATTTCTCAATTTCAATAGGACGAACGAGACGACTTCTATTCTTCTCTTTCATACTACATTAACTAGAGTAAGGACTTCAGTTTCCTAAAAAAAATTTTGTTAACACTTTGCTTACATATTTATGCTAATATTCCCATGTGTCTATTATTATGTATGCTTAATCCTGTGTTAAAGCCCACACATATATTCTTACCAGCTTAATGTTGGCCACTTAAATCCTATTAATAAATTCGTTCTCTTTCATTGGTATTCACATCGTGTGTGTGGTGGCTTTGGGATCTGTACTGAGCAACAATAAGCTGTAGCCATTGCTTTGTATTGTCTTCTGAAATTTGTATACCATTGGGAGTTATCTAATAATGGTTTTCAGGACGATTGATAAACGAGGCAATTCCACACCAAACTAAAACTAATGCATCACTGTCCCTTATTTTGCTGTGCCTTTTTTGAAAACGCTCATCAATATTTACCGATACACAATACATTAACAGAAAATATACATAGGATATCCGCTGATTAAACTATTAACTCATGTATATTGCCCAAAACAAAATAGTCTGTTCGTTCTGCATTACTGAAGCTGCCGACCAAGTAACTGCTAAAACGTCAAACTCTACAAACCATAGTTTTACTTGTGTCGATACATAGGTAAAATAGATGATGTGTCAGGAGGTTTAAACTATACTGTCAATTGTGAATGACCTACCAACCAATAAGAAGACAGTGTCTAATTATAAAACCCTTCTTATCAATAGCTGTTGAAACGGAAGTCGATAAATAATTATCACATGATTAATAAACCTTTACATATTGAATGATTTATTACAGTAAACAAGAAATAGCTAAGTTTATAATCTATGATTTGTTAGCGTTAGGAGTACGGTTAGAGTAAGAGGATACTTTGTTTTCATTAATGCACAGGTTACCTGTCAACGGGTTTTAAATCTCACGCAAAAATCCTAAAGGTCTCTATCTCAACGGTGATTGAATTGGTGATATAAGTTATTTCTACCATTGTCTTTAGTTGTATAATAATGATAAGCCATCGTTGTTTTATTATGTGTGGTTATTTTTCGACATCCATTCACAGCTTATTTGTTTGATTAATGGATTTTGGTTGAAAAAAACTTGTAGCTAGATCAATTGAATGCTTTGAGAAAACTAAATCAAAATGAATCAATTTATCAGCAGTATGCCACATGCCAATCTACATTAAACTCATCCGTAAAGATAAAAAGTGATTCTACACTAGAAGATGACAACAGTTTGTTCACTTCAAATTCAACTCGATCATTTACGTCAACATCATTAAAACAACGAAGACAACAACAAAAGTTAAGTGGAACTTACTTATACGAAGTAATAACCATTGAAATAAATGGACTAATCAATCAAATTGAACGTGATACAAGCATTCGAAAATATTTAGTGAAAATTATATTGCCTAGCACTTTGCATTATTTTCACTTGAATAATATTGTTCAAGATAATGATAATGTTGTCTTACTAAAATTTGTGTCCATTTGGCGTCATTTTGGACAATATGTTTCATGGTTTACTGTTGTATCGATGTCTGAGCATATTTTGAAAACTATCTCAATAATACAGACTGAATGAATTCATATAGAATCATGTATATATTTACATACCTTTTTCTTGTACAAGAAATAAATATATTATTTTCTCTGCGTTGAACTTTTTCAGCTTCATGCCACATTCGATTGACACGATTGTCATTAGAATATATTGGGACACAGTTTTTACCACAAGACAACAGTCCTTGAAAAATTGGGAGTAACTCCATACGATGCATTATTGATTAATGCATGAAGTGTAGACAGTAGCTAATAAAATTCTGACTGGATCGCTATTCTAGTCATTCCTACTAATTTACTAGATTTCTATAAGAACTCAATAAAACCGAACCTTACATCATGATCAGTAGGTTGGACAAATTACTTCAACTTGATAGTGAACATCTGTAATGAAAATAATAGAGTATGTTGGGATAGATTTGTACATAAATAACCAATGAAATATACCATGACTGTTAGTCATTGCAAGATAATTCGGTCAGGTCAAAATGGATATATTGATGTGAGAGGAGATAAAAAGGCAGCAGTAGCAATGTACATAGTCTCCAAAATCTCTTGCATTGGATGATGGTGGTGTACAACAACAGTATCATCAGATGACATTGTACTGGTCTCCAATTAACTCATATTCCAACCTATCTGTTAACACACGTTTCATGTTAATGAATACACACAGATTAAGACCGTTTGTGTTCCTTTATAATGTGTGTTTCAATGAAGACGTTTGAATGAGAATGAGTGAAACCCCGTGTTAATTGTCATTGTGTTTTGTCTCCGGTGTTATTGTCGTGTGCGATAGCATCGCTTGTTTGCCAAGTCGGTTTGTGATAATCACATGTTAGTTGTGGAATCGGGTCTTCCTAATTGTCGACATTCTTATCTGCCTACAAATCAGTGAGACCGAGAATACCGTTTCCTTCCCATGTTACACACTAACATGATTTGAGATGAGGTGTGGGTTTGGAGAACAATGTGAAGTGCGATGCGATGATACCCGACGTAGTTTATAGTGTGTGCGTGTGGATGTGGACTTGATTTCAGTATGATTTCCAACTGTCTTTCATCCAACGTGGTCCACCATACAAGCAACTTTGACGATGATCTGATGAATACAGCACACATAATACATCCGCCGGTGATTCTGATGCTTACGCTAGGTATTGTAATTAATTGAAATGTGTTATGCTTACAGCACAGAATAGCTATTTAGGTTATGTTTACAAGCAGTAATGTCCATATTCAGAAGTGATTATATACTTCCCATGGTTCATTCGATGACTATTGTTGACACAGGTAGTATAGAGTCATATCTCAGTCCAGAATTAAATGAAGTTTTGTTAGCTTTTCATAACTCTGAAACTAAGCTTCAGCAAAAAATCTTTTGTTTCACGTGATATTTGTCGAGAAAGGTGAAAGGATTTGTATTTATAAATTAATTGACGCAGCAGAATGAATACAAGTGTATCGAATTAAACTCAAAATCACAGTGAGACAAAAGCTTCTAGTGAATCAACTTCTGAGGTGGATCCAAATCAAAAGAGCTTAGTAAAAATATAACAATACACAAAGTTACCAACGATATACCAAAAGAATTAACACTACAAATCTAAGCGTATGTCTATAAGTAACGCAAAAGGTAAAAAGCTACAGTTAAATTATAAATAGGTATATTAAGCAACAAAATGATAATAGTGTTATGAAATGAATGTTACTTGTAAGCTGCTCTCTGAGATAACAACCACAAATAAGTTCACTTGACTAACAAAGGTTCCTCTGCACGTGATGGCACCAACAGCAAAATAAAGATTAAATCCGGTAGTATTATTTAGTAATGATCCGGGCCAAAGCTCCAAAGTGGTGTGGAAAGGCCTACAAGAATGTTATAATACTATTATAATCTTCAATCAAAGGCCGTGGCCAATAAAGCAGAAGAATGGACGACAGAGAGAGCGTTTACATTTTAAGAACCGCGGTAGTGCAGTGTATGTTAGATATAACCAAACAAATACATTCGTTTCTTTACCATTGATACAGAGAAACAATAGATATTGATTATAAAAGTAGTTACATATAAAGTGTGACAATTAGGAAAAATATGTGATCTTTATTTTGTTGTTACGAGTAATCACTGAATATACATCCCACAATACTTCTTATAAGATTTCTCGTGTTATTTTATCATATATGAGTTGTTCTAATGATCCACATATTTTTAATGGAGATTCTTATAAAAAGTGAGAATAATATTTCGGAATATTAATGATTCCCTACGGAGTTCGTTCCCGTGTCCTTCATAGAGCTGAAACCATATAAATTCGTACATTTCACTGCAATTTATATGTACAGAAGAAATTTGTAAACCGCCTTTCCCTTCCATGACGGGATATAACTTAACAAATGACATTGTTATTTTTTAAATTTAATTTTGTTATCATTAGCATTATTTTCACATCCGTTATTTGCAGCAGGGGGTTTTGTGGGGATTTTAACAATTTTATATAGGTGAGATCATGAGTCACTTGAAGCTAGACAACCATGGAAAACCTAGAAGCACTGGATGGCGATTTCTTCCTATTGTGTGACTCCTCAGCAGTGCGCATCCACGATCCCGCCTCGCGAGATTCGATCCAATCCGTTATTTGTTTGTGATTTTCCGTCTCTTTCTGTTTGTATTCTTCACTATCTAATTATTTACACACTTCTTATTACGTAATGATTTTAATGTTTTTTGATGATTATTCTAGGTCTATTCACTCATGTTTGATCTCTTATTTCCAATGTTTAACCATTGATAAAACTTTTGTTATCGTAATTTTATATTCTTACTACTATCAGCACATCTGTCTTCCCACTATCAACTTGTACTTTTAAGTATTATGTGCATTGATGTACTCTATTTCATTGTGATTATTAACTCAATTTGCCTTGATTGGTTCAACATTTTAGTATAAATATTCATGTATACTAGAGTTAAGCCTGGTGACGATCTAATTGAGAACAACTTTTCGCTTACATTTGTTGTTCTAACAATATTTCGAATGAATCAAATTATGACCGGGAATCTGATGCAATTTTGACAGATACTGATTTTTATTATGATCCATAATTCTCCAATGATATTCCTAATAAATTTGACGAAAATATTCCAAAAGTACCGAATCCTGGTGATGTCATATCAAATGTTATTTGTTCTTATAATATATTTGTTTCTGATGGAAAATTTGATCGGTTTGAAGCACGAGTCCTAAGTGAACTCAAACGTAATTTCGGTTCGAATGACCTCACATCAAATGGTGCTTATTTTCACCATGAAGTTACTTCTAATGGATCCTATAGTCAATGTGGGAAATATGTTATAAATAAAGACATTGTTTGTGTTTTGAGAATGTGAAGATTCAACATTGTTTTGTGGAGTAAGATAGTGTTGGAAAATCTACTGTTCCAATTATAGATATCAGTGATTTAAGTACACACAAGTGACATGTTGATCAAATACATTTCCAATGTGGCGGTAAATAAATCCCCAAAGTCACCAGCTCTGTAAGTCTTCGACATATGATGCTGACCTCATTAGTTCTACTGAACTCACTTAGCTGAAGGCACTTGGTCACGCATCCGCGCCAGATCACGAGTGGCATGCCGTGCTACGCATCCCATTCAACTGTAAGCCATCTTAGAATAAACGCTAACCGATACATCGATAGCCTTCCATATATATATTCGGACCTCTCCATTTATGACTTCTGATTTGATTGGGCCGGTTTACTTCTATTATAAAGGTACTACATGTAAAGGCGTTGTCAAACTCCGAATATTTCTGGTATATTTAAGGTTAAAAATCTGAGATCAAATAAGTAGAAGACTCCGTTTTTGCCACTAAATTGTCAATGAATAGAACGTTGTACCTAGGCAGGTGTCACCAGCTCCGCCTGTGAACACTAGTGTGAAGAAGCTAGATCTTCGCGGGGATATAAGATACCTAGATTAATACGGAAAAGCTGACGTATTACCCTTATTACTGAAAACTAACGGGTCATTAGTGAGTCATTCCATTACCTGAACAAAGAATTATTCGGATTATTTTGTCCAACTTTTGAGAGACCCCATGAGGAGTATGGGATTCAAGCAGAGCCCTAGTTTCGACTATGAATCGGATATGCTAGGACGAGTCCAGCGGCGAGGAACCGAAATTGTGAAAGGTGTCGATGTCCTATAGTATGAAGAAAAACTGAAAGGATTTAAACAATTTCCGTCATCTTACCACAGGTCACAGGATTATTTCATGTTGGCTTCCAGCATATTGAACAATGAACGGGGTATTAAATGGTTCAAATGGTTTTGGACGAAATAGAAGAAGCTTTCGCTTAAAGAGCTTTTGCATCTAATAGCAGTGGATCACCAATACATCCAGCCAGGGACCTAGGTATATTATCGATAAAAAAGAAAAAAGGTAAATCATAGTAAGATACTATCCTAAGTCCTTAAGAATATGTTGAGTTTTCTCCTAAAGGACTCTTGAAAAGTTGTTGATAATAGCTCAGTCGGCAGTAAATTCCAGAGTTTGACTATTTTTAATGAGTAGAAGATGTGTCTACAGTCCGTTGTGCGATGTTGTGTCTCCAGTTACGAGGTGTTGCACCTAAGTTTTGTGTTGGGACTAAGCTTAAGTAGATGTTTAAGGGAATGTCCAGGAGTACTGAGGATGCTGTAAGCCATCAGGTCAATTCTAAGACGCCTGTGCTCCAATGAGTGAATATTCAGTAATTTGAGACGCTCTTCCTAAGGCTTGAATTTGAGTCCCTGAACTGATTTTGTCGCTCTCCGTTGGATATGTTCTTAAGTGCTTTTATCCTTTTAGAGTGAGTGAGGGAATACTATGTTTCCGTACTCTAACTGGGGACGAGTAAAACTGTTGAAGATTACATGGAAAGTTCTTCAGCCAAAGTGAATAAAAATGCGCTTCAATGTTGCCAATGCAAGGTTTGCTCGAGAGGCATTATTTTCAAAGCTAGCATAAGACTTCAAATCGTAGGGTACCAAGTCTTTTACAACTAAAGATACTTCTAGAGAGTAGTTGGCCAAGTTGTTGCTGTATTCTGCAATACGTCTCAGACGGAATACTTTACCCTTTGAGGTTTTCAAGGCAAGTCTGTAGTCATCTACCTAACTTTGAAATCGGGTCAGATCCACCCGAAGTACTAGTTTATCCTCGTGATTATATATACCTCTCTCCAAGGTTTCATATCATCAGCAAAAAGTGATGTCTGGCGATACCTGTTGTGTTAGTTCATCTTTATAAATCAGGAAAAGAAGAGCTCCTAATGCTGAACCCTGGGGGACCTCAACAGGATATTCCATAGACTGAGAGAAAGTGGAGTTAACCCAGACTTTAAAATGTCAATTTTTACGATATGAAGTGAGCCAATCAATTAAAGGTGGTTCGATACCTGATCGTTTGGCCTTATTGATAAGACATGTAGGCTTGACCCTATCAAGTGTTTTTGACAAGTCGAAGTATATGGCGTCAACCTTCCCCTTGCGATCAAGGATGGTTGTCTATCTGACCACTGCAGTCAGCAGGTTAGTTATACAAGAGTGGTTTTTTCTGGAACTGTGCTATTGGGCTGAAAATAGGTTTATTAAGGAAAAATAGTCGTGCATACCACTGCGTAACAGGAACTCCATAATTTTTGAGGGTTCGATGAGAAGCGCTGCCAATAGGTAGCTTGAAGGTTCGCTGTGACGACCTCCTCTGAAAATTGGTGTGATATGAACCAGTTTTCAAATTCATGGTGACGTGCTTCGGCTTAGCGAATGTGAGGACAACACACTAAGTCGTGTTGATGAGAGTGGGGTTGGTCCCCTCAGTATAGCAGAGTGAACTACATCCGGACCAGGAGAAGTATCCACTTTTTTAGGTGCTGCAGTTTACGGTACATCATGTCAGCACTCAGGTTCACTTGTGAAAGTCCTGTGCAGTTGCAGATGAAGCTTTCATCAATATGGTTAGTGTGGGTCTGTTGAGATGTTTGAGAGTATTGTCCAGCCAGAAGGTTAGCGGCGTCATCGTCGTTGCTGGTCACGCTATTAAGACCTAGCATTTGGGAAACTTCAGTTTTGGTTCGTTGAAGAGAGACTGCATAGCGGAATAAGCCTTTCGGATTCGAGACAAATTTATTGATGAGCTTTATCTGATACTGGAGTCTATCTTCTCTTATTGACTTTGTGCATATGTTCCTTATTTGTTTTTATCACCTGTATGCACTGTTGTTACAACCAAGATTGTATTCCATCCAGCAGTAAGAAATCCCAATGAACATCCACATAAAGTGGAGGATGAACTTCCCAGGCCACTTGTCGTAGATTGTCTTGTATAGGGATAGTCAACTCAAATGATCAACTACTTTGGTACAAGTTGCACAATGATATTTCTTCGGCGGAAGAACTCGTGAGATCCCTTAAGAATGATGATCATGATATTGGGCTCAGAATACGGTATATCAGGCCATAACCTTAAATTCTCATATGATTTCAGTAAATGACTAGCCATTAAAATATCCTCTACGTCGGTAGCGTTAGAGAACGTTACACGAAGTAGTCTTTAGTGATTTCGATGCTAGGAGTCCTTTCTTCGAGTGAGCAATGTGACCGTCAAAAGCTCTAATTTAGGAAGTTCGAGCTTCTTGTTTAACTCTTTACAGAGCGTAATGTCATTTTTGTCCTGCAACCTAGGGGAAGGTCAGGGCTGTTCTTAAAGTTGATGATTATGAGAGAATCATCCTAAATCGTGATCGTTTCCTCAGGTTTTCAAGTACTTTCAGGTTGAGGACTTTATTGTTTGACAGTTGAAACGCGTCTCAAATTCCTGTGCTCTTTGCTGACCTGTTGCACATTCTTAGGGGTAGACTGTTCGGCCAAATCACCAGTTAGCTTCACTAAAATATTTGGGATCTTCTGCTTCCTGGACAGTGACACCCAGTCTTTTTGGACTTTGTTGACAGAAGTCCATTCACCTACAGAGTTTTGTGGGACCACCGTTACATTCAGGGGTCTTGTGCTGGGAGACCCGAGTTCGCTGAGGGAGTCTAGTATCGTTGATGTTATGATAGCGCATCCGTACCAGATCACGTTACGATACAGCGTCGGACACAGCTCCTATGTTCGCTAGCCAGATCAGAGTAAACGCTTCTCGATATATCGATAACGCATCAAATATCTTTCCTACCTCTTCTCGTTTGACTTCTGATTTCGATTGGTTGGGGGAAAGCTTCGAATATAGAAGGTGCTACTGTTTGCTAGTTGTCAAACTAGAAAACTAGTCGTATCTTCAAGGACAACTTTTTCCGCAAACCTATCAAGAGAATAATGATTTTGCTCAGCGAAACCTCCGCATTCATGTTGTACATGCCACATGCCCACTCACGATCAGAATTCCTAAGTCTGTTTTAGACAGTTACTGTAAGATCTGTACATGCTTCGTGGAACCAAACTTTGCAATTGTCACACTGCATGTCAGAGGCGACAACAACTTATCTTTCCCTCTGACCTAGAGGTAATAATTTGGGGGACATTATAAGATATTTCAAGAACTGAGAGAAAATTTGTTCACGTCTGGAGTTCCGTAGCTCTCAATGAGTAGTGAATTATTAAAATTCTGTATCGGAACAGGTGACATCAGCAACTTATGACAATGCATTAAAGTTGAGGTTGGATCTTCACATTTTTTCCAATAGCAAGGATTGCGATCGGGATTGTAAGTCACTGAGATTCCTATCCTTACAAGTGAGGACTGACATGAAATTCATTTGTGACCTTCGTGTAGCTGACCTAGACTAATAGGCGCCTATTACGAGTACTTTGGTTGGTAGGACTTTATGTGATGTAATTTATGATGAGGTGGATTCCATATGAAGAGAATATAAAATGGGCTGTGGGTAGGATAACAAATTTGAAAATTCACTCTGTTTTTAGTTGTTAATCCGTTCAGGAGTGATACTCGCGATAAACTTGATATTTCAATTGGTGATGACGTATTTATTTTACGACAGTGTGAGGGTAAAGTCTACACAGTAATTATATTTTGTACCAAGACTGGTTTTACGGATTTAAAATGGACGTTTGTTCGAAGTTTGGTGTGTTTCCTAAGGCATGTGTTGCATTTAAAAGGGATGATGTATCTGATGGGGTCAGTGCTGAGTTACAGATGATGGTAGAAAAACTAATATCAATGTTTGTGGTAAGTCAGTGATACCCTATATTTGCTTCAGTCAGGAAAATATGGGAGAATGAGTAAACACTGTATGGCTCTCCGTGATGTTGTTAGTTTGAAGTACTCCCTTTCGGGAAGAATTACAAAGGTAGTTTTATTAAGTGAATAATTAGTTTTGCAGTTCGACATTATTGCTAGTCTAAGGAAGCTTCATACTCATATGTCGATGGTGCAAAGGTAAATTCGTATTGTCTTTTCAATATAGTGTAGTAAACTATTTTTGCCATTCATCATTCGGGATGAGAATTTTGAATACATCAATCCGTACTCCATATCTCCCATAGACTTACACTGGAAGCACAAAAAGCTCATAAAAGAACTTGAAGATTCAGAAGTTAGTTTTGCGCTTTTGAAAGAACTATTACAACTCTTATTATGTGTAAACAGAACATCCGCCTTTTTATTTTTCGAGTGTAATGAAATCTATACTTTATTTGGTATCTCTATACTAGGTATTATTTGTTGCACGTCCTACGAGAGGCTTCAGTAGTGTTCTCACAGTAAGAACCCAAAAGTTAGTATTTATGTCACAACCTAATAATTTATTGTCAGGTTTAAAATTTGGAGAGAATGGGTCCAATATACTGGAGTTTTGTGGTTTAGTTCAGCAGTATGAATTCTTTTTTATAGCTAGTCATGAATAATTGATCACGAAAAACCCATAAGGTAAACAGTAAAAACAAAAGCAGTAGGAATACTTGAAAAACAATAAGACGGCCTGTAGACCAGGTAAAAATGTGCTGACAGAATTTCTTATATTTAGAACGAATCTGCACTGTTCAAACTTCGGTTTGCAACCACTAATACCGTATAAATCGTATAAATTAACTATTAAAGCTTTTTGTTTCTCTTTCTTATTATGTTGTGCTATATTCCTTGCTCAATTCTACCCAGTCAAAAAGTCGTATCCATCCTTATGACACGCTTATTCATCATGATAATGATTTGCACCTCTAACTTCAACACTATGAATGAGATTGTTCCCATTCCTCTTCTTCCCTTTTTAGTTTGTGTAAAAGCTTTCTTGATAGAGGCCCCAGAAGTTTATATTATTTATTTAAACACATAAACATAGGTACAAGGGGACACCAAATAGATATGCGCCACATAAGTCATTCGATTTGTATGAGGGCTGGGGTACTGCCCGCGTGCCCAAACCGAAGCAGGTGGTTTTCTTAGAGGGCCACATACCGAGCATTTCACCTAAGGGTTTAATCTATAAGGCAGTGGAGCAACGTAGGGAGATGCAATCTCATGGTAGACGGTGACAAACAATGGGTTCATACGCCATTTGTTCCCTCAGGATAGTGGAGCCCATGTGCACCATTGGTTTGGAATTAGGGTTGTCCAACTCCTCCAGGTGGATTCGCCATATCCACCAACCCGGTTAATGCACCGGATATTTGCTTTTCGTCCTGTCCATTTCGTAAACAACAGTAATGCCGCGAAAAGGTAGTGAGTAGGACTTCCTTGGCAGAGGCTATATACGCGTGACCATGTGAGAACATTTCGAGAGGGCGAGCTGACTCTCCCCACTCTTGGCAGTACCATGGCATTTAGGGCCAATTATATAGGACAACTTATATCCACGTTTATTCAAATCATATGTCAATTATTAAATGGTTATTAATTATCAAGTTTTACCAAACTGGTCAATTGTTACTAAACCCACAATCACAGAGGATTAATAAATACGAAAAGAAACGGATCGAAATCCAAATGACTTACTCGATACTGGATCATAAATACGGGTGAAGACACTGTAAGTGAGCGAAAAAGGTTCGCTCCTAACAAATTAATACAATTTAAATACAGAGGCAACTAACTGAACCGAAATCACCTGAAATCTATGTTCGGATTATAAGATTGATTGCCTTTCACACATATTGTATTTGGGAATATTGCCTCAAAATGAAGTATTAGATTTCATAACTTCCCTCTTTTATTGTGTTACGCTCTTTCGTTTCCTTAAGACTACTTAGTCAAAAAGTCATATTTCTCTTTTTGCAAAATTTTATTTGAAAGCCGATTCTTTTAACATTCATATAATTGATTTATATATATATATATATATATATATATATATATATATATATTCCTACTTATTTAGCTTTCTGCTCAATGCCCTGCGTATCATCCCTTCAATCTGCGTGTTCGTTTTCAAAATTTACCTAAAGCACTTCTGACAATGTACTTAGTGAGTCAAGTCTTACAAAGTTCTCAGAATATAGTCAGTTCACCAGCTAATTTAATTCCAAATGTGGATATGAATTTTGTTGTCAATGCGAGTTCCGACTGCGCGAATTTCACTTCATACAATTGTATTCAAGATTCATTTGAAAGTCATGTTGTTAGTACAAAAAATCTTTCCGCTACTGAATTACAGCCTACATCATTGCTTATGCGTTTAACCGAAGATGTTATACTGGATGGTAATACTAAAGATAATTGTGAAGTTGTTTTTACTGTAAGTTAAATATGTAAATGTGTTATTTTTAAAATTTTCTACAATTTTCTTTCATTATTGTGACTGAACTCTTGTAAATCTTGAACTTTTAAGGTTTCTAATGAAGTAAATTGCCAAAATCTGTATCAGAAAACATATATGATGCTAAGCAGTCTTCCCTTTAATTATCATAACCAACAGTTATACACTTTGATCAACGTTATTTATAGTCGGTCATAGTGGCGCAATTGCATGGATCCGTTTTCTACTTATAAATCTTGAGTTCTAAAGTTATTATATTCTCTTTATTCTGTGGATTCTCATATAATATTCTCTAATATCTAATGTTTTTATCGTATCTTGTCAAATTACTCTTAGTCTATTGTAAAGTATGACAAATTAGACCAATACGCGTACTTGTCAGGTTATAAGCTGTGAATTCAGTTTATATAAATTAACAAGCATAGTTTCGAAACAGTTTGTAAGGGGTTTACAACTGTCAGCTGTTGAAATAAATCTTAATGATTGAATTACAGTTTGAGGTGTTTTGTCTACAAGATTTCGCCATACTGGTTAGTATCATGAGTCTTATACACAGCGCACATCTATCACAACGCATATTTAGTGACTGGGTTGAATCATATTTTAAGTTCTGGTTCTGTTTAAGTTGATATTAATGTCTGTTATACATAGATATATTTCAAGCTACTTTTATTCTCGAAAACTCCGCATGTAGCTCTTCTAGAGTTACTGCCGGTCCCAAGCCCGGGTAAAGGAGGAGGGTTGGGCATGGGGTCAGAGACATCATCCCGTAGAAAAGCTAACTCGCTAAAAAAACGCTAACCAGAAAAAATAATTCAAACCATTTAAACTCTGCCCTGGGAGTTGAAGGAATAATTATGACGCTTCATGATGAAAGCCGAAATTCTTCGGAAGTCACGAGGCCGATGCACCTCCTAACAACCAGAGAAAAACTCCTTATAGGTACATGGAACGTCCGGACAATGTGGGAGACGGGGAAGACCAGTCAAATAGCAATGGAAATGAGAAGATACAACTTGGCAGTACTCGGAATCAGCAAAACCCATTGGACACTAACTGGACAACAAAGGCTAGGTACAGGAGAGATGCTGCTGTACTCCGGTCACGAAGGGGGAAATGCTCCACACACTCAAGGAGTTGCTCTAATGCTGTCCAAAGAAGCACGAAATGCACTTGTGGGATGGGAATTTCATGGACCCAGGATAATCAAAGCATCATTCAGAACAGAAGAAGGAGGGGATCACAATGAACGTTATCCAATGTTATGCACCCACCAATGATAGCAACGACGACGATAAAGATCAGTTCTATGAAAGGCTGCAATCAATTATAGAGAAGTGCTCACGAAAGGACCTCACCATCCTGATGAGAGATCTAAATGCTAAAGTTGGAGTGGACAACACAGGATATGAAGATATAATCGGACGACATGGACTAGGAGAGAGAAATGAACATGAGGAGAGACTTGCAAATCTATGTGCGTTCAACAAATTGGTTGTAGGCGGCACAATATTCCCACATAAGCGCATACACAAAGCTACATGGATCTCACCGGACCACACCACAGAGAACCAGATAGACCACATCTGTCTCAACAAAAAATTCAGAAGGTCAATGGAAGATGTGAGAACCAGGAGAGGAGCTGATATAGCTTCAGATCACCACCTGGTTGTGGCCAAGATGAGACTGAAGCTAAAGAAACACTGGACAACTGGACAAACAGCACTACAAAGGTTCAATACAGCCTTCCTTCAAGATACTGACAAGCTCCACGAATTCAAGATAACTCTCAACAACAGGTTTCAAGCTTTACAGGATCTACTGAATGAACAAGAAACTACTTTGGAGGACAACTGGAAAGGGATAAAAGAAGCACTAACTTCAACGTGTCAGGAGGTTCTTGGTCCTAAGAAGCATCATCATAAGGAATGGATCTCTATGGGAACCCTCAACAAGATTCAAGAAAGGAAGAACAAGAAACTAGCAATTAACAACAGCCGAACACGAGCAGAGAAAGTCAAAGCGCAAGCAGACTACGCAGAAGCAAACAGGGAAGTGAAGAAAAGCATTAAGGTCGACAAGCAGAAATACATGGGAGAACTAGCAGCGACGGCTGAAAAAGCTGCAAGAGAAGGGAATATGAGACAACTATATGATACAAAGAAGAAACTGGCAGGGAGATATAGTAAACAAGAGAGACCAGTCAGGGACAAAGAAGGAAAGACAATCACTGAGACTCAAGAACAGAGGAAAAGATGGGCAGAATACTTCGAGGAACTGCTGAATAGACCAGCCCCATTGAATCCACCGAACATCGAAGCAGCACACACTGACCTTCCTATATCTGTCACTCCACCAATGATCGAAGAAGTCAAGATAGCCATCAGACAAATCAAGAGTGGGAAGGCGGAAGGACCTGACAATATACCAGCTGAAGCACTGAAGTCGGACATTGAAGTAAGTGCAAATATGCTTAACCTTCTATTCAAAAAGATTTGGGAAAAGGAACAAGTGCCAACGGACTGAAAAGAAGGATATCTCATCAAGATACTAAAGAAAGGAGATCTGAGCAAATATGAGAATTACAGAGGCATCAGTTTGTTATCAGTACCAGGAAAAGTTTTCAACAGAGTGCTGCTGAATCGGATGAAATACGCAGTAGACGCCCGACTTCAAAATCAACAGGCTGGATTCCAGAAGGATCGGTCGTGCACAGACCAGATTGTGACACTACGGATCATCGTTGAACAATCAGTTGAGTGGAACTCATCACTATACGTCAACTTCATTGACTATGAGAAGGCGTTTGACAGCGTGGATAGGAGGACATTATGGAAACTTCTTCGACACTATGGAGTTCCTGAAAAGATTGTCAACATTATCCAAAGCTCAATCGCTGGACTACAGTGCAAAGTGGTGCATGGAGGACAGCTGACAGATGCATTTCCAGTAAGGACCAAAGTCACAAAAGGCTGTCTACTCTCCCCATTCCTCTTCCTTCTAGTGATTGACTGGATTATGAAGAATTCGACATCTGACGGAAAATACGGAATACAATGGACTTCTCAGAATCAACTAGATGATTTGGACTTCGCAGATGACCTAGCCCTCCTCTCTCATACACACGAAGAAATGCAGATGAAGACCGCAAATGTAGCAGCAGCCTCTGCATCGATTGGCCTTCACATTCACAAAGGAAAAAAGCAAGATTCTCAAATGCAACACGGAGAACACCAACCCAATCACACTTGATGGCGAAACTCTGGAAGATGTAGAAACATTCACATACTTGGGAAGCATCGTTGATAAACAAGGAGGATCGGATGCAGATGTAAAGGCGAGGATTGGCAAAGCAAGGGCAGCATTTCTACAATTGAAGAACATATGGGATTCAAAACAACTGTCAACTTATTTCAAAGTCAGAATCTTCAATACCAACATCAAGACAGCCCTACGGTACGGAGCTGAAACTTCGAGAACTACTGCATCCATTGTCAAGAAGGTACAAGTATTTATAAACAGTTGTCTACGCAAAATACTCAACATTCACTGACCGGACAGCGTTTTATGGGAGAGGACAAACCAGCTTCCAGCTGAAGAGGAAATTAGGCAAAGACGTTTGAAGTGGATGGGACATACATTAAGGAAATCACGAATGTGCATTACAAGGCAATCCCTAACTTGGAATCCGGAAGGAAAACGAAAAAGAGGAAGGCCAAAGAACACATTACGCCGGGAAATAGAAGCTGATATGAAAAGGATGAATAGCAACTGGAAAGGACTGGAAAGGAAGGCTCAGGACAGAGTTGGATGGAGAATGCTGGTGAGCGGCCTATACTCCTCGACGAGGGGTAACAGGCGTAAGTAAGTAAGTTATTCTCGAAGAAGCCTTTAATTCTGCATTTAACTAAAATGTAGTAGACTCTCCGATGAACAGCTAATTGGTAACGTTGTTTATTCAGCTAATCAAGGCTTGTTAAGTGAATTGGTTGAGATGTGGCTCGATGATCTGTGTTCTCAGTTATTTATCATTTCGTGGGATATCATAGTTCTTTTTTTATCTGCTTCGGCTCACTAATCCTCAGAAAACAACTACTATGAATTAAAACATTGTAAATTGGCGTTTAGTTGTTCTATATTTTTCTATGCAACTTATATGTAATCACACTTTTTATAATTTTCATTTCACAGAATCTCGACCCATTCAAATACAAAGAAAAACGTATACTACTACTCGTCACATTGACTCGTATTGGACCGATGCATTTAAAACGTACGAAATCAGGTGGAAAGTCAATATCATTAAGTGTTAATGAAAATAAGTCACAACAACCGAATTCAATGTTGAAACGTCCAGTTGGCGTTGCTTGCCTGGATATAACATCTTCAATCTTACCATATTTTAATCGTTCCTCTCAGTTATTTGATTGGGGATCTGGCAAAACAATAAAAGATGACAATTCTATATTGGATCATAAACGTATTGTGAATTTCAAATTGTACGTAAATGTAACATATAAATTGTCACTTTTTATGTTTGTTTGTTTATATGCACATGTTTTTTTTGAACAAATGATTTGTCAGTATGTGTTATGTATCCTTGACTACAGTCTACATCTACTGGCAATGTTTACAGATGTGGAAGTTGGAAGAAAGCTAGGAGCAGCTAGGCGAAAATATGGCATTAATCTATGGAGTCAGTGACTGTTGGTTCAAACCATATTGGCAGGTGCAAACCACCCGGTCGGAATTCTCTCGACAACTGTGATCAATGGTTAAAGACGTTAGGTGATATGATTCACAATCTGTCACAATGGCTCTGGTCCATTCACGATTTATTTTAGTTCAGGTCTTGAGCTTCATTATTGATCCATGCATACGTTTGTATAGTCCTTTCAAACCACACCATCAATGCTTGATCTTTCTCATTTTCATTGCTACTGGATTATTTTTATTTCCTTGTTATTAGTCCTGTCGCGTTAATGTGATGTTTCATGATAAAGTGGGTCAACATATATTTGTGCCTGGCTCTATGTTGACTATGACTGGCTGATTTGTTAGTAAAGAAGAAAGCTTAAGTAGTCATACACATTCATATCGTTATATGTTCTAATTTGCAAATTTTTACTACCAAAACCATGTAGACCTACTATGAAAAAATTCCAGGAATGCAGCATGACAGTTGTTTAGTAATACTTAAATGTTTTAAAGACTTTTTAAGTGTCATACTATGTGAAATATCATAGATGTTTATTGGATTAAATGAAACATGATCACTTAAAGAATTTCACTATTCTTTAGAAGATTGATATCTTACTTGATTATCTAAGATAATTTCACCCGTGAAACTTTGGTATTCAATACTTAATTGTTTTTGCATATGGAAAGTGGCTTCGTTATGAGAGGAACAATACTGAAAACCTCGGAGTATAGGACAGCTGTCGGGTTATAGAAATTTGAACAATTTAGCAGTGCGTGTATCCTCATGCCTCCATTCACACTGAAACCTAAAGCTTTCAAGTTTAGTGGTGAACATGATTTTATTAACCCAGCAGAGTTGAAAGACTCTGGTGATTCACGTTTCCTACTTTCAATTGATCGACTCATTAGCAAGATCATTATTCAATATTCCTGATGATGATCCGATTTGTTTCTGAGCTTTCATACTGCCGTTCTGGTATGTTCCGATCGAAAGAGGTTACTAGTTAGGATTGTGACATTGCTCAGAATCGATCACAATGGCGCAGGTGTATACACTCTTTATCTTCCCTTAAACCTCGAGATTAAAATTGCTTGAATTCTGTCTTTCTTCCTGTACTATATCCTTATATACAACCTTTCTTTTATATATTACCACCACTAAATTAATTACTTCTATGAATTCGGTGTTCATCTTGTTGTGCTAATGAGGTATGGTAACTTGGACCGATGCATATGTGTGCCTTGTCCTACGTTGTAGCTGACTGAATGACTAGTTAGGGTTAGATTGGTCATTATTCATTCGCGTGATTTGCTGATAATTTTCAATACATTATAGTATTTTGATTATTATGTAGGTAACTGTTAGCAGAATAGAACCTTAAATACGGTATGCTGAGTACAAGTCGAAATCATAATACTCTGGTCGATCCATGTTGTTCAAACAAGTAGTGCCAACGAATGACTCGATAATATACCACAAGTATCCCTTGTAGATTTTCTGTAAATAATTGTGTTTTTATTACTTCTGTTGTTCTGTCTATTTGGAATATGTACTATCCTCTTCTTCTATCCTTGTTCTAATTTGGGACTAGTTAAAGTAATACACTAGACAATCGGAGCGTGACAGTAACTATTTAACTAACCATCTAACTTAGGCAGCGAAATATTTATTGTATTTTTCGAACCATTGTTAACTAACTTTTCGTCCTGAACTGTGCATTTGTATGGCGACTTTTCCGATTGACAAGATTGTCGCTTTGTCGCTCGAGGATTTCATATGTTCATATTTCTTCACATTAATCAACCAGTTAAAAAATCACTAAATATATGCATTTGGCATAGAAGGTCTATAAGCAACTACTGAATTGCACCAATCTCTTTCACATTTCCTAATCTTCACATAATATAACCTCAGTCATATTGATAATTTAATGAATACCAATGACACATGACAATTAATAAATACCTTAACAATCACCTTTTTTATTTCAAACTAATTTTAAATAAACTATTTTAGAACTGGTGAACAGTTTTTATCAGAAGCGTTATTACGTGCAATCAACGATACACAAGTTTTATCTTGGAGTAACAATCAAAATTCAGGTTATCCTGATATGGATCTAACAACAATTTTAAGCATTCCAAGTATTTCATTGGATTCATCAGAAGTTCCAAAGTTGGAGATTCATGAGATCACAGTATTAAATTCTTTAGAAGGTCATGTAAGTTGATCACTGCCCTTTCTTTTTCCTTATTTACATGCTCAATTCAATAGTGATGAATACCGAATAGTTACTGTTAAGACATGGTGGTTATAAATGCAGACAAACTTCCATTCTTTAAAATAAAATGAGTCTCAAATCATTTTATTTCGTACGTCTCGTAACATACGTTACTATCAACTAATTATAATAAATATACTATGGTGATGAGAATTTATTAAGGTGATTAGTGTTTTAGCATAACTTATGAAGAATATCACAGTTGTGATACATTTTAATTGTCAGTTGAGTCTATTCTCTGTAGTTGAGATTCCTATCTGCTTCGGTTTGGGCTCCCGGGGAGTATCACAGCCCTCACACAAATCAATGACAACTACTACTGGCCTCATTGTTGTTGTGTGGCGCATATCTACTTGGTGCCCCCTTGTACCAATGTTTATATGTTCAAAATAAATAAATAAAATAGTCGAAATTCCACATTATTTTCTAATTCAGTAATTAATTGAAAAGTATTGATTAATATTGAATTGAGAGTTAAAAAAGTAGGCTTGGAAGCATATTGGCTACTACTCGGCCAATCGATGTGCCTCCGATTTATTATCTTCCAAGTTACTTTACAGTTCTTAGTGTTTCAGACACTGCTCAACTACCTTTCAACAGAGTGTGTTAAATCAGGTGTCAGTTACAAAGTTTTAAGTGATATTGTATTTCAAATAGCTAACAGAGATTATCACAGTTGAAATCATGAGTCAATTGAAGCTAGACCACCTTCGAAAAGCTGGAAGCACTGGACGGCCGTTTCGTCCTATTATGGGACTCCTCAGCAATGCGCATCCACGAACCCGCTCTCGCGAGCGAGATTCGAACCCAGGACCTACCAGTCTCGAGCCGAAGCCCTTGACCGATAGACCACTGAGCTGGCATCCAACGGTGTTAATGTCTAACTTCAACCAATCCACGATATTGAGCGACCGTTCACCAATTGTCTTCAGTGAGATGATATCTCTACAACAGACCTGGTAGAACTCCACTGGCCACTGCTTCCCACTAGAACTCAAGGAAATATCTCTTGAAGTCAGTCACTAGTGAGCATATGATTATAGATCAGAGGGGGTTTTGTGGAGAATTTAGTATTTTCACAGTTGAAATCATGAGTCAATTGAAGCTAGACCACTATCGAAAACCTGGAAGCACTGGACGGCCGTTTCGTCCTATTATGGGACTCCTCAGCAATGCGCATCCACGAACCCGCTCTCGCGAGCGAGATTCGAACCCAGGACCTACCAGTCTCGAGCCGAAGCCCTTGACCGATAGACCACTGAGCTGGCATCCAACGGTGTTAATGTCTAATATCTGGCCGTCCCAGAAGAGCGCCCAGTTGAGGGTTCAATTCCCTTCACATCTGATGGAAAAGGCAAAATGGGTAAGTTGGCCGGTTCAGAGCAAGACAATATCTTGCTAAATGCACATGAAACTGTGACAGTATCAGATGTCAAAGAAAAACAAGGTTCCGTAGACAAAGCCCTGAGCCAAGAGTCTAATGAAGCGCCACTCAATCCGTCGATTTCTGAAGACAAACTTCAGTCAGAATTAAACTACGGGTTACATGATATCGGCCAAGAAAGCTGGAATGGTGCACATGATTTCGATGAAAATTCTTATGAAGATGAGGAAACCAAGTCGGTTGAATCAAATGCTGATCAAAAACCTAAGGCAATTTCATTAGATGATGATTCCCCTAGCTATCAAATATCCTCCAGTGAAAATCTTAATGAATTTGATGGAGATGTTTCAGAAAAGCCAAATTCCGATGACCTAAAATCAAATATCGTTCATCATCATCTATTCATTTCTATGGATTCTGCATTCAATACGAGAAATGTGTTCTAAGTAAAGTCATATTAATTGTAAATTGGAGATATGAAGATCCAACATTATTTCGTGGGGGAGGAAATGTTGGAGGATTTCAACTTACAGATAATGCGAAATGAAACTAATCATGATACGAAAAATGTTTCTAATGAATCTAATGATCAAAATTCTGTAATTGTTCTGCGGATGAATTCAAGAAATTTAAAGTCCGGATGTCAACTCCGGATTTCTCAAAAAGCGGAGGTGTTATATCCCCTGGTGAATTATGAATGGTAAATCTGAGGTCTATTTATGGACAAATGTAATATGTCTATTTCCTATTGTATAGTTGTTATATCTCGTAGGTTGAACGCTTTATTCAGATTTGTATCAGAGAAAACGCTTTACTACAAGGTTCATTTATGTTCAGAAAAACAGGGGTTTTATAGTAATTAAAAGACCTTGAGATTCCATAGTAGCAGTATGTTAAACAGCCAATCAGGACCTCGTTATTTTAGTAGCATTTTAGTAGCATAGCTTCTAACTAATCGCTGATTGGTTGGGCTCTTTATGAGCCTCTGGAGGCTCTGATAGAGTTTACTGTAAGTCGACTTAACACTTTTTAACAAGCTATACTTAGTTACATCATTCGGAATGCGTTTACATGAGGAAAATAATTCTCTCAGTAACCGATCAGTAGCTCCGTAACCTAATTCTGGGGTTCAGCATCCAATATCTTTCTCTTTTGTTGATCTGATTCCCAGAGTGACTGATGAGATTTTGACGATTAGAACAGTAGTGAGTGTGACTTGAAGCTGTCGATCCAAACATTCCACCATTTCGTTAGATATAGAGTGGTAAGTTGTTTTATGAATTCCTTTGATTCCAATCAGCTTATTAAGTTTGCGTAACAGAAAGCTTTCAAGCACTACACCTCCGTCGATGTTGACTACTGATGCTGTGGTGTGAGCTACTGATATCGATATAAGTAGTATATATGGTGAGTAAGGAATAGAATATCTGACAGCAGAAGATTGAGAAGATCAAGAAGAGAAGAACAGAAATAAAAAGCAATTTGTGTGGAAATCCATGAACAATGAAGTCTGAGGCAATTGAAGAACATTTTGCAAATAGTGTATCATAGCATGGTTTTTGTATTTTACCAAGTAACGTTGTAATTTGTGCTAAATATATAGTTGGTTGTCCTCACCTGTGTTCTCATTCACAACATTTGGTGTCGCTGCCTCCAAGGATGAAGATTCCATGGCCGAAGGAATTTGAGGACGGAGATGTGCTGAGCTTCCTGAAGGAGTTCGAAGCTGTGGCGGAGCTGGTGGGGGTGAAGGAGCCGAAGGCGAAGATGGTGGTGCTGGGGACGCTGCTGAGAGGCAGAGCGAAAGCTGTATATGACAGCCTGGACGGTGCGGGCGGTAAGACGACACGGGAGGCAGTCACGGAGCGGTTGACCGTGGAGTTCGATAGCCCAGTGGGCAGAGAGGAAGCACTGCAGAAGTTCCGAGTGGCGAAGTTGCCGATCGATGGTGATCCGCTGGTGCTGGCCGTGGAGCTTACCAAGTTGCTGCGTCGCGCGCTGCCAAATCTGGATGAGGAGTCGGAGGCACAGTTGTTGGCGTCTCAGTTTATCGAGAGCGTGCCTGTTGCCGTTTTCCAGCAGCTGAGACTGGTACACGCCGCGCAACCTATGGATATCAGTGAGCTTGCAAAGGTGACGCGACAGTTGATGACACAAACAGTAGCTCCGGTCGCGTGCGGAAGTCAGGAGATAAGCAGCATTGAGAAGAAGATTGAAGAACTGCAGCACGAGATTGCGGCATTACGAGTGATTCGAAAAAGGAATGATAAGTGTTTCGCATGTGGAGGGACAGGACACTGGAAGATAAACTGTCCAACACGACGAAAACGGAGATATTTTAGACGTTACGTGTTTCCTTCTTACTCTAGGGATCTGGGGGTTGTTGCATTAGTAGATAGAGGGGCAGTCTATGCAAGAGTGAACGTAAATGAACTAGATTTAGTGTGCCTAATCGATACAGGGGCAGCAGTTTCGTTAATAGGTAAAGAGCAATGTAAAAGTTTTAAGCCGTGTAAAGTCGCAGTTCACACCATAGGAGGGCATATGTTAGAGGTATTGGGCGTGTCTAACAGTATCGTAAAAGTGGATGGTTCGGAGATAAGTTTTCCGTTCGTGGTAACCGCAAACCTGTCGAGACCAATATTAGGAGCAGATTTCCTAAGAGAAGTAAAAGCTATAGTTGACCTAAGAAGCGGTAAGGTGGTCACGAAGTACGGTTCATTCTCAATACATGAAAGTAGTGAGGTGGCTGAGGTTAGAGTGGCAACAGCCGTTGTGACGAAGAAACCAAACATAACCGAGTTGTGCAAAAAGTATGCGAAACTGTTTACTGGAGAAGGAGAACCGTACGGATTTTGCGGCAAAGTAAAGCACGAAATCCCGATAAAGAACAATGGAGGAAGTATATTCACAACACGTCGTGTCCCTGTGCACTTAGAGGCTGAAGTAAATCGACAGGTCCAAGAGATGCTGAAAGAAGGAATAATTGAGGAGGCGGACAGCCCGTATAGCTCACCGGTACTCTTGGTAAAGAAACCGAATGGGAAATATAGATTTTGTGTTGATTTTAGAGAACTGAATAATATAACAGAACTAAAGCCGTGTGCAGTGCCAACAGTAGTGGAAACATTAGATCGGCTGCAGAATGCCACGGTGTTTACAGTGTTGGATTTGCGGTCAGGTTATTGGCAGCTGCCTATAAAAGAGAGCGATCGAAGCAAGACAGCATTTACCATACGTGATAAACAATATCAATTTAGACGAATGCCGTTCGGATTGGCGGGCGCACCTTTTACGTTCAGAAGATTAATGTCGCTACTGCTCAGGGATCTGGATAACGTCGAAGTGTATGGCGACGATGTAGTCGTATACAGCCAGACAGAAACAGATCATGTCAAGCATGTGGAAGCGGTCCTAAAGCGAATTGAAGAATTCGGACTTCGAATTAATAAGGACAAGTCACAGATGGCGAAAAGTAGCATCACGTTGTTGGGGCATAAAGTGGGAAATGGAGAAATAAAACCGCTGCCGGAGAAAATTCTGACTATAAAGAACGTTGCAGTACCGAATTCGAAAAGGAAATTGAGACAGTTCCTGGGAAGGGCGGCGTTCTACAGTCGGTTCATCAAGAATTTCAACGAAATAGCAGCACCCCTTTATAAGTTGTTGAGTAACACTAAATTTTCGTGGACTGAAACCGCCCAACAAACGTTTAATCAAATCAAAAACATGCTGGACGACCGCCAGATGACGCTCAGACTGCCCGAACTGGAGAAACCGTTTACAGTGACAACAGACGCAAGTGACCATGGTATAGGTGCCGTTTTAAGTCAGTCTGATAGAGTAGTGGAATACGCAAGTCGCGTTCTCACGCCTGCCGAACAGAAGTATTCAACGATCGAAAAGGAGTGTTTAGCGATTGTGTGGGCAGTAGACAAGTGGAGACCATATCTGTTAGGTAAACGATTTAACATCGAGACTGACCATAAACCTCTGCAGTGGCTACAAACAGCACGAGACCCACGTGGGAAGTTGGCGCGATGGATGATACGTCTGCAGGAGTATGACTTCAGTATCGGGCATGTTCCAGGGAAGGAAAATGTAATGGCGGACTATCTGTCAAGAACAGACATGGAAGTCGAGCTTCCATTGACAGCATACGCAGTGAACAGTATAGAGGGAGACCCACTAGAACTCGTCCGGCAACAGAAATCTGATCCTAAACTGCGAGAGGTAATCAGAGTGATAAGAGAGGGGGCAGATTTTGACAAACGAGCAATGGACAAGGAGGCAATAATGTTGCTTCGGCAAAAGGAAAGACTGAAAGTGAACACATATGGAGCTCTGGTCTGGCAGGATGATGACAAAAATTGGGTGGCTGTGATCCCGAAAGACTGGCGGCGTAAGATGATACACGAATGCCATCAGGTAGCGCACACTGGTATCGCAAAAACGACAGATTTACTACGGCAAAGTGCATACTGGCCAGGCATGAGAGACGATGTGGCCCAATATGTGTTGACGTGCCAGCAGTGCCAATTAATGAAAAGCGATACATGCAACCGCCATTGCAGTCGGTCCCAGTAACCGCAGTTGGTGATCTATGGTCGGTAGATGTGATGGGACCATTTCCACAGACGGATAGCGGCAACCGATACTTACTAGTTATGACGGAACATGCTACACGATGGGTCGACGCTGTACCGATTGCCGACCAGCGGGCGAAAACAGTGACCGAAGTAATAATCCGGCACATTGTAGCAGGTCATGGAGTACCGAAGATGATACTAACCGACCAGGCTCCCTGTTTTGAAAGTGACGAGTTTAAGGCCCGTTTGAAGCAGTTCGGTATCAAGAGGATACGAACTACACCGTATCACCCTCAGACGAATGGGCTTACGGAAAGAAACAACCGGACATTAAAGGAATGGTTAGCATCTAAAGGAGGGAATTGGGAGAAAGAGTTACCACTAATTTTGCTGGCGCATCGTGCCTCCATCCAAGGAACAACTAAGAAATCACCTTTCCTACTTATGTATGGTAGACAGCCACGACTTCCGATGCATAATATGACGTGGCCACAGCAGCAGAAGTGGACGGCAACAAGATTAAGGAAAGAGAGGACGGAGGCAATAAAGAACGTGAAAAAGAAACAAATATCAGACACCAAGAAGGTGGAACAGCAGAGAAGAGCATGGAAGCCTTTTAGAGTGGGGGACCTGGTAAAGTGTAGAGAACGGAGAGCTAACACTGAAGGGGGACCAGGGTCAGGAAAGCTGACCCCGAAATGGGAGGGACCGTACATTATCACGGAGAGACGCGGCCCAGTTTACACGATCCGGAGAGAAGACAAGCAGAAGCGTGTAAATGCCAGTCAACTACAGAGATGGTTTCAGGAACATCATGAGCACGAGTCACGAACAGCACCAAAGGAGACAATGGTACGGCGATCAGAAAGATTGCGAGAACAGCTTATTAAAAGGGGGGACGAGTGTGGTGTGAGCTACTGATATCGATATAAGTAGTATATATGGTGAGTATGGAATAGAATATCTGACAGCAGAAGATTGAGAAGATCAAGAAGAGAAAAACAGAAATAAAAAGCAATTTGTGTGGAAATCCATGAACAATGAAGTCTGAGGCAATTGAAGAACATTTTGCAAATAGTGTATCATAGCATGGTTTTTGTATTTTACCAAGTAACGTTGTAATTTGTGCTAAATATATAGTTGGTTGTCCTCACCTGTGTTCTCATTCACAACAATGCTAAACTGCATTTCAGCGAGACAGCTACTGGCCAGTGTGTGAATCTATCTATGCAAGTGGAAATGTGACTAAAACCATCAGGTGGTGATAACTGCCTGATGATATGGTCAAGCATGGTATTACAATTACTAAATGAGCTGAATGGGTCATTGTTATGTCGGTGAATTTTAACTTTTTAACAAGTGGTACATGCCTGGGAACACTTGTAAACCCCAATTAACGTTAGGTCAAAGAAAAGCTCAGTAACTAGTATAATGATGGAGTTTATTTATGGGTGGGATATTTTTTTCATATTAACAGAAATGCAGCATCTCATAGCTTGCAACACAGTGGCAAGATAACTTGGGAAGATAGCTACTTGAAATCAGATCGGTTTATTGGGAAGCCGATGTATCTTCTATATGCCATAATGTTATTTGTGAATTATGTTATCACCACCAATGAAGCTTTATTATATGAGGGCTATCTGGGAATCCATGTAGAAAGACTTACGGAACTAACGTACATGTAAGTAGTCGACCCATCTATTTGTTCTTCTTACGTTAAAATTCAACGTGGATTCAAATGATCCGCCATGTTTCAGTTTATATTTGATATTTTGAAAGTTTACACTATAGACCAAGTTTAGTAAACCACTATGAGTTATAAAGTTGTAGGTAGCTGTTTTGGTCTGATATAAGACAAGTTAGAAGTACGTATTCACTACCCCATTAGTGATCAAATTTCGGGCATTCGAATCAAATGATAAACACCATACCCTAAGACTATTAAGTTGGTATGTCTACCACACTTTCTAATTTTTCTCTTGATTGGAATTCAAGACACTAGATTCTAAATTGAGATAAAATTGACCATTATTGTTCACTGATTTCTAGTAAAATAAAAGATCTGTAAGACTTGGTGGATTAAGTTTTAAATCAATTGGGAATACGAAGAATTGATTTAATAGTAAGCTAAATTGTTTGAAATTAATGAAACTAAGTAATCAAATGTAAGTTCGTGTACACTCGGCTTTGAATTATTCAGTTATTTTTGAAAGTCATAATAACACGTACTATCTTGATGTACAAACTGAATTAAGTAGAGATTGATCTGTCGACCTACAATCAACTATTAATCCATTATTTCACGTTAAAGTTTTTAGATAACCAAGTAGATAACTTCTAAAATTTACTTTACTGAGGTATAAAAATACCTTGTTTTTATCATGACACCAGCTGATTACTAATCAATGATTGTAAAATTAAAAACAACTCAGCAAACAATAAAGGTGTGTGACATTAATAGAATTAATATTTATTCCACTTACCCCCACTGTTTGATAATTATTGTTTCCCTTAGTAATTCAAAGTTTTTACCTATGAATAAGTTTTTTCTTTAATTTTTGACATCAGTTGTGTTTTGTTTATATTTTCATGTAAATTGATCAGTTCACTTGTAATAATCATTGACTAATTCATGTATTAAATGAATTAATGTATATAAATATATGTGTATAAATTAACCTACCAAGTACAGGTTTATGTATTAGGCTTTGAGCTATACATGTTATGTGGAGGTTAATGATACGACCTAACTGGCTGCATAAACCATTATTTCTGCATAGTTTTCAACTAGGCTTGATAATCTAATTATTGTAGGAATTGCTCAGTATAACTCGATACTTACATCTTCATTTTATTCTGAGTGAGAAAAATCAGTTTGTGAAAACCCAATCGTTTCGAGATCATTTGTTTCATTACGCTTTTGAATATGGTTATATGGTTAAATTACATCTACAAAATAGCAGTGACTCAAAGCAATACATGTGTATCCGTACATGATTAATGCATTCTCCATGTTGTTTATTTAACGAATTAACATCTCTAAAAATCACCTAAGGATGATAAAAACAACTTTTAAAAATCATATCAATTATTGAGTAGTTATAGTAAAAGTCGAATTTCAACCGATATGCTGTAGATTCGAAGCTCATCTATCTCTATTTCGATTTAAGAAGTGCTGAGTAGAGTATTTCTAGCCCTCAAACAAACAGTATGCATCACAGAAATGTACATAACCATTTATTTGATGAGTTAAATTAAATTAGTTCTGTCAAATCACTCAGGGTCTGTACTTATAACGAGGTCTCATTTTTATCGATCTCCTAGTCGACTAAGACCAACAGGTAATGACCATATTTTGCCTGATGTTATGTTTCGATAGATGACCCAATCATATTTTGGTGATTTGCTGTCTGAGCTGAGTGGTTTAATCGTGAGGCTTTCGTTATCCTTCTGGACAGTGTCATCAGCACAAACTTCAGGTAGAAGTGAGCTATTCAAATTTTTCCACGGCTTGTTCTATCGACGTTGATTTTTATTGGTTATTGTTGTTGTCGACCGTTGTCTTGTCGTCTGCATATTTATTCTGAATGCTATTCATTTTGGTCTGATTTTTTATTTTAAAATTGAACGTACAACTAAGTTACACATCTTCGAGATTTCAAAACTCACACATAGTAAAGGAAACTTTTTTGCTTCTTTTTCGATTCATACATTAATTATATGTATGTTCTCATTGAATGTAACAATATGTTTTTTGATCATTTTTTCAATTTTTTTCCCTTTAAAAAACCAAAAATTAAATCCAATGATTTATTAATAAATAATATGCTGAAAACAATCGGAATTTATTATATCCAGCCATTCAATCGTGATGCATTATATGTACGTCGTTATGCATCACCTTATTTTAATGATCCTACAGTTATTAATAATAATGGTGTAACTCAACCACGACGTGAACTTTATGTTACTTTAATTTCTGGAAATTTCTCTAAAGGTAATAAAACTAGAGAGCATAATGTTGAAGTGGAAGTCAACGTCGTAGATAGTAATGGGAATTCGGTAAGTATGATATTCATTAATGTTGCTTATTGTTATTTATTATTATTAGTTCGTCAACTAGTTACAGATTTGTATACTCAGCTTTGAATTACAGTTTATACGTGTATATGGGGACCTGATGATACCTATTACTACTCGGTTGGCGAAACCAAAGTAGTTGGAGCAGAGTTTGAACACTCAGCACTTCTGACCCACTGTTGCCGTATTGTTCTACCATGTCCGGTATTTATATGGAAATGTTATAGTCTTACACTGAGCAATAATATATATCGTGTTATAAAATGTATATTTATATAGAAAGAGAGGGAGCGCGATAGATTCTAGTGGTGTGGTGTTTTTTGGATTGGTGTTTTAATTACAAAGTTTTCGTTGTTGTTCTAAGAATTATCGACCAGACTAACGATAAAACTTCACTTCTAGACCATCCAGCTTAGAGAATCTGAATATACACAAAACATGAGATAAAAAATCTCATCTCTACCGTGTATACAAATGGTTCAGATAATATTTTTTGAGTTGGTGATCACTGTACGTTGACGGATATATCTTTTTTTTTATCGCAACATCAGAGTGTCAATCGACTCGTTATTATTTCCAAGAGCTTTTGTTTACGTTTAATTTTACTGAATTTAATTTGATTTTTAATAAATTCGTCTTCACCATCTCATTGGATTAATAAAAATGCAAACGACCGAATTAAATATCTCCTTGCTAAAGTAAATTCTAGGTTAACGCATGGAATAGTACACTATCAATATGACGAATTTTCTATCGTTTAAAAGGATCTCGTTTGAAAATATTATACATCATGACATGTTCTCTTCTTGTCTTGGATTCATTCAATGAGATTTGGGAGTTCATTAATTTTTTGAGTTTTTTTGTCATAGATTATATCTTGGTTTCAATTAGTTCTGTTATGATAGTTCATGAATGTTAGGAGACAGGCATTAACTTCAATTTTATCAAGTTGATAAATCCTCAATTACAGCTTTTCCAAGGATAATAAATCCTCAAATACAACATTTAACAAGAAATATACTTTAAAATTCACATATTGTTTTAAAATAAATTCTGTTCACTTTTTTTTTGTATTTCCTTTCACTGATGCTTTGAATGTAAGTGATAACTACTGAATTGATAAACTCTAAATAATAATCACCGAAATTAATCGGTGTATAATTGAATTATAGTGAATGTCAAGATAATGTTCTTTGGTTTTTTTCCAATAAACCTTTCTTAACAAGACTTGTCTTTTGAAATAGTTGGGACTAGAAATGAAGAGAGCTATTGTGTACGGTGTAGAAATTGTCATTAGATTTATTACTGCTATCTCGCTCTGTAACGAACTCACTTCTTGCAGTAGAAGTTTAGTTTTTGGTAATCCTAATAAAAATTGTTACAATCTAGTCATATAAGTTAGTTATAAATTAGTATTATTATTATTATTATGTATTATGATCATTTGAAAATTCCTACTTTGAAATGATGATAAGGTGGCTAAAGCAAGATGTAACATCAGCCTATAAAGTTATTAACTGCTGAACTGAACTGTATAGATAGATTTAGACTACTACCTGGTTAGGGTTGGTGCGGTCATATTAACTAGCGATTAGAGATGTTAAGTGACTACATGAGTTTTTAAAATGATGTTATACATTTTATTAAACGAATTCACTCTCTCTGACTCATGTTTATGTTACTGATACTGTTACTACTTCTACTACTCTAGTATTTGTCTTGATAATTTAGTTTCACTGTACTGATATGGTGTTGCAACTTGGAAGCGTTATATCTAACTGGCTGAATGACTGGTTCAATAAGTTAGTTCCTAGAATGTCCCTTAGTTAGTGATAGTATGAATTCAATGTATTGTAACTGAATATATTTTACTTCTGTTTAATTCATTGAAAGTTTGTAAATGAAATGATATTTAGAAAGGTTTAACATTTTGGTGGTCACTCATTGACTTAATGTATGTTTCACTTAATAAAACAAAAGTTAATTATCTACAAGAATACAATATAAATTCAATATGAAAAGAGATTCAATAATAGCTGGTCAACTAATTAGTGCTATATTTTATACGTTAAATTTTATAAATCTGTGAAATTAATCAGAAATTTTGGTTATTCTCTTCCGTTCTATGAGACAGAATTCTATACGAATTTTAATATTGTTAAGTTCAATCTCAATAGATATCTGTAAGGAAATAGTAGGTAGTATCCACTTAATGTTATTTTTTTGTTTATTTACTTCTGTAAAGTTATTTTTGTTTCACATGTATCATGAGATTTTTGTAATGCAAATTATAATACTCTATGAGTTATCAAAGGACTGTGGCACTACATTGTATATTAAACCAAAGCATTTAGTTGTCTTAGGACATTAAACACACTCCTATTGTTTTGTTCCGAGGTCTAATCCATAAAATAACGACTTAACACTGTAAAGAAAGGAAGGTTGGTTCTTCTGATGATAGCCGGTAACAAATGACCGTCCATACTGATTAATCTTCTGACTGAACGCTTGAATCGGTTTCCTAAGCTCTTCTAATAACCCCAGGTTAACTTTACACGACAACTTGAACACGAAAGGAAAGGCGTGACTGAATGGATAAACCTCTTGTTCTACGTATATGTGCAAACATTTTGCTATCAGTGCTGCTACTATGACACTTTACTTCCACGATTTATGTGTTACATGAATTTCATTGTAAAGCATCACTCACTTCATAAAACAATAGACAAAACGAAATATATATATATATATATATATATATATATATATATATACATCACTGTTGTATTTCTGTTTGAATATTTTTTTTCATAAGTAAATATTGTGAAAAGTTGTCAACCGTTGATAAAAGGATTTGAGTACTTTATAAAATAATACTTGAATAATGGTATCATAGTATTTTCACTGTTGAAAAAAATTCCAGAGATTTGCAAACAGGCCTCCAGATATGTAAGTTTTAAGGGATTATTATTATTGTTTTTAGGCGAAGAGGTTTAGTTGGTAGCTTAGTGAACCACTTCAACATGTTCCTCAAGTTCTGCCTAAATGTTTTGATTGGTGGAGCCCAGATATATTGGGAATAGAACGGTTGTTGTTCACCGTGCGACCTAAGTGTTCAGCGTTAAACCTTCGATGGGATCGTGGGTGCACACTACTGAGGAGTTTCGTACCAGGACTAAATAACTGTCTAAAGCTCTTTATTTCCTTTACTGGTGCTCCATGTGATGACATCAATCTATGACAAATATAACCTGCACATTCTTTTCATCTATTGTTTTTTGTAATGTGATTTAGATAAAAAGAAACATTTCATATTTCACTTTTCTATTGTTTAGTTAAATCTGAATAACTCACCTGAACGTTTATCACCTGTTCACAAATCAGTTGTATACTATCATAAAAATCAGCCATATTGGAGTGAGCTATTTATAATCAATTTACCGTACTCACCAATTGAATCCTCTTGTATAACAACAACAATCGATGGTGTGAATAATAATCTTGGTGGAGATAATAACAATAATAATGCTGAACGATCTAACCATGGTTCACAGCATCAACAACAGTTATTCAGTGCAAATCCAACTTATCCTGGGATGTTAGCTGGTGTACATTTGAGACTTTTATGTCGTCATCGATCAACTGGACCAGGAGGTAAATAGATTAAAATGATGAATAATAAATAACGAATAATAATAATAATAATAATAATAATGGTAATAATGGCAATCATTACTATTATCATTATGCCTAAACATTGAGTATTTCACACAACCTGTTGGTAGTTGGATTATTCTCCACAAACCCTCTGCAATAATAATATATATATGCTTACTGGTGGCTAACTTCGAGGTGTAACTACTGAAGTTCTAGTTAGAAACTGTGACCATTATATTCAACTCAGTATTGTTTGTTTGAATCTTCCCATCGATTTGTTAGGACTGCAACTGGTCAGTCTCTAATTGGCATATGTGCATACTGTGCGTATTGCCTCGATATACCTTAATTCACAAGTATGGTTAGCAGAGATGGATAGTGGCTAGCAGTGGAATCCAGGACGCGCGTTTCGTCCTATTTGGGACTCGTCAGCTGGATGTACCTGCATCTCAGAGTTGATGTTCACTCTGGGATTCGAACCCAGTACCCTCGCTTCAAACGTCATCGCGTTAGATACTGACCAGTTGCAGTACTAACAAATCGATGGGAAGATTCAAACAAACAATACTAAGTTGAATTTAAACTTCACCCATCGCACAAGCAAGTGGCTATCAGGACTCAGTGGCCGAGTGGATAAAGCGATTGCGTTTGAAGCGAGGGTACTGGGTTCGAATCCCAGAGTGAACATCAACTCTGAGATGCAGGTACATCCAGCTGACGAGTCCCAAATAAGACGAAACGCGCGTCCTGGATTCCACTGCTAGTCACTATCCATCTCTGTGACCATTATAGTTCAGTCATGTAAGTTGTGTGACAGTTACTCATTAACGGTATTCGAACAATATCTCAACTTGATTAAAGTTAGACAAGGTAAACCACCGGGTGCTGGCCTAGTGGTCTAATTGTTAGACGCTTTCTTCGGGACCTGGGTGTTGTGGGTGTGTATTACTGATTAATCTCGTATTAGGGCGAAACAGCTCTCTTGTACCTCTGGTTTCCAATGAGCTGTTGGGTTAAAAATCAGCCAAATCACAATGTTTTGTTTGATTTGCTAAATTGTACTTTCGGATCATTGTTTATAGGGGTTTAAGGCACCAAACAGTGTTATGTTTAATCATGAAGCTTTGCAGGATGTGCATATATCATCTGACAACGTTGAAATAAACTGTTTATATGAAAATATAACTGCAGCGTATGGTGATATTATGTGATGTTGAATCAACATGTGGGAAATGAGAGGTGTCGAAAAAGCCAACTGAAAATATTTGTAACTCCAGTTTATATAAATATCGACTTTTAGATTTGTATCGTATGTTAGGAGTGCTTACTTGCTAGTTTATCTCATTGGCATGATTAATTTCAATGACTAGAGAGAAGTCAGGTGATTCTTGCAGATTGATATTTGTATGATTAATGTGTAATATGTGATTCATGTTGAGCCAGTCGATCAGTCATAAATAAAATAAAACCTTTGGAAAAGTGTTCATTCACTAAAGTTATCATTTTGCAAATCACTATAAAGGGGGAAACTTAAGTTAAAAAGCAAGGTAATGCTTGTGAAAGTAATATGTTAGGCAGTTTGAGGTAGTTGATAGGAAAATCTGGACTTAGGTTTCGTGCTAGTTAATGCTCGTCGCTTCAATTGACTCATGATTTCAACTTTGAAAAATTACTTTATCAATTGATACCATCTGCCGTGTAGTAGTCAAGGCGAATCTACTCCTGTTCTATCAAATATTATACATTTAGATAATTGTTGAACTTGTGTAACACATGTCCAGATCATCAAAGTAGGTGAAATTTCACAGTCTCATAAATTGAATCATTATCTATACCCATTAACCTAAGCCTAATCCCTCATAATTACTTACTTATCGACTTCACCATACACGAGTAATATTTCAAAGATATTTTTTTATTAAAAACTACTAGCAACATATGGATAGCATAAAATAGTCAAGAACCATGTTTTATCATGACCTTGTTTTACTGTACCACTTCTTTCTTTTTTAACTCCTTCAAAGTAATGACAATGATGAGTTCAATTAAATTGCATTTTGTCAAATTCTTATTTGTCGTCCCAATTTCATGTCCACATATGGACAAATGATCAATAAAATTTAATGTTGATCATTTAAACTTTTATTAAATATTTGTTTATATGCATATGTTACTAGATATTCAGTCACCTTAATTTGTTTACGATTCAATAATAATGATAATAATAATAGTGGTAACAGTTGTAACAGTTTTTATCAAATGACGTAAGCCGAATGTGTGTACTTTTTTCCATCTATAAAATTTACAATCTAGTGTAAGCATGATAATGATTTTCATCGAATGTAATTTCTATGATTTGATAAAACGAGTTTAAATTAGAAATTGATAGTTTAACCTGTTGTTAAATGGGTCAGGAAATTTATCCGTCAATATTTAGGTTTAATGCTGCTGAATAATATTAGCGACTAACTGTTATGACTTGACCTAGCCGTCGCCAATTTGTTATGCTTTTGACCTAGGCGGTAGCCAATTGTTATGATATGATCAAGGTCGTCGCTGATTCGTTATGACCTTACGAATTTAACAAGGACGTAATTCGCGTAAATTGTCCACCAATAGAATACGACTTCTACGACCTTCATACTGTGACAATGACGTTCGATCAGTATGAGTAATCTAGCGTCCTTATTGGCCCTTACCCGCCCAACCCGTCCACTTGAGTCCAAAAACACCAATAGCAGCCTCGGCAATACGAATCGTTTGTTTCAAGCATACTTTGTTTATATATCAGACAGACAGGCCACATCATACCATAAAATAGAAAATAATATTTGTACAAAACCAGGCCAAATGAGGCTGTAAGCGTGGGAGACAATAATCAATAAAACTGAGTATAACATAGGGACATTAAATCATATAGTAATAATCAATAGGTCAAAATAAAGCTTAGATAATCTAGTTACCGAATAGTTATACAATAAGAATGATAGTCCAATAGTAGGTCCTGCAAGTTACCCGTACTTATGTCTTCGCTACTACATAACACTAACGAATTCAGTCATTGGACAATCAGTCGGCATAAGTCATTCAAATTCTTCTCCATTATAATTTTCATCTTAGATCAAAATTGTATATCGCAAGTATTATATTTATAATATTTAATAATTCTTCACAATCACGAATTAGATTTTATATACTGAGATTCCCGCTGTTCATTATGACATAAGTAAGTTATTGGAGATCAAGGTAGCAAATGTATTATTTAATGTCGATCTAACTTCATCCTTATAATCACACTGATCTACGTAGTCATAACATTTATCCTGATATTGAATCTTATAAAATCCTGTTTAAAATATTCGAACTGACGTTCAGTTTTTATTTTTATTTTAATTAGTAATTTTCTCCCAATTGTTTACTAAACGATTGGCATGTTGATATGATTGAGTTAAGTCAACTATAGGACCGCTCTTACAAATAATTATTCTACAAAGTTAATATAGAAAAAATAGAAGTAGTATTGTGTTTCAGCGAATAATTCAAATCATCATATTAACTTATCTTACTTACTTCCTCCTTTTATTTCTCGTGAAATAGTGTAGGCCACCCATCATCATTCTCCATCCAGCTCTATCCTGTGCAGCCTTTTCCCGTTGTCTCCAATTGTTATTCATTCTTGTGATGTTTGCCCACAATTCCCGACACAGTGCGTTCTTTGGTCTTTCACTTTTCCAATTAACTTCAGGATTCCAATTTAGCGCCTGCCTCGTGATGGAGTTTGCTAATTTCCAAAATGTATGTCTTATCCACTTCCAGCATCTTTTCCTTGTATGTATCAATCGAAATTGAGTTGTTCCCCAAACGGTAGCTAGTGTAATGAAACTAAATATCCTCTTTCAGAAAGGTTAAATGAAGATATTTTCAACTTTCTGATATCGTAACCAATCTACTCCATCCGTAATTCTCAGGGACTCTCTACTTATCTTGCACCGAAAAGGCTATGAATCAATTATAATATGATATCGTTACATGTCTCAATGTTGAAACTATACTACTTATCATAACTAGGAATCGCTCTTTCATTCTAATTAGTCCTCATTAATCAACAGTATATCGAAAGTCATGAATTCAGAGTTAGTTGTATTCGATAACCAATTTTTAACTGGTTACCTTTTATGTTTTAATAAATTTCGCAAAATTTTTAATAACGACACCTCGTTTGTGTATATTTCATTGTAGATTCTGAAGGTAAAATTCTAGGAGTTGCATATTTGCGACTCCAGCCGAATACATCTGTGCCAGTTCTCTTGCCTGATGGAGATTATCATCTGTATATACATAAGGTGTGTATAAGCAACTCTTTTTACTTTTTTACTTTTTTCTTCATTTTGATATAAACTTATTCTCATTAATGGGATAGATGTTGACAACTACCTGTAACCAGCTAGACATGTCTTTCGTGACAAGTTGTGTTCATAATGATGTGATCAGTTTTGATGAATTAACTATTCTCATCATTTATGAAAGTAGACGCATAACTTACTTACTTACGCCTGTTACCCCTTGTGAATGAGCATAGGCCGCACACCAGTATTCTCCATCCAACTCTGTCCTGGGCAGTCCTTTCCAGTTCTTTGCAGTTGTTATTCATCCTTTTCATATCTGCTTCTATTTCCCGGTGTAATGTGTTCTTTGGCCTTCCTCTTTTCCGTTTTCCTTCCGGATTCCAAGTTAGGGATTGCTTCATGATGCAATTTGGTGATTTCCGTAATGTATGTCCGATCTACTTCCAACGTCTTTGCCTAATTTCCTCTTCAGCTGGAAGCTGGTTTGTCCTCTCCCATAAAACGCTGTCCGGTCAGTGAATGTTGAGTATTTTGCGTAGACAACTGTTTATAAATACTTGTACCTTCTTGACAATGGATGCAGTAGTTCTCGAAGTTTCAGCTCCGTACCGTAGGGCTGTCTTGATGTTGGTATTGAAGATTCTGACTTTGAAATAAGTTGACAGTTGTTTTGAATCCCATATGTTCTTCAATTGTAGAAATGCTGCCCTTGCTTTGCCAATCCTCGCCTTTACATCTGCATCCGATCCTCCTTGTTTATCAACGATGCTTCCCAAGTATGTGAATGTTTCTACATCTTCCAGAGTTTCGCCATCAAGTGTGATTGGGTTGGTGTTCTCCGTGTTGCATTTGAGAATCTTGCTTTTTTCCTTTGTGAATGTGAAGGCCAATCGATGCAGAGGCTGCTGCTACATTTGCGGTCTTCATCTGCATTTGTTCGTGTGTATGAGAGAGGAGGGCTAGGTCATCTGCGAAGTCCAAATCATCTAGTTGATTCTGAGAAGTCCATTGTATTCCGTATTTTCCGTCAGATGTCGAATTCCGTGCTTGCCCTTAAATGTCGAGGTCTTCATAAGCCAGTCAATCAGTAGAATAAATAGGAAGAGTAGACAGCCTTTTGTGACTTTGGTTCTTACTGGAAATGCTTCTGTCGGCTGTCTTCCATGCACCACTTTGCACTGCAGTTCGTCCCATGAGTTCTGGATAATGTTGACAACTTTCTCAGGAACTCCATAGTGTCCATAATGTCCATAATGTTCTCCTATCCACACTGCCAAATATTTTATCATAGTCAATGAAGTTGTATAGTGACGAGTTCCACTCAACTGGTAGTTTCACGATGATCCAGCTTGTTGATCTCGTAGTTGGGCGTCTATTGAGTCTTTCATCCGGTTCAACAACACTCTATTGAAAACTTTTCCTGGTACTGACAAGAGTGTGATGCTTCTGTAATTCTCATATTTGCTCAGATCTCCTTTCTTTGATATCTTGATAAAGTATCCTTCTTTCCAGTCTGTCTGTGGCACTTATTCTTTCTCACGAATCTTCCTGAATAGAATGTGAAGTGTACTTGCAGTTACTTGAATGTCTGACTTTAGTGCTTCAGCTGGTATATTGTCAGGTCCTTCCGCTTTCCCACTCTTGATTTGTCTGATGGCCATCTTGACTTCTTCGATCATTGGTGGAGTGACAGATATAGGAAAGTCAGTGTGTGCTGCTTCGATGTTGGGTGGATTCAATGGGGTTAGTCTATTTAGCAGTTCCTCGAAGTATTCTGCCCATCTTTTCCTCTGTTCTTGAGTCTCAGTGATTGTCTTTCCTTCTTTATCCTTGATTGGTCCATCCGGTTTGCTATATCTCCCTGCCAGTTTCTTCTTTGTATCATATAGTTGTCTCATATTCCCTTCTCCTTTCGTGAGCACTTCTCTATAATTGATTGCAGCCTTTCATAGAACTGATCTTTATCGTCGTCGTTGCTATCATTGGTGGGTGCATAACATTGGATAACGTTCATTGTGATCCCCTCCTTCTTCTGTTCTGAATGATGCTTTGATTATCCTGGGTCCATGAGATTCCCATCCTACAAGTGCATTTCGTGCTTCTTTGGACAGCATTAGAGCAACTCCTTGAGTGTGTGGAGCATTTCCCCCTTCGTGACCGGAGTACAGCAGCATCTCTCCTGTACCTAGCTTTTGCTGTCCAGCTTGTGTTTAATGGGTTTCGCTGATTCCGAGTACTGCCAATTTGTATCTTCTCATTTTTGTTGCTTTATGACTGGCCTTTCCGGTCTTCCATATTGTCCGGACGTCTCATGTACCTAGAAAGAGTTTTACTCTGGTTGTTAGGAGGTGCATCGGCCTCGTGACTTCCGAAGGATCTCGGCTTTTATCATGAGGCGTCATAATTATTCCTTCAACTCTCAGGGCAGAGTTTAATTGGTTTGAATTATTTTTTTGGTTAGCTTTTTTTAGCGGGTTACTCTTCTACTGGATGATGTCTCTGACCCCATGCCAAATCCTCCTCCTTTGTGTGGGCTTGGGACCGGCAGTAACTCTGTAAGAGCTACAAGCGGAGTTAAGTAGACGTATAAGGAAAATAGATTTTTTTATATTTCGTGAATATAGAACTTGATTGGTGTTTTAAATTTTATGTGGGCATAAAGAAAACACTTGCTTAATTTGTCTCTTGTTTTTTATGCGTTGGTTATTATCTTGCCTTCAATTCGTTTGATATTCATCTTGATTGACTATTTTCACTAGTTCTGCTAATCATTTGTCATGATTTGTTTTTCATAATAAAATTACTATACATTAGTGGATAGTGTGTCTATTTAGCTAAGGCTTTATCATGTAATAGACAGATATGATGATGATAATATGCAAATTACTGGGAATAGTGCATTATTGACAAAAGACTTAATTGCGCTTTTGTCACAGTTATGGTTTGAAAATGATTGGTCATTTGTTGTTCGACATTATGACCGTATTTTCAAAGTTCATAACGGTTGGAAATCTGTTTATCCGAACAATTAGATGATAGAAGTGGTTGCGAACGATAACTTCTTTAAACTAACATTGTTTCTCTCTCTCTCTTCCTCTGGGCGGAACTTCTGGTCGTGCTGCACTTCTAACTGACTCAGTATGTTCACACGATTTACCTAAATTTACTAAAAATTACGACAGACTATGATTTGAATATTAGACAAATCAAGAGCGGCAAAGCACCGGGACCGGACAACATCCCGGCAGAGGCACTAAAAGCAAATGTAGCAGCAACTGCCAAGATACTACACATCCTCTTCAGTAAGATTTGGGACGAAGAACAAGTACCAACAGACTGGAAAAAAGGACTTCTTATCAAAATACCAAAGAAAGGTGATCTTAGCAAGTGCGACAATTACAGGGGCATCACTCTCCTCCCAATACCAGGAAAAGTCTTCAACAGGGTATTGTTAAACAGGATGAAGGATTCCGTGGACGCCCAACTTCGAGATCAACAAGCTGGATTTCGTAAGGATAGATCGTGCACAGATCAAATCGCAACTCCACAGATCATTGTGGAACAGTCAATCGAATGGAATTCATCACTGTACATCAACTTCATCGACTACGAGAAAGCATTTGATAGCGTGAACAGGACGACACTATGGAGGCTTCTTCGACACTACGGCGTGCCTGAGAAGATAGTCAATATCATACGGAACTCCTATGATGGACTAAACTGCCAAATCGTCCACGGAGGACAACTCACCGACTCGTTCGAGGTAAAGACCGGTGTTAGGCAAGGTTGCCTACTCTCACCCTTTCTCTTTCTCCTGGTGATCGACTGGATTATGAAGACGTCAACAACTGGAGGAAATCACGGGATACAGTGGACAGGCAGGATGCAGCTTGACGATTTAGACTTCGCGGATGATCTGGCTCTTCTATCACAAACACAACAACAAATGCAGGAGAAAACGACCAGTGTAGCAGCAGCCTCAGCAGCAGTAGGTCTCAATATAAACAAAGAGAAAAGCAAGACTCTCCGATACAACACAATATGCACCAATCAAATTACACTCGATGGAGAAGCTTTGGAGGATGTGGAAACCTTTACATATCTGGGAAGCATCATTGATGAACACGGTGGATCAGATGCAGATGTGAGGGCGAGGATCGGCAAAGCAAGAGCAGCATACTTACAACTGAAAAACATGGAGCTCAAAACAATTGTCAACCAACACCAAGGTTAGAATTCTCAATACAAATGTCAAGACAGTTCTGTTGTGTGGGGCGGAGACGTGGAGAACTACGAAAGCCATTATCCAGAAGATACAAGTGTTTATTAACAGTTGTCTACGCAAGATACTTCGGATCCGATGGCCAGACACTATCAGCAACAAGTTACTGTGGGAGACAACAAACCAGATTCCAGCGGAGGAAGAAATCAGGAAGAAGCGCTGGAAGTGGATTGGGCACACTTTGAGGAAATCAGCTAATTGCGTCACAAGACAGGCCCTCACATGGAATCCTGAAAGTCGAAGGAGAAGAGGAAGACCAAAGAACACATTACTCCGAGAAATAGAGACAGACATGAGAAGAATGAACAAGAACTGGATAGAACTAGAAAAGAAGGCCCAGGACAGAGTGGGTTGGAGGAAGCTGGTCGGCGGCCTATGCTCCATTGGGAGTAACAGGCGAAAGTAAGTAAGTAAGTATGATTTGAATAGGTGCTTTGCAGAGATTGCCGAATTTCATAGTTTACATAGCTGGCTAATCTTAATCAGATTACAATTAGAAAGCCGAAATCAATGAATAGCTGTTTCATTCTACTATGGGACTCTTTAGTAGTCAGATTTGAATCAGTTATCCACTAATGACATCAGATGATTGCACAATGTTGCGAATTGATTGTACGTAGACTGAAAAACCATTAGATGCTTGGTAATTCAGTGTTGTTAAGGTTAAACTTTCGCTATGTGCCTTGAAAGTCCTGGGTTCTATCCATGGTGTGCTCGTGGATGGGCATTGCTGATAAATTGCACATTCCACGTTCAGTTTAATTGTCGTGAATCATCCAGGTCATAGCTGATGTCTTCACTTAATGGTTGCGGTTATGTATCGTGATAACTCAATCGAGTTATCCTAGTTGGAACTATTGTTTCTTGCATATTACTTTTCTTATGCAGTCAACTATAAACACTGTAAAATGCAATCATGTTAAACGTTTTATGATAGAAATTCGTGTAGATTAATAGATAAATTAAATGTACTTGTCAATTACAATTAAAATAATTAACCAATATTTCACTGTCTGACTACTCATTTTCAGCTAAGGTTATCTAAGGTTTACAATTTTCGTCAAATGTTTGTTTTATGCAATAGTTGAAGTAATTTTTTATGTTCAGCTAGTGAGTGAATGCTGCATATCACTATGTAATTTGTATTCAAGATTTGGTTTCAAGCCATTTAAATTATCCTCAACTGTCTGATGTGATCATATTCAGTATATCGCAGTTCCATATACTTGATGAAGAAAAAACTCAACTATATTGAAAGTTTTGTTTTGAAATGAAAATTATACATTAATATACATCACTCATTCATTAAGTGGACGGGAAAATAACCAAAAGTATTCTTTTATTATGATACTAATTGATCCTTTTTTGTAACGCCTTTTTCTGTACATTTACAGATGGATATGAATCAAGTGAATTCATGTCGTTATTTATGTCAACCATCTTATTGTGAAGATGATGGACCGATTGCTTATGGTTTAAGTAGTGGTTCCGGTTCTGGTTCCAGTTCTATTGGACTTAATACAATAAATTCAAATTCAAGTGGATTGAATAATATTTTATCGTTGCCTAACTTTTCAACATCATCATCATCGTCACGTAATCGCATGGATACACTACACATACAAACACTTGTTTGTAGTAGTTATCATACTACTGATGGTAAGTGATTAATTTGTTGATTTGATCATCGTAGAAGTGAGAGATTACTGGTTGTAATTAGAATGTACTGTACATCAAAAGTGACTACTGACAAAAACATGATATATTTGCAATATCTCAATCAGTAGAAAATTAAATTTCCGAACATTTCGTGACTCTGTGTAGACCACTTCTTCACAGAATAAATAAATAAGCAAATTAAATTGACGAGGGATTTGTGAAGATTGTAGTATTTCCACAGTTGAAATCGCGAGGTAATTTTAGCCAGATCACTATTGAAAACCTAGAATCACTGGACGGCCGTTTTGTAAGAGGCCGTGACCAGTGGAGTTCAATCCTTGTAGGGTGTGAGATAGTTATCCACCGCAGACAATGGATGATTGGTTGATCAAGAATATGAATTGATTGAGGATGGATGTTAAAACCGTTGGATCTTGACTTATTGATATAAAGGTTAAGCGTACGCATCCGAGGCTAAACGTTTTGCGTTCGATTACCATGTTGGAGGTCACGGATGGGCATTGCTGAGGAATCCCATACTAGAATGAAACAGCCGTACAGTGCTTCGAGGTTCTCATTGGTTGTCTAACACAGGTCGATTTGTTATTCCAACTGTGAGATTAAACTAACCCAGGTTTAAATAGTACATAAGAACAAAGCAAAAATATTTAATACAATAAATCAAAAACAGGACTGAACAAGTCAATGTCATGTCACTCCGGTCGAGGTGCTTTATATGAGACATGCCTGTGTATCTGTGCATTTTAATGGATGTGACAAATGTGACATTTTTAATGTGGAAAGATAGAGTTGAATTTGTCTATGATAATAGTGTGAGATGAGAATCGAATTCGACATGGTGGCTCCTATAGATGCTCCAAGTTGGATGAATAGTAATTCCTTCTCTCACATTGAGGGCAGTAGAAATTAGAAATATATGGTAAGATTTAGCTACTTTCCTTTCTTTGTAGTTGGGATAGCCTTTTTTGTTATTTCAATATTTTTTAACATCGGCTAGATGCTAATTGAAGATGGTATGCACTACTGTTGCTGATCTGATTTGAAGTTTTTCAAGTTCTAAAAAATTATTAGGTGGTCTTTTTGTTCAACCTTGATGTTCTTTGGTTCCAGTCTGGATTTCACAAGGTAACTCCGCAACAAAGAAGGAATCACAATTAACACATCCTTATATGTAGACACAGTTCTATTTTTACGTAAAGGGGATCTTATCCTTTATATGAAACAAATCATTTAGAAAGATGTTAGTTATTTTGTTATATGCTTTAATTCTGTGTTGTTTTAAGATTCTTTGGAGTTCTTATGTTGTACCATGATGGTATGGTAAAACTAAGTTTCCAATCCATGATATTCTATTCGAACTATTACTTAATAATTAATTGCTATAGTTCATTGTGAATAATATTCATTGGAAAATTATCAGATGTTATTTATATACTTCTGTTTTCTTTACTTATCTTCTTCCAATGTCATAATCTTGGTTGTCTTTTAAAGAGAGTATTTGATCCTATATATGACATGAACAGGTTAGCTACAATCGGGGACACAAGAAGATCCCATTGCTACTCTATTTGTTTGCACAATATAGGGTAAATATGGTAAATATAGTTGAATTCAAGCATAATTTTAGGGATTTCGTGATTAGGCTGATGTTTAAAGGACATCTGACAAATAAAGTGTGATCATTCTCTAGTAAATCATTAATAAACTCTTGGCATCTACCAGTAGGAATACTGCAGTGTAAATATACAACATCATAGCTTACCATAGTTTCATTCTTTTCGATAATGAATCCCGATATTTTTGACTTAAAGTGATTAGTATTAAGAAACAATGTCTATACTTGACCGAAAACCTAGACAGCTTGCAAACGATTTTATCACATCTATGGTGGTCAAACCTAAGGGTTAAATTTAAGATATAACCACAAAAATAATAACTAGATAGACAATAAAAATCGCAATAAATGAAGTAACCTGATTAAGAATGAATTTGAACTAAAATTACTTATCCCCCCAATAATTGACAAGTACTTAACAATACAAACAATGTTTGCGGTTCATCGTAAGGGACTGATTTCGGTTAAAGAACTATTGAAAATCAGAGAGCAGTGAACAAGCTTTATGTATTGTAGTCAGGACACGTCATCATTACACATCCAAGACCCTGTCAGGGAACTCGAACCCAGGGAATCGAGTTCTTACAGAGATTACTTATTGTTCAAAACACTTAGTTGGTATTTGATGGTCTACATTTATAATTTTAGACAAGTTGCTACGTAACTCAACTATTTTTCATTGCTATCGGTGATATTTTTCTCACACTCAACATGCTTGAGCTTCACTAATCTTGGCTTCTGATTAGAACTTAGAAGGTTACTTCTTGAAGTTAGTCATTATTAAACGTTTGATAATATTTTTTGTATGGTGTTATCGAAATTATTAAGTTTGAAGTTTCACACTATAATATATTCTTCTTTCTTTTGTGCTCATATTTTCTATAAATTAGAAAATTTAACCAAAGTTATACTATGGCGCAATTATCAAGACGATATTATAATGTGTTTACATCAAGGTATTTATTTGTCACGAAAAGATACTGAATTAAAAAAAGTAGGTCTTTTTAATTTTTAAGAGAATGATTAGGAGTTTTTCTTCTTCCTCTTCTTGTCAAGTACTTTTTTTGAGCATGTTAGCTAAAAATACATATTTTTCATTGTTGTGTATGCGGATTGAGAAAAAGTAATTACCTAAAGAAGAGATTCACAACAATATGCGATTAAATCTCACTATTTATAGTAAAGAAATTGATTTTAACTTTTATTGGTGTATGTGGTCATAAACGACTTGAAATTCTAGAAATTTTCAGGAATAAGACAAAAAATTAGAGGTGATTTATAGGTTTGACCATCTGGATTATAGAATAAGATAAATACTGTGAACGTTCGAAATTCATTGAAATGTATTGGGAAATACTAACTAATTGTTGTGTTCAACCTCTCTGGAGTTTTTCAGGAATATTGATTCAAGCGTTCTTACAGTTTCAACAGGGAACTTAGAGACTAGTTTGTACTCATGACACGGCGTATATTGTAAATACATGGATGACACTTTTCTTGTTTGCAACAATCACAAGCACTCCATCAATCTACTCAGTTTGTTTAATAAAGCACACAAGGATATAAAATTTACCATGGAACATTAAGTCGAAGATAAATTCCATTTCCTAGATATTGGAATTAGACGAAAATCAGTGGGTACATTACAAAGATACGTTTATCACAAAAACACTTGAAATGGACTATAACTCAATTACTACAGTTTCTGTCCATTGAGTTACAAAAAGGGTATTGTACGAACCCTTTTTGGCCGCGCACGCAAAATCTGCTCAAATGAGTGTCTGGAAGAAGAAATGGCTTTAATCACCAAGTGCCTACGTGAAAACGCATACCTGGTGAAATTCATCCATAAATACGCAAACACCAACCGTCAAGTAAAGTATGATCGAGTGGAAAAGAAAACACGCTTCATATACCTACGTTTCAAAGGAGATGAAATCGCTGGAATAATTAATCACAGAACTAATTCTGCGTTGAAAATGACCTACCCAGCAGCTAAACTGACAACGGTGTGGGAAACTAACTGCTCACTCAAAAAAGACTCATCAGCCGTGCGTATCCGCTTCGTGGATTGGTTGAAGTTAGATATTAACACCGTTGGATGCCGGCTCAGTGGTCTATCGGTTAAATGCTCTGGTGCGAGACTGGTAGGTCCTGGGTTCGAACCTCGCGAGTCGGGATCGTGGAAGCGCACTGCTGAGGAGTCCCATGATAGGGCGAAACGGCCGTCCAGTGCTTCCAGGTTTTCCATGGTGGTCTAGCTTCAATCGACTCATGATTTCAACTATAATGAAAATTTGTTTATTAACGGGCAATGATTTTAGTCGGAAAAATTATTGTCATACAATATTCGTAATAACTAATGTTTATTAATAGAGTGGAACAAAACCATTATATCAGAAGAAGATTCTACTCATCCAATCACTAATTCACTTTTTACCGAAAAAATTGTTTAACCACTTGTGATGTATCTGTTGAAACTTCATTGTCACTTGAGAAGAAAGAATTTTTAAGATAAGATTTCATTTGTTGGTGAATTAGTTGTTTACTTGTCTTCCTCTGTGATTGATTGGTTGACTTTATTTGCTTAATAGGTTACTGTTACATTTTTTTTGGCTTATAAATTTGGTTATTGTCATTTTTGTTTTTCTCTCTTTTTCATTTATTGTAGTTCACTCGTTCATTGATTGACAATATGTTGCAACTTCTTATGACTACCACGGATGAAACACATCAACATATTATCAATTTAAACTTAGGTTACAGTCTTCTAATGGGACTGGCTCGTTGTTATAAGGATTTAACGATTGATTCAGTTCGACAACAAATAATATACAGTTATTTAAATGGGCCTGGATTTATATATTATAAAATATATATACCTTATTTACAATTATTAAATGCTATGGTATGTGAAATTGTCTATCCAGCATTATATCAAAATCATCATCCTTCGACTAATTCTACTCTTCCTTATTCATCGTCATCAGCATACGCATCCAGTGGTGTTGGTAGTACTTCTGATCGATACAAAGTGGAACATCAGTTCAATACTAGTGTTAATAATAGGAATATTGGCATGACATCTACAACTGGACACTTTTTTGATTCAAAGGCTATACAACTTATCTTTTCAACAATACATTGGGCATTTTTAATTATTGTTCGTTCAAGGGTAAATAATTGTTTATTTCACTTCAATATTGTACAGATTTGATGGATAATTAATTGATATTTTGGCATACTTTAAGCTCTATTTTTTGCATGTTCTTTAACCATTTTATTATATCAAACTAGGAAATATTCTTATTGTAATGCTACTCTTCAATAACATGTTGATTTCTAAATAATTCTCCCTAAGAAACTGGTATTATCTTGAAAATCTTTTAAAAGTGAATGTTGACTATGTAGTTTTTTCATTGTTCTACCTTAGTAGGACTACGTAGCAGTACTTACTAATTATCTCATATAGAACCAAACCATAGAGTTGTGCGTTTTTCGAAAATCACAATGCCTATAGGCCATTAAACCACATTAATTAATCCATCATTATTACTCTTTGATTATTCAAGACAATACTATCATAAAATCAGTCTACCAAATATGTAGATCTTAAATTTTCTTCAAAGCTAATTGTTTATATACATTGTTCGGATAACCTCGACCTTAGATTCTTATAAAATGTCTTGAAAAATACGTATAACCGGATTGTTCGAAATGTTTGGTATAAATACATCACATTGTTCAGATAGGTTCCGTCTAGTCTTTGTTCTGTTAAAATGTTTGAAAACGATGATTAATTACTTTACATTCATTTGTTCAAGGGTAATTATCTCTGCCAATACTGTAATATAATTAGTCCGATATTAATTGTCATAACAACAGATGATCTGTGAACTAATCACTTATCATCAATAATTTAACGGATAGTGAAGTGTTTAATTTAAAAATATTACACTGTGTTGCGGATTTATGTTGTAGAAAGTCTGTAGCATACGAGGATTTTTGTAGGTTTTCTATTTAAAAAAAAATGCCATTGCAAAACGTTTTTCCCTATACAGCAAATAGATTAGCTTTTTAATGCAAAAATATTGAGTTATGTATCTAGATTAAGCAAAATGATTTTTGAACTTTGCCATTTTGAACATTCATTCAATTGGGGATATTTGATTGCAGCAAATAGGTTTCAACAAAAATCATTCAATTTTCCAATAGGCTTTCTTTTACAGGGTATTTAGCGTGTAAAGACTTGAAAAAAATATTTACAATTAATCGATCACCGAGTGAGTAGTGATCGGTGTGATGTATATCAGTCAATTCATTTCGATTGCTGATTGAATTCTATCCATCAAGTTGCAGTTTGCTCGCTAGCCTAAGTGACTCGACATCATCATCTAACAGCTCAACATAGCGCACACAATGTTAAGTCGCTTAGACTAATGAACACTAAAAAGGACTTGACATACACGACATTGGTCACTGCTCAGTAATCAGTCTGTTGTAAATGGATCTCAGTCCTAACGCAGATCAATTGAGGCGCGAGTAGCTTCAGGGGTAACATCTCTGAGTGTGAAGCTGAGTGATACGGGATCGAGTCCGCCAGGTAGCATCGGTTGTTTCATGATTTCAGGTACGTACGCCCTGGTGATCAGTATTGGATATTATCATACCTTGATCCAGAGCTTACTGTTTACTTCCTCCAACCACATAACAACCATTCGTACTGATCCCTAACTAATTTACAACTTGTTTTATTCCGATGACATCTCTTCTTAGCGCCCAATATGTATATTCAGTGCATGAATTGTATTGTAATGGCGTCTCGTTTCTCTAATGAACAACTACGAAGAAAAATACATCAACCGCTATTTTTATTATGTTTGAATTTTGCAGCAATTATATTCACGATAAATTAGAAATACCTCATGAAAATGCATGAGTACATGTGGTCATTAATAAAGAATTAGTCAACGGAAGATGTATTAGAAACAAAAATTCATACCGATAAATACACTTTTGGAAATTCCACTAGCCCAGCATTATAAGCATACTACTTAGTAAGGATCATTAGAATTATCATTTAGACTGTGATATTCTGTATCATGAAGTAATCATAGGTTTCTTCTGAAACACTTATAGAACACTTGTTTGCCATGGACAAACGATTTTGTTGTGTATACGGTCGATTCGCACTATACAAGATAACTAGCGAACGATTAATCTGCCATGCGTTAACTAAACGTAGATCAGTGACATGTCCGCCTGACTAGTACGTATATTGGGTAACATAACATATACAGAAGGTAAGAAGATATAAACGGCAATCAGACATCTGTCAGATTGTCTATCAGTTTTTCTGAAAACAACAACTAGTCACTAGTGAGTTTCACTTACACAAGACGTCGTATAAACTATGCTCAGTTTACTTGATCTAGCACTCTAGTGAAACCATTTGCATAATAGCTTGTGTTTATTGGCGTTCGGTTCTAACAATCACATTGACTCAGTTATTAATCTACCCGTTAGTTTCAACTTATTATCATCACCAAACTTATATTTCAAATTAGGTGATAACAATCGGTGACTGGAAAGCTCTCAGATCCAGATTTTGTTAGCTTTTCTATTTACTAACACATGAAGATAAAATTCCAAATTTTTAAAAAAACCCGTAAAACTTCAGTCAGAAATGTTACTACTTTTTCTCTCTCTTCTGCTTCTCTTAGCATTTAGATATTACGCAGTTGAACGATAAATATCAAAAAGAAGCTGAATCATTATTTATACGCCAGGTCGAATCATTCTTGTCTGGAGTAATTGATGTGACTTGTCGTACTGAAGATGTTCTACTACGCGTGAGTAAATTTCTATCGAAAATAAACTTAAACGAAATACTTCTAAGGGTTTATAGTTGATTCTGTATGCATTTTATGCTTTTCAATTATTTTAAATTTGCAGTGTGTTAAACAGTCATATAAATTTTATAGTTTAATAATGTGGAATGAAACAGCTGCGTACACTACACGGATACAAGGTGATCCTGTCTTATATCGCATGGGATAAAATAAGCATATATTTTGTTTACTACTTATAAGTAGTTCAGTTGTTTTTTGCATTATGTTAACTCATGAAAGTTAAATGATTAGGTTAGCTCCTAAGGGCACTGTAAGTTTAAAACTTTTTCCATCCGAGCATGACTCGAGGTTTCTTTAATATGGATAGTTGTGTTAAGACAGCATAGTTATTGTCTGGGTTCTAAGTGACTTGTCAATTGCTTGACTGGAACTCTTTATCCAGACGCATGTACATTCTTGAGGTAAATGAAGTCCGCTATCGGATTTAAAACCGTGTCACCTTGGGCCGTATTCTGAGACGTTACTAGTTAGCTGTTCTGGATACAACATATCTGTAAGACTAAGTCATTTACACTGATTGATGACTAATATCATGGTTGTCTAGCCGTCACTGCTAAAAAAGTTTTGCCGATCAAGTCGTTTTACTTAAATTAGTCGTCACATTGGAATTCAGTCGATAGACTACGATCAGGATAAAAAAGGACGTGACAAACATGAAATCAGCTACTACTCAGTAGTTAATATACACAAATACGTATACTTTTTCTCATTGGTTATTGCGGTTTTTTCCAATTCTATCTACTTTAGTTTAAGAAACTGAGGTGTATTCTTTACCTGAAGAATACGACTTAAAGCAGAGCATATGAAGAGATGTACTTAAGGAAAGAGTTACATGAGAATATTACAGATGCTATTGTCATTAATATTTTGATGCTTTTGTTCTGTAATCACTTTTAATGTGTATTTCTTAAATTCTATCCATTTTGAATAGTTGTATATCACAATCATTGGATTTATTCTTCACTATACTTTGTTTCGCCCTGTGGCCAGTTAAATATCATGTGACAAAATTGCCAGCCAGAATACCGACTCCTATGACCTTGTCCCTGTGCTAAACCATTGATGCGTCAAAACAGCACTAGCAACCTTGAGTTAACTCTGAGCCTCTGTATAGTAGATTCTCGTCTATCCCAACTTGTTCAGTCCAGAACACAAATATCAGCCTCCGCTATATGAATCGTATATTTCAGACATATGTGGTCTATTATACAGGCAGATCAGACCGCATTGCACCATAAAATGAAAAATAATATTCATACAAGATCAAGTCAAAAGTGACTGAGTATGGAAGACTGTAACTAATAGATTGTGAATAAATTAAGAATAGTAAATCGTTTAACAGTAGCCATTAGGTCAAATGATAGTTTATAATGAAGAAAACATTATATATATATATATATATATATATATATATATATATATATATATCGAGTGCATATAAATCCAGTTTTTTTACGCGTGGTATATTTGGGCTCAGATAATGCTGAAATGGTTGTAGATGAGTTTCGTCGTAGTAAAATAACCTTGGAGCACAATGTTGTAAAGGTTTAATCCTAATGATCATTTGATAAACAACAAGGAATGCATGATAATAATTAAAGGAGGATTTAGTGATCAAAGTAGATCTATACCAGTCTCATCCTTTTATAGATTCGAGACTTTGGGTTACATTTCTCAAAACTGTTCTCACTAGGGCGGGTGGATTCATTCTTTGCCTTCCGCTAGATTATAAGTTTCGAAATTTCTCATAATTTGTTTTTTTAGTTTCATTGGTTTAACACAGTACTAGATTGGATCTGTCGTATTCGGTTGGTGAATAAATCATGTGATAATAAGTGAGCCCTAAATTCACAACATTGCATTAATTGGTAACTAAATAGTGTGACAAATGTCTTTGGTGCTAATCAAATTCCTTTAAAGTTTCAGTATGGCCACTAGTTTGAGTAATTCAACATGACATGAAATATGTTTTGATGTTAAATTACTTTCGAGATAGTTGGGAAGAAACTCTTAAGATATGCTTCATGCTGGTTGACACTGTTATATCTTGTGGCATTGTGTCCCTACCAATATATGACGTAGTAATACCGCCAATTCGAGAACAGTGACTTATCGACAGGGCCAATGACGCATAAAACCCGTACGAGCAGTCTAGAGTATTTATCGGTCCTTCTTCCTGCCTAGTCCTGCCTGTTAAATCCAGAAACAGCAATCCCAGCCTCTGCGATATGAATCATGTATTTCAAACGTGCTGGGTTTATAGGCAAACCAAACAGACCACATTGCACCACAAAATAGAAAATAACACTTGTACAAGGTCTTTCCAAAAGTGGCTGTGAATGTGGGAGACTGTAATTAATAGACTGGGCAAAACTCAAGAACGGTAAATCGTATAATAATAGTCTATGGATCAAAATAAAGCTTTTAATAAGATGAACATGCAGAGTTTAGCTACTTAACAATTATGCAACAAAATTATATGCATCGTATTGGTCTATAAATAGTTCTCAAAAGTTACAATTCATAATTCTCGTCGAGATACAACAGACACTTGTCCTTAAGGTGTGTCTACAAGCTTGAAGGAACTGATACTCCCTGTAGAAATTTAACCTTCGCTATTTAACTTAAGAGACTGAGATATCACCATTGACCTGCCGAAGCAGTTGAATTCAATCAAGATTAATGAGACACTCTGATGAAGCACTAAGTCTACGGTTTCCTCTTGACTACTTTCAATCATCTAATTGAAGTAAGTTAAATTTTTTGCCGGCTAGTTATCAGATTGTAACGTAATCATCGACAATTTAATGCCTTAAACTATGTATCTACTTTTGATTCACTTAATTCCTTCTAACTTATTCTTCATTGTCTATATTTTTTTTATCTATTTAAAAAAATACCAGCTTATTATATTTAAACACGTGCCAGAAATTATTAAAAGTTTAACAAAAGTTTATCCAAAATTAAAATTATCCCAATTCATTGTACAATTATTAACGCGTACATTAGAAAGTTGTGAATTGCCAAGTCAAAAAATTCTGACTGAAACTATTCATTCAACTTTATTTACTGATCCAAAATGTCGTCGTCTATTAGTACCAATAATTCAAACTAGCTTAACGCATGTTTTCACAGCGAAATTGGATAAGGTAATTCTTTGTTTTCCTAGAACAATAAAGTACTTTTATCCATTGAATGTACGTATGTGTGTGTGAACGTGTGGTCTTTAGTACATTTTAATTGTGCTTTAAATAATCTTGCCATTTTCTAATGTATAAAATGACTTACTCAACTGATATGTAGTTATCTCAAACAGTTAAGGCATGTACAAATTCGGATTGAGGTTATCCATCATTTGTTCAATGGTCAATAAGTGTGGTGTATTCAACTCTGTTACCCATTTTCCCATTCATATATTATATAATTATTGAATATTATTATTATTAGCTTTATTCAATATTATATTTTTGGCACAATATAGAATTCTCAGCACAATGTATTTCAATAAGTTTCCGTTTCTTACTTCTTGATCGATCCTGACGACAAATATTGTGTGATCGTCAGTTAGAAGTTAGCAGTTGAGTCAATCGACATCTAAATAATGTACATTCTTTTCGCAACCACGATATCTCTGATTTAGCCTTTTGTAACTTGTACAGCGAAAGGTTGTACACTTTTCATAAACGCACCTGAATAGTTTATGCAATTAATAACCATAATGATGTACTAAAACAAACAAAATTAGATAGGTTGTTGAAATAGATGGCAAGAACTGGTAGCCCAGATGTTTAAGCAGGCTGCCCATAATATATGTGCATCGTATGCAGCTGTTGTGTTACATAAGCACGTTAGGGAATTATAGGTCAGTTCTCGGCAATTCATAAGGCTCCAACATATTCCTGAACTTTTGAGCTTTAAGTAGCATATCAGTGAAATAAGAATTAATGTGATCAATTTCACTTTTCGAGCACAGTTTTTACTCCTCCATGATCGAGTCCAATAAGCTTAGGATATGTTGTCTGTTCGAGAAATTGGATGATTCTCTACCACATTAGTTGAAAAACTTTAAGCACTCCGTTATAACCTTTTCATACATATCATGATTTATTGGTGCACTCGAATCGTTATATCCGATGCCTCTTTGAACATCTTTAAGCAAAGAAATATATAGCGTTTCGCAAAATCCATACATTAGAGAGCTTTCTTCGAAAGGGATATTAGCATACATATTACATACATCCACTTTTGTTTTTATGGGGTCTTCCTCAAAATCTTTTTGAGCATCAAGTCGCTCTCTGTAAAGATATGTCAAAAGCGTTAGTATTCGAACCCATAACAGCTGTTTTCGGGCGTATGGAAAGTCACTCAGCAACTCATTTGATATTGACACTCCTCTTGATAGTAATGTAGTGAATTCCAATGAATCTTTTTAGGTATCATTACTAAGGTTTGACTTAATAACTTCGAATAAATTGAATATTGGTTAGATTGTTATAAATAAATAATATATTTGTAATATCCCAATGAGTAGAAAAATGAGATTTTCTGACTTTTCGTGACTCAGTGTAAGCCACTTCTTCAGAGAACGAATAACCAAATCATAATTAATCCAAGTCTAAAAAGTACAACGGAACAACACGAATAATATCCCATGAATCTTGTTCATTCATGCATACTTTCAAAAAGGAATGTAGTTGGTCAATCACACCAATTTGAAGTGCGACTACTTTGACTTCAGAATTTCCCTGAGTAGCAGTACCAATAACTTTCAACAAAGCTCTTTTAACTTGATAAGTGAGATGTAAAAGACCCCGGAATCTTCTCTTGTAAAAACTGTAAATGTACTAACGTATCTCTTATTGTGCTTCCTACTTCCATCTACCCTTGTTTTTTGGAATATAATTTTGTTCTTGTTCAACCGTGTTCTGATTTGGGGACTTGTTGAGTGAGTTGGTTTCCAGGGATACTAAGCAATAGGAATAGCTAGGTCGTAATAAGAGAAATTATAACACATCTTGCAGACGGACTAAATTTCCTCAATAGGTAATTAATTTTGTTTGTTACTCATGTGATATATGGTACGTGAATATTTGTTACAAGTAAAATATGCTACAATACAGTGTTTCGTTCGCATATTTTTTGAGACGTGCAGATAATATAAAATAGTCTTCTAGACATTTGCACATATAACAGAACCATTGAGTGAGGAATTTTAGAAATTGAATGAATCACTTAGTTATATGATAAACCTGTTCCATACACCTGAGATGCCTTTAAGACATTCCGCGTATTATTCAGTCATCATTATTTCGGATACAAGCTGTTATTTGAAATGAAAAGTTAAACTTCGAAATTTTATCGGATCTAAAACGTTACACTATTTCAGTATACTGACTACTTAAATGAATATTATTCATCTTGGAAATTCCAGCTTAATTTAGTGTTTTATTAAACACTTAAATTGGTTTAGATTTGTGTAAATCTATCCCTGTAAATTGTCTCTATACATGTGTATATGTATGCGCACTGTCATTTATTATAATTACTCTCAATGTATACTACTAGGTTCTCAGTTCTAAAATTAACGAGAATACAGCTATAATGGATGTTTGGTGTGATGTATTGCTGTCATTTATGGACAGTTTTACAAAAGCAACTGCATCGACTACGACAACAACGAGTTCTTCATCATCAACCACTCAGTGCATTGGTGATAATTCTGTTGATAGTAATTCTGAAACTAATCAGACCGATGATAACATTGACAATACTGAAGATGGATCCAAAGGCATCGCCTCTATAAAAACACCAACAAGGCAATTATCATTTATATTTGACAATTCTAATCAGGATTGTTCATATTATGCCGATCAATCGGATGAAATATTTCATTTGTTAATAAAATGTAATTTTCTTCGTTGGACTATGCAACAGTTGTCACGTATTCTATTATTTATACATCAACGTAATTCTGCTTTATGTTGTGGTGATGCTAGTAGATCTGATTCTCTTTCAACTACTGGTGGTAGTAGTAACGATGGGCACGGTTGTAGCGGTGTCAGTGGCAATAACAAAACATTATCATCATCTAGTAAGGTTTCACCTAGAAAACGCCTTATACATCCTTCCTATCACCGGTTACAACCAATTATGGTAATTTGTATAAATGTGCATTTATCATTCATTTTAAATACTGTTTATCTAATGTGATGGAATAATATTGATTATTATATTGATTTCTGCTTGTACAAGTGTGATTAATGTGTTAGTCGCGTTAAGAATCACCTGTAGTTTTTACGATAACTTCCGCGGTCTTTTATCTATAAACTTGAAGGTCTTATCAAATGAATCTGGTTGCCGTTTATGTAATTCAGTAAACTATAGAGGTGAATTTAGAAAGTGTTCATTGTAGATTAGAGATGTCAATCAGTATAGGAAAACATTGGAAAGTAAGAAAGAGTGGACATATTTTTCTGTTTGAAGAACAGAATCCTGATGATCGGATATTGAATTCAAGGCCAAATTAGAATATGCTTCTTGGTCCATTTTCAAACAATCTTCCGGGTGGGATTCCGGAAACGTTTGTCCTTTTACTACTGGGCTTTTTATTGTCCCAGTTATTTGGAATGTATCTTGTTTTCCCCTTTAATCCTTGCTTTGACTTGCGGCAAATAGAGTGAATAGAATAATATCTGACTGGAGACTTAACAATTTTCCTATAGTTTCGGTATCGATATGGTAATTCCCACTCATTATCTGTCCAAATAGGGAATGTTCGGTCCGCGATGAAAATTGTCTTCACAATATATTTTTTTTATATTTATTATTGGAATCCTTGCACCATGTTTCGTACTGATATGATCTTGGGTCTGCTATGTTCAAACCAAGAATACCAGTACTCCTACTAAATGACCTGACATTACGACATGATAGTTGATGTAACTTATCTTTATTGACTGAAAAATTCACATGATCATATGTTTGAATTATAGGAACATAAAGCACTATAATTAAGGAATTACGCTATGTGCCTAAGTAGGACATTATAGTACAAAGTCTGAATAACATGTTCATAATGAACTTACAATAATTTGAAGAAAGGAACAGGATACAACAACAGTTATTAAATCAAATGGAAGCTTGAAATTAGGGGAATTTAAAAATCGCATAAACGAAATGTTCATCAAATGCAGATGAAAAGTATGACGTATTGTTAAGCGAAAACATAACTTGTGAAGTTCGCCAACTTCACTTATTTGTTTCGTCCTTACACACACACAGTGAAGACCAAATTTTCTCAGTTACTAATTACATACATGCTAATCTAATATTATATAGCGTTGAAATTCGTTTTACGTCATAAATAATGACTGCTACTACTAGGCAATGGGTTTGAATCCCCTATTTACTTATTTCGCTGAATTATCAACTTGTAAAAGTCTGAATCGAAACCGAGTCTACTAGTTTGACCTTAGTTACTTGTTTGGACTGCTTACCTGTTAAGAGTGCAACAGAATCGGAATAAAATGTTACTGTTAGTACCACTACTACTACCACTAGTTCTGGTACTATAATAATGAAGCTAAATGATATTGTATACTTTACTGGTTGGAGCGATGACTCAATGATTATGGCGTTCAACTTCTATCAACTTTATTACTTATTCAAACCGTACTTCATCTAATTCCGCTTCAGCTACTTGGTAATATCGCTAGCTCTCAAAGTTTCAGTATGGCTCTAAGTGTGCAGATCTGTATCTGATGAACTTTTTATTAATACAATTCTTTTATCCGTAAATAATACGTTCTTTCTTTTGATGATGATTTTTTTCTTAAGGGATGTCTATCTACTGTACTATTCTCTTCATTACGAATGCTTACAAAATGTAGTTGGGTAAAATTTTTCCAATCTGTTTACTATACCAGTGAAGAATGTTGCCAATGTAATTATTGTCATAATTTACAATTAGTAAATATCTATGATTTTCTACATGAATTATTCACTCTATTCTCATTGATGCATTTATATCCTGGTTATCCAGCACCGATGTTTCAGTCAAGATCTGATAAATTATGGACCGTTGGTCGTTATTCGTGGGATGATGATTATCATGATGAAAGACAATCAGAGCATTCTGACAAAAAGAAAATATCACATAGGAATTCATCACTGACTCATAATAATAATAATGATAACAATAGTAATAATAATGTAGAGTTATTCTCTCAATCATGGATTGAAATGTTAACATTGATATCGAATGCTGAGCTAGACGTTATTGAAGTACTGATCGAACTTGTTATAGAACCATATTTTATCAATCCTAACTTAGATAATAAAGTAAGTTTTTCCTTTGATGTTTCGTGAATTAGTTTGAATTGCCTGCGACTTTCGTTGTTTTTAACTGACTCCACTGATTGTTATGCATCATCCATAGTATGACAATCATTCTGTGTAATCTGTTTCTGTAAAACAACAATAATAATAAGATAACTTGTTTCCTTTAAATCAAAAAGGGGTTACATAATAAACCTTGATAAAAGTATATCATGTAGGCCATAGTACATAAGACGTTATATACTGACATTTAATATTATAATTATCAGTTACACCGATAAAATGATTCAGCGTTATCAACGTCAATTTATTAATGAATTGTGTGCAACTATGCGCAGTGTTCCACTTATACATTATAATCAAGAATTGTATTTCGCTTTTCGGACTCTATATAATGTTGACTGTGGATATGTGTCTGTTGATTGAAGTCATGATTTCAACTAAATGATCAAGTCCATATATGAAAGCGCTTATTTACTCAAATCAATTAATCCTATGAGCAAATGTTGTATGTGCAAAAGTTTTTTAGATCATTTGACTATTACCCTACCAATTTTCTCAATATTACTTGCTTGAAATATTTACTGAGACTGTTGTCATTTTGTAGATCTAATTAATTTTATGTTGAAACCATGTTTAGCTGTGGCAATTAAAAAAAAGGAACATTCAACAATTTAAACTATGCCTCATTCTCTTTGAAATCTTCAAAACGTCGGAAAACTGTCATTTTTGAGTGTACGTGCAATTTTCATTAACATTTCGAGCAGCTTATTAGCTTAATTATTGTGTTACCAAAGTTCCCAACGTCTTTCTTCTGGAACCTATGGTGTTACTTTCTGTCAGACACTGGTAACAAAAAATTTATCAACTCTGTCATTCTATTCTTTCTTTAGACAATCGATAGATCATGCAAGTACTTATGTCCACAACCCTCTAATCAAAACAATAAGATTCTAGATGAGTAGTCACAAATACCTTTACTGTTCAAACTCATAATCCACATGACTGTATGAATAAAATACAAGACCAATGTTTATTACGAGTAGCGATCGTGGCTGAACCAAACAGTGGTCATTTACTAATGAACATAAGTGACAGATTTTAAATTGTTCAAAGTGATTTTTCTTCCTTTTTGTATGCTATTTCAGTGAGTGGTGGTGTGTTTCTTTTTACAAGTTTCACGCCATCTTATTTCAATCCAGCTTGCTTAAACAAATCGGTTTTTATTCTTGTATATCTCTGTATAGAAGTAACTACTTAAAATTCAAATATGTCACTTGTCTGTTTGATATTGAAATGAATTTAAGCGGGAGATATGGATAAAGCATTCAACTTTTCAACCACTAGTTTACAGGTTAATACTTCATGTTATTGTTTCTGACATTAGAGTGTACCTCATGATTAGTAGCCGACAAACATGTTCTTAGTTGTCCAGTCCCGCTACAATGTTAGGAATTCATCACAAAAGAACAATTTTAATTATGAATTATTTTGATGAAGAATTAGTGTGCACTCTCGACAATATCTTTTCAAAGTTATAGACAATAATGTTTGTTTTGAGGTTGATATGACCAAACAGATTAATGCACTAATAGTAACGAATCTTTACTGACAAAACGTGTGGTGGCTATCTCGAAAATCTGATATTTTACTGACCTATGGGATATTAAAACACGACTTGTAACTACGACAAATTAATGTCTTGCAAATATACCGTTCTGTGTAACTTGTTGAACAATTTAATATTACATTGTAAAAGTGCTTAAGGGATTTTTTTGCTCATCGGTCCTGCAATAGAAATAAAACTATCCAATCCAGGTTATTACAAAGAGATGTCAGGATGAATCAAGAAACCAATGCCTAGTATATTGATTTATAATGCGGTTACATCTTATCATAGATAATTAATGTCTGCATACAATCAGAATGTTAACCGAATTCTTCTATCTGTGTTTTACAATAAGTGTTATTTTTATTTTAAATTCTCCAAACAGTTTTTGTTGATTTCTGCCCAATCATCATCATCACTAATAACAGCAAATACACCAGCAGTGTGTCACACAGAACCTTGTTTAACTAGCGATTTAATTGAATTAATTGCACAATGTTTAACTGGATTCGCAGTGGAACAAGCTCATTTATACGTAGAAGTTGTGCCAGCGGTGACTAGAATTCGTATCGATCAAAGTTTAACTAATCAGTCAATTGATATGAGACAAAGAGCTTGTGATTTACTATTATCGTTATGGCATTCTATCGGTAAATGAAATAAACTTCATGATATATTGGTTTTATACAAAATGTAAAGTGTAATGTAAATTTGTTTCTTATTTCATTGTTGTATATATTTTTGTCAAGTTTCGATTATTCTCTCCAAAATTAAATCAACATACTCAAAAAGTGAAATCAACAACTTGGATCATGTGTAAATATTGCTTCCTTTTCAATTCTCCATAGATATTTGTATGTTATTAATTCTTCATTATAAACGTGATTTACTCACTGTCAATACAATAGTAACCGATTGATTGGTGATCTCACTAGTTAGTCGTCTGTAAACAACAATGTTTTTGGCTAATTATGTCTACACATTCAGTCTTAATCAGTGTAGGGCCTGGCACAAGTATGCTTTGACTGGAGTTGCCATTGAACAGCAAGGAGTTCCGTGGTTGAAGATAGTCATTAAAATATCTTAACCCAACAAGTGAGGTATTTAAACTTCCCCATATATGATTGATAGCTAGTCCTGAAGGTCCTGATCTTTGATTATCGTTAACCTCTAACCCATCGTTGTCTTCATATTTATTTTGTTGGTCTCCATTTGGTCTGACTCTTGATTCTATAGTTATTCATGATTTTTCTGATTGATTGATATATTCGATATGTCTGTTGATTGACCTGAGTCCTAAGCTTCTAAAAATCCCTTCGTATTTGAGCAATCCGTGTATATTAGTTTCGAATTAATATTGGTTTTACGACAGATTGATGACAAGTGGAGAAATAATATTTGACTACAGCCCAAAAAGGTTTGCTCAGAGATCTTGGAAGCTGTGTGGCTGGGCCCATAGTACTGAGTTGTGCTGTATAGGCTGTAACGAGCTTGGATGGTGTCTAGTGCTCCTGAAAACATTGTAAAATGACCATTTTACGGAATAGATTTATAGTTATGAATTAACCAGTTGGTCCTATCTTAAAATGACGAAATCACGAACGACCTAAAAAATAGCTTATAGTTCCTTCGTATTAAAAGACTCATTGTGTAAATGAAGTACATGATTTGGTTCCTTGACCAACACGAAGATGAGTGTATTTATTAGAAGGAAACCAATCGTTATCGGCTACATCTGTTACATTCTATGATGACTCTGCACAGCTTTTATTGGTTACAGTTAACCTTATTTTTACGAAAAATTTCTAAAAGTAGTGACGGTGCACTAGGAATTTGTTCTACCGTAATTCGGGATTTCTTTGAAGTGTGTTTACTCAAAATCCTCAACCTTTCAGTCCCACCATGTTCATGTTACTTTAAAATCGATGAATTGTAATCTAATAATTTATATCTCTTCGATATGGTGGAAATAAAAATGAGATCATCGTATATCATAAACAGACTGAGAAACGCTAGTGATATTATTATGTGTAAAAATTAGTATATAAATGATTGTTTTCTGGCCCAATGAGGATGTGATCTTGGGACTTGCTTGGATATGTTTTTTGAGAATCAATAAATCTTCACTAAACCAGTCTTTCGTATTTTTACTTTGTGTTATGGGAGTTGCAGTGGTTCTTCAAAGTCAAGTAAAATCAATAAGATCGCGGAAGAATCATATTCCATTCATAAATAAGAGCGATTACATGCGGAAACAATAGTTTTTTATTACATATTAGAAAATACATTTATAGAGTGAGATGATATCATTGATGCCTATAATTATCATCATCGTTATTACTTTTCATATACTTTCCTTTGTATTCACTTTCCGTTCAATGTAGATGATCGATCAAAAGTGAATTATATTCACATATTTCTACCAAATGTCATCAATATGGCTACGCTACCACTTCCACGTAAGTTCTCCTCCTTTCTTTTTGTATTCTGTATAATCGAATTATATAAAATCATGTGTTTTATAAGGGGAAATAATCAATCGTACCCTCCCTCTACACAAGTTCACACATACAGTGTTTATTCAAATCTTTCAGTATAAAGTATAATACTTATAGTGAATATGAAATAGTTTAAGTTTGGGATCTTGTTGCTAGATAATAATTGTCATGTACTAGTGAAGATCTCTCTTACTTCCTCCTTGAAGTTACTTATTTTTCCTTAGTCTTGGAAGTAAATCGTCTTATCACTATTTCCGTTAGCTTGAAGTGCTATATCTGTTAGTTGAAATACAACTCATTCGTACTAAAATATTAGCTGGATGTTAGTTGTTCACAAATTATTTCACTCTTGACAAACCTCTAGACTAAACCATGATCGTGTACATTTACTGTTGACTCATGCTAATGGTTTCGAAGTGACTTCTTTGAATGTTCTAGTGTAAGTTATAATTGTTGGGATCAATTACTCATCAATGGTTATCATGGTTTATGTAAATTTTGACACATCATTTGCGTTGATATTTGCAAAAAGTAATCAGTAATACTGAGTTGTGTATTATCGCTTCGACTGAACTGTTTGATGAAGTGTGATCTAATAGTAAAACTTAAAATCTAATGAAGTCTAGGTAAAGAAAATATATGTCGTCCACGGCAACCAGTTTCATGACATGTGATCTATGCTATTCCTATGGGGTTCTAACCTAACGGCCGAGTTACATACGAAATCTTTAAAACAAAAGTGTAACTTTTGAAAAACTACGGTACTCTTTTAGGAAACAACGTAAACACCAATTGTTTACAGTCTTCAAATCACGAGATACTAGTTGAACGCTTTGAACATATGTCTGTATAATCACTTGCTTACTCCTGTCACCCCTCTCGGAGCATAGGCCTCTCACCAGGAATCTCCAACCTACTCTGTCTTAGGCTCTTCTTCCCGATTGTTACTGAAGGATATTCATTCTTTTTATACCTACCTTCAATTCTCAGTCCCATGTGTTTTCTGGTCTGCCCAGGATAGAGTTGAATGGAGAATGCTGGTGGGTGGCCTACGCTCCTCCACAAGTGGTAACGGGCGTAAGTAAGTAAGAACAGGGTAGAGGTCATTTGGAGTTGGAATTCAAAAACGTAGGGGGTGCATTAATTGAGGTCCGGAGACAGATATGATGAATTGTGTGGTAATTTCAGAGGTTATGAAGGGTTTACATAGGATTACTGGGATTAAAAATTGATATGATGGGTTGCGTAATAATCGAACAGAATTTGAGGGGTTTAGATAATAGAATTAGGTAAATCAAATCGTATGAATCAAAGGGTGGTTTTGGTGTACATAAACTAGTCAAAGGAAGACCACTAAACAAAATAAACAGTAGTAAAATAATGATAATGACAAAAATAATTTACCAAGGTAGTAATACGTTCATCACTATCTCTTTCTGGAAACATAAATCAGCTCTGAGATTTTTTATTACTACTGCTTCGGCGAACCGAAGAGACTGCGTTTTTTGTCTGCTAATATTTTTAAAGGCTTGTAGAATGTCAATGGTATGTCTGGTGTCAAGTAAATGCCGAAGTATTTCATTTTTATTCAGTCCCTATACCTCCTTCTCAGTATCAGATGGCTCTTTAAAATAATCACTAACTGGTTTAAAATTGATACCTGGTAACCTGCATTTACATTGAACATTATTGAGTTACACGGTCAATGTTTTGATCATACTATTGGTCCTTACCAATAATTAGTGCGTTCTTACAACTTTGATTACAACGCAATCATATAACGAAGTGGACATAGGTGTATTATTTTTCTGTGTTTATGGTTAATAGAATTTTATTTCACCATAACAAGTTACTCATATTATTTTTATTTTACGTTGTAATGTTGCGGGATTTTGTAGGGATACGCGAAAATTGTGTTGATTGTATATTGAACGCATTGACTATTCATGCACCTACTGTAGAGAATGTTTTTGTCAGTGAAATTGATCGTGTTGTCCAGTGGGCTGGTACAGATTTTGCTGCAGATATCCGTAATCTTTTACAAGATGAATTTTCCAAAAAACGCTATCCATTACCACCACCTCGTCGTTCTCATGGAACGGAAGATTTCGATCATAAACAACAACGAGTGATTAATGATTTTAGTAAACAAATCGATTGCCTACTTCATTATGGTAAATTTATTAATCATCCATCACAAATGAATGAAATGTTGGCATTTTGCAATCTAAGAGTAAGTAATCTCAGTTTTTTGTTTTGGCTTTTGTTTTCGTCAACACTACTTGCTATGCCACAAAAATGTTTTTTTTTCTTTTCACAGATTACTACTCACGAGTAGTAACATGTCTGTTTGTATAAAATCTAAGTTTTGGAAAGTCAAATCCTCAACAACATATTTGTCATTCCAATTCTTCCTAGTTTTTATTAGCTTATTGCCATGTTAATCTGACTAATCAATAGGGAATTAGGGACGCAGATTTTAAACCAACTGGTAAAACGTATCTGAATTGTCGCTGGGTTACTAATGTTCATTAAGATGTGTTTACTCCATGTATTTTTGCAAGATCTTTGTTATTTCTTTCTGGTTCAAATTTGTTACTATTCATTAATATTATTCATTGCCCTCTGAACTGTGATTTATGACCATTCACTGTTTTTTTTCGTTTTAGTTGTCAGTTTAATCTATGTACAAGTTAATTAAATGATTTTCTATCAATATCCTCTTGTGTATACATGTAAATTATTTTGTTCAATTTGTAGAAATTCTATGAATCTATCAATCGTAAAGATATGATTTTACGTTATTTATATCGACTGGATCGATTGCATGCAGCATATTCTAACAAAACAGAAAGGGGTTATACTTTGGAACTGATTAGTGAAAATTATTCGGTAAAAATTTACTTTATATTTCATTAATAAAAATTATCATTTTCTCCCGATTACTTACTTACTTACTTTCGCCTGTTACTCCCAATGGAGCATAGGCCGCCGACCAGCTTTCTCCAACCCACTCTGTCCTGGGCCTTCTTTTCTAGTTCTTTCCAGTTCTTGTTCATTCTTCTCATGTCTGTCTCTATTTCTCGGTGTAATGTGTTCTTTGGTCTTCCTCTTCTCCTTCGACCTTCAGGATTCCATGTGAGGGCTTGTCTTGTGACACAATTGGGTGATTTCCTCAAAGTGTGCCCAATCCACTTCCAGCGCTTCTTCCTGATTTCTTCCTCCGCTGGAATCTGGTTTGTTGTCTCCCACAGTAACTTGTTGCTGATAGTGTCTGGCCATCGGATCCGAAGTATCTTGCGTAGACAACTGTTAATAAACACTTGTATCTTCTGGATAATGGCTTTCGTAGTTCTCCACGTCTCTGCCCCATACAGAAGAACTGTCTTGACATTTGTATTGAAAATTCTAACCTTGGTGTTGGTTGACAATTGTTTTGAGCTCCAGATGTTTTTCAGCTGTAGGTATGCTGCTCTTGCTTTGCCGATCCTCGCCCTCACATCTGCATCTGATCCACCGTGTTCATCAATGATGCTGCCCAGATATGTAAAGATTTCCACATCCTCCAAAGCTTCTCCGTCAAGTGTAATTTGATTGGTGCATGTTGTATTGTATCGGAGAGTCTTGCTTTTCCCTTTGTTTATATTGAGACCTACTGCTGCTGAGGCTGCTGCTACACTGGTCGTTTTCTCCTGCATTTGTTGTTGTGTTTGTGATAGAAGAGCCAGATCATCCGCGAAGTCTAAATCGTCAAGCTGCATCCTGCCTGTCCACTGTATCCCGTGCATTCCTCCAGATGTTGACGTCTTCATAATCCAGTCGATCACCAGGAGAAAGAGAAAGGGTGAGAGTAGGCAACCTTGCCTAACACCGGTCTTTACCTCGAACGAGTCGGTGAGTTGTCCTCCGTGGACGATTTGGCAGTTTAGTCCATCATAGGAGTTCCATATGATATTTACTATCTTCTCAGGCACACCGTAGTGTCGAAGAAGCTTCCACAGTGTCGTCCTGTCCACGCTATCAAATGCCTTCTCGTAGTCGATGAAGTTGATGTAGAGTGATGAATTCCATTCGATTGATTGTTCCACAATGATACGTAGAGTTGCGATTTGATCTGTGCACGATCTATCCTTACGAAATCCAGCTTGTTGATCTCGAAGTTGAGCGTCCACGGAATCCTTCATCCTGTTTAACAATACTCTGTTGAAGACTTTTCCTGGTATTGAGAGGAGAGTGATGCCTCTGTAGTTGTCGCACTTGCTCAGATCGCCTTTCTTTGGTATCTTGATGAGAAGTCCTTCTTTCCAGTCTGTTGGTACATGTTCTTCGTCCCAAATCTTACCGAAGAGGATGTGGAGTATCTTGGCAGTTGCTGTTACATTTGCTTTCAGTGCCTCTGCCGGGATGTTGTCTGGTCCCGCTGCTTTGCCACTCTTGATTTGTCTAATGGCCATGCTGATCTCTTCAATTGTTGGTGGGCCAATATCGATTGGGAGGTCTGTGGGTGCTGCTTCGATGTTGGGTGGGTTCAGTGGAGCTGGTCGATTCAAGAGTTCTTTGAAGTGTTCTACCCACCTGTTTCGTTGTTCTTCAATATCGTTGATTACTTTGCCTTCCTTGTTTTTCACTGGTCTTTCTGGTTGACGGTAATTTCCAGCAAGTTTCTTTGTTGTATCATACAGTTGTCTCATGTTTCCCTCTCTTGCAGCCTTTTCCGCTGTCATCGCTAAATCTTCCACATATTTACGTCGGTCGGTCCTGATGCTCCTCTTCACTTGCTTGTTTGCCTCTGTGTATTCGGCTTGTGCCTTGGCTTTTTCTGCTCTTGTTCGGCTGATATTGATTGCTACCTTCTTGTTCCTCCTTGCTTCAATGTTATCCAGTGTACCAACAGTGATCCATTCCTTGTGATGGTGCTTCTTATGGCCCAGAACCTCCTGACATGTTGAAACGATTGCCTCCTTGATACCTTTCCAGCTGCTCTCTATGGTGGTTCCCTCTTCATTGAGTAGGCTATGAAAGGCCTGGAACCTGTTGCTGAGGGCTATGTTAAATTCGTTGAGTTTGTCAGCATCTCGAAGAAAGGCAGTATTAAACTTTTGTGATGTTGTCCGCGCCATTGTCCAGTGCTTCTTGAGTTTTAGTTTCATCTTGGCGACCAGCAAATGGTGATCGGATGCTATATCAGCTCCTCTTCTGGTTCTCACATCCTCCATCGTCCTCCTGCACTTTTTGTTGATGCAGACATGGTCGATTTGATTCTGTGTAGTGTGATCCGGTGAAATCCAAGTGGCTTTGTGTATGTTTTTGTGTGGGAATATGGTGCCACCTATGACCAGTTTATTGAAGGCACATAGGTTTGCAAATCTCTCACCGTTTTCGTTCCTTCCTCCCAGTCCATGTTGTCCCATGACGTCTTCGTATCCAGTGTTGTCCTTTCCAACCTTGGCATTGAAATCTCCCATTAGAATGGTCAGGTCCTTGGTTGGGCACTTCTCGAAGATTGACTGCAGCCTATCGTAGAATTGGTTTTTAGCGTCTTCATCGTAGTCGTTGGTCGGCGCATAGCATTGGATGATGTTCATTGCAATGCCCTCTCTCTTTGTTCTGAAGGAGGCTTTGATGATCCTCGGTCCATGAGATTCCCATCCTATAAGTGCATTTTGTGCTTTTCTAGACAGCATCAGTGCCACTCCTTGTGTATGTGGGGCATTTTCTTCTTCATGACCGGAGTATAACAGAAGTTCCCCTGAAGACAGTCGTTGTTGTCCAACCTGCGTCCAATGTGTTTCACTGATTCCAAGCACTTCCAGGTTGTATTTCCTCATTTCCGCAGAAATTTGGAAGACTCCGCCGGTCTCCCACATTGTCCGGACATTCCATGTACCTATAAAAATTGTCGCTCTGGTTGTAAGAAGGTGCATCGGCCTCATGACTTCCGAAGGAACTCGGCTTTCATCATGAGACGTCATAATTATTCCTTCAACTCGGAGGGCAGAGTTTGAATGGTTTGAATGAATTTTTCTGGTTAGCGTTTTTTTAGCGAGTTGATTTTCTACGGGATGGGGTCGCTAACCCCATGCCCAACCCTCCTCCTTTACCCGGGCTTGGGACCGGCAGTAGCCCCTGGAGGAGCTACAGGCGGAGTTATTTTCTCCCGATATGTCGTTAATTTTTATTGAGAAAAGATTTAATGTATGTATATTGTTTTTGAGATTAGGTATGCTATATGTATATTAATCATATAGATGATCAAGTGCCTTTTACATTGAATTATTATGAGGTTTGATAATCGTTTTACCTATATCGGTTTCGGAAACTGAATAGTTTCAGTATACCTGACACTGAGAGTTTACTCGAAGTTATGCACGCAAATTTATACTTTGTAAGTAGGAGATTGTTTCAGATCGATTTGTTATATCCTGGTGAAAACATAAGTACGAGTAACTCCCAGGACCTATTAATAAACTATTATTCTATACATATTCTTATTGTTTAACTATTGAGTTATTAGATTGTGTATATCTATATTCATCTTAATATAAACTTCATTCTGACCTGTGGATTATTATCATACAAATTACTGTTCTTAAATTACACTCAGTTTATTAATTACTGTATCCCACGCTCACAACAACATTTGGCTCGATCTTGTACAAATATTATTTTCTATTTTATGGTGTGATGCGGTTTGCCTGTCTGTCTGGTATATAAACAGAGTATGCTTGAAATAAGTGATTCGCATAATTGAAGCTGTAATTGGTGTTCTGGACTCAACTGGAAAGACTAGGCGGATAAGGGACCAATAAAGACGCTAGGCTGCTCATACTGGTCGAACGTCATTGATTTTCATAGTGTTAAGTTTAGATCAATCGCATTTCGATTGGTGAATAATTCACATAATAAAAAGCCGGACATAACGTCATAACACTATTGCTATTACATCGATCACCTGTTAACCAGAGAAGTCAAGACTTGTCATCGTGTGAATAATTTAGATCCCACACAATGATAACTAATGATAGGAATGATGCTTGTCAATTCACAAGTTTCGGAATTTTACTCACGCTTGTTCGTCTACTCAAACTATCATTTTTTGACGGGTATGTATATCGATATCATATAAATTTAGGAGCAGTTATATTAAGGTGTATGAATATAACGAATGGGATTTAATGTAACCGAATGACTTGTTACGATGATATTAAACATTTGAAACTGAGAATTATGGACAACAAACGTACGGGATTTCTGTTCACCTTTAGTAACTTATTTCCTACTGAATATCAGGAATATCGAAGCTCTGGATTTCCTGACACGATTCGGTTGAAGAGTCAATAACTTGATAAACTGATACCATATCTTTGTTAGACCGCCATTAAGTTCCTTCAATACCAGGCAGCATTGTTTGTTCAGATTAACGTTGGTTGGACATGTCAATCATTTCAGTCGGTGGAGCTTCACGGTCGTCACATTGTGGTGTGATCTACTTATATCCATATAAGTAGTATATGGTGTTGGTCAGACTTTGAATGTATTTTGGCAGAAGTCCGATGAGGGAAGAACTGAAATGAAGCGCAATCGTTAGGAAAATGCACGAACAATGTAACTAGAGAAGAAACAGTGAAGATTGAGACTGTTAGTTGTTAATTTGCAAATTAACTGTCCATTGTATGGTTTTCAGAATTTACTGAGATAGTCTGTAATTTTTGCTTAAATACATTCGATTGTCCCCAGTTGTGTTCTGTTCACTATAACATCAGCTGATTTGTCATCACTGCCTAGTACTCTACAACTAACCTTAACATTGCTTTGTTGGTTTTTCCAATCTACATGACCAGTTGTTTGTTGATATCTGTGCTCAAAATCTAATTATATACATATGCGTGTACACAAAAATATATGTTCTCGGCCTTCAATGATCATTTTCCCTGTGTATCAACTGATTCAACATGACTTGATAGTTTCCATGTAATCTATAAACCAGTTTTCTCCGCTTGCTTCATTACTTCTAAGGTTTCGATAATCCTTACCACTAATGCCCATATCTCAGTGATTAACTTCTTTTTCTCTGTTTTTTTATTATTTAAAACAAATTATAATAGTGGGATGAAACCAGTGTTGATGTAGATGATGTATCACCCCATTATGTACAATATGGAAAAAGTTCATCACGAGAATTACGTGAACGTTTATTGCTCGATAGTTTTGAATATTTAAAACAAGGTACTGATTGGGAGCATGCAATAGATATATCGAATAAATTAATACATTTATATCGTGATATTATGCCAAATTATGAACGTCTAAGTGAAATATTGGTAAGCTTTATTTTTTTTTCACATCTAAAGCATTATAATTTGTCTTTGTCATTAACAAGTTTTATGAATCATTTTATGTTGTTCTAAATGGAATTACAGTTACGAATCTAGTTTTAATCATATATTTTTACGCCTATCAGTTTAAATGTGTTTATGGGAACAGGTTGAATACGAGAACATACTCCAGTGTGTTTCTACAACGGCGTAATCTAGTAAAGTAATCTTTCTATTCATCATCACGTTTATTCCTTGTTCACATGCCCTCATGAAACTAACAGTTTAGAAAACTTATATATATATATATATATATATATATATATATATATATATATTACTGTACAACTTGATAATAAATACGTTGAAAAGAGATCCCTTTGCTGAATTTCGTGTACTTAGATTTTAAGTGGGAATTATATGTCAAAGACAAGATTAAGCCTATTGAGGATGGTGGAACATGTATTAGAATGACTTCAGATTTGGTTAACATAAAAAACTCAGACAAACACAGAGGAGAGTACACACATCAATTATTTCACATAACTATCATGTTTATTGTGTACCTGAATATGCGTTTAGTAGTAGTATAGCAGCTATTATAAACTTTATCTCAGTGGTAATTTCAGGCAACTTACATACATTAGATAACTACTTGAGGTATTATTCGCATGAAACTGAACTATCAGTAACATTTTTAAAATAGTCATTCTGATTACGAATGATACTAGTCCTAAATGGACCACTCTGTGTTGTTTCTGAGTGATCTCTAGCTCATACATCAGTACAAGTTTTAAGCTATGGTCTTCGTATAATCACTCTCAGTGCTATTCAGCTAGCCAAGACAATGAAGTAAGTTGGATGGGGTTCAAACATGTGATGAAAAATTAATTGTAAGTCAATCGGTTTAACTATTAAACCACCACCTCCCCACGGGAATGGTCCTGCCGCCAAGTATGTCAGCAAAGAAAAATCCTTTCCATTTATCGTTTTATACTACTGTTATATCAGAACAAAAAAACAAACAGATTACTTGGTCGGCATTGGGACTAGTGTAATGATAGGAATGCGATTGTATTCTCTCTCTCTCTCTTGTCGGATTATCTATTAGTTGACCTAGTTTACCAGTAGGACCAGTGACCTTGTAAATACCAAGACCTTAATTCTGATTGACGTTCGAGCTCTTTTCAACTCAGTGTTCAATTGGAAGACAAAGACTGAAAGCAGGTCAGTTCTCTGTTATGTTTGACTCAATCGTGGCTTAAAAGTCATGCAATAATACACTTAAAATGTCTGACCACACAACAACACAATTGGGCAGTTACAATGTGTACATAACTTGTCCATAGGCGATGTAAAGTCGGAGTAATAGAGAAATCATTAGTTAATGATAGATCTGACAATGATCTATGGATCAAACGAAATCTTAAAAATCAATGATTAACGATGTTATAACGCGAAATATAGCGTATTGCGATAGGACTACGCGAAATTCTACCGATTGACCAAATTCAGATATCCTAGTTCGACCCCAATACTGTTTCCCAACTCCAATAAATCAGAACACAGCCGTTAAATGAGAATTGTTTATGGGGTCAGCAGCAGAACAAAAATGGTTTACAGACAAGGCATATTTATACAGTTACGATGACTATTAACAGTACCCAATGGAAAGAAAGGACACGTAAAGGTTATAATTAGGACGACTCAAAATTGACCAACAGGGAAACGACACATGAAAGTCATAGTTAGGACACTGTAAATAATGGCCAATAGGAAATAACATGCGAATTATGTGAAGAGTCTGGAAATATACCATTTTACATTCGAGATAATTTTTGGGATATTCTTGTGAATATCCTAACACCTCCCCTTGGAAAAAATTAATAGCGACGCAATCGTGGGTTTACCTGAAAGTTCTTTGGTTTTCTGCGTTTGCGTGCCGACCTCCTTCGAGGTAACGACCGAGAACTTGAAGAATGTTCTGCTTGATTAGATGACTGAGTTGCCTCCGTTGTAGGTATTGGCGGAAGTTGGAAAGTATCCAGTAATAAATCGAATGGGACGCATTTCGTAACTTCAACTTTTTCCTTGGATTCTCTTGGCCTTAGTTGATTATGGTGCCTGGTCCAGATTTCTTTGTTTACTCTGACCTCATACATGACCTTCCCCTGTCTCTTTGCGACTTCCCCCTCTATCCATCTATCATACCCATGTCTATAGTCCCGCACATACACTTTTGCGCCAACTTCGTAAAGAATTCGGGTATTCTTCACGTGAGGACTCTGCTGGGCTACTCGCCTGGGTGTCATTGCACTATGAATTGTTCGTAGCTTCCGTCCCATAAGCACCTCCGCAGGGAATTTGAAGTTTGGCAATAAATCATGAGGAGTCGTCCGGTACACAATTAGAAATCGTTCTATAATATCATGTGTTGTTCCCTCCCCTCTTGCCTTAAGCATGGCACGTTTGAATGTATCGACGAAGCGTTCAGCTTGTCCATTAGATTGCGGATGGTAGGGCGGAGAACGGACATGATTGATCGAGTTTTGCAAGCAAAATTCTCGAAACTGACTGGATGTGAACTGCGAACCATTGTCTGTTACTATTGTTTCTGGCAGACCATGCTGAGCGAAGATCTGGTTAAGGAGTTGGATGGTTCGAGTTGTAGAGGGTGGTGCAATCGGCAATATCTCCGGCCATTTGGAGAAGGAGTCGACCAGTATCAGATAATTGTACCATCTAGGGGTCCAGCAAAATCAATGTGCACTCGCGACCAGGGTTTTTCCGACTTGGGCCAGGGTACTGGTGGCAACTTAGGAGAATGTTTCGCAGCTGTTTGACAATGTGGACATGTTTTGACGAAGTCGACAATTTGCTTGTCCATATTCGGCCAGTATGCGTAACTACGGGCGATAGATTTCATACGGTTTATCCCTGGATGACCAGCGTGAAATTGGCGTAGGACCTTGGCACGCAGGGTTGTTGGAATTACTACACGATCACCAAACATCAGACAGTCATTGACAACACAAAGAGAGCTGCGACGATTCGCTAGGTGTAGCATCTCACCACTGAACTGCTTAACTGGCCATCGGCTCTGAACATAAGTGATTGCTTCTCGAATAATCGGGTCGTTTCTGGTAGCTTCTCGAACGTTTTCAGTTGTAATAGGCATAGCTTGCATGGCATTCGCCAATAGTGTTGCACCAGAATCACCTTCCGTTGCTATTGTGGCTATGAGTGTATCCTCATCAGTTCTAGAGTGCTTGCTGATAAGTCTGGACAATTAATCCGCTTGACCAAAATCTTCAGAACTTCGATACTGGATGTCGAAGTCGTAGCTCAGTAACGCCAACGCCCAACGTTGAAGACGATTAGCAGAATGAACAGGAATGCCTTTCTTTGATCCAAAAATTGACAACAGCGGCTTATGGTCTGTGAGCAAGTGAAACGGCGCCCGTAAATGAATTTGTGGAATCGCCGGACAGCAAAAATCAGAGCTGTTATGACTCGTATAACAATCGTTATTGTATATGAAACGTGCAATGATACAGAAAATACGTACGAGCAGTCTTGATTGCTATTCGGTCCTTCCTAACTGCCTAGCCCAGCCAGTTGAGTCCAGAACACAAATAACAGCCTCGGAAATATGAATCATTATTCACAAGCACACTGGGTTATATATACTAACCAAACAGACCCAATTATACCAAAAAATAGAAAAATAACATTTGTACAGTAATTGGCCAATGTGGCTGTAGCTAGGGGGAAAGTAATCAATAATAATAGTTCCAAGGTCAAAATAAAGGTTATGATAAGAGGAACACGGAACGATTAGGTCACTTATTTAACAACTATCCAATAGGGAATGGGCATATTGTATTTGTCCATAAATAGACATCAGATTTAGGTTACTCATTTAACAACTATCCAATAGGAATAGGCGTATTACATTTGTCCATAAATGGACATCAGATTTATGATTCATAATTCGCCAGGGGATACAACAAGAGCTAAGGCTTCTTTCTCGATCTGACCATAACGTTTTTCAGCGGCTGTTAGTGTTCTCGAAGCATACATCACTGCTTTCTCTGAACCATCGGAAAAAACATGCAGTAGTACGGCACCCAGTCCATGGGTTGAAGCGTCAGCAGCAACTACAATTGGTAGTTTCGGATTGTAGTGGGTTAACAGTAGTTCAGATCTTAACATGGCTTTAAGTTTTGAAAAAGCTAACTCACATTGCGTGGACCAATTCCAAGTAGCATTCTTTTCTAGCAGATGATTTAATGGATATCGTACATCATGTAGTGATGGTAGAAATGCTGAATAGTAGCTAACCATTCCCAAAAATGATCGCAGTGACGAGACATCAGTGGGAGCAGGCATTTGCTGGATTGCATGAGTATTTTGAGGATCAGGATGTCGTCCAGAAGCATCAAAGATAAACCCCAGGTATTTAACGGAGCGTAGGAAGAATTGGCATTTCTCTGGACGAAGGCGAAAACCATTATTTTGGAGGCGTTGTAGAACTAAATATGTTCTGGAATGCAATTCATCAGCAGTTGAGCCGACAATGAGGACGTCGTCCAGATACGTAGCAACACCAGGAACATCTGCCAGAATAGTATCCATAATCTGCTGGAATATCGCTGGAGCAGTCTTGATACCAAAGGGTAATCGGGTATACTGGAAAAGTCCTCGGTGAGTGTTGATTGTCAGCAATTCTCTCGATTTGCGAGCGACAGGAATTTGAAGGTAAGCATCCGCGAGATCTAGCTTAGCGAAGTAGGTATCACCATTTAAAATAGTAAACAAATCATCTGGGATCGGCTACGGATAATGATGCTGTTGTAGCGCCGCGTTGAGTCCTGTAGAGAAGTCTGCACAGATGCGTATGGAACCATTAGACTTTTTGACAACCACAATTGGTGCAGCCCATGAAGAATAAGAAACAGGTACAAGGACACCTTCAGTTTCCAAACGTTGAAGTTCAGCGTCAACCAGAGGTAGGGATGCATATGGGACTGGACGTTTTGGACGAAAAACTGGCGTAGCTTCTGGCTGAAGTTTCAAAACAGCTTCAGTTGTGGAACAAAGAACAAGACCAGGCTGAAAGAGTTCAATGAATCGTTTTTGGAGGTCTGCAGCATGCTGTTGTGTAGTAGCAAGAGTTTTTACTTGATTACAGATAGTGCTGATCGGAAGATTGGCAAGACCAAGTTCTTCGAACCAATCTAAACCCAGAAGGTTGAGAGGAGATTTGGTGATGTAGCACGTTCCGTTGAAGGTTGTATCTCTGAACGAAATACAGCAATTAAGTTCACCTTGAAGGTGGAGATGACCACCACATGCACTAATGGCTGTCTGCGAAGATGGTTTGATGGGAGGTTGACCCAAGGTTCGCCAAGTATCTTTCGACAGAATAGTGATATCTGATGCAGTGTCCAACTGCAATCAAACTGGCTGACCATTGATTGAAAGGGTAAGAAATTTGCGTCGCGTGGCGGCATGGGTGTGGAAGACTGCTGCTAAACTTCCTGATGAGGGAACCGGCTTTTCAGGATAACGATGCTGCGTCTGTGCATTTCGACGGCTATTGGGTCGATGGGATTGACAAAAACCGCTTTTGTGACCAACTTTATGACAGAGATCGCACAGCTGCTGTTTGAATGGACAAAATTTCACATAATGCCAGGCTCCACAGTGCCAACATGGAGAGGGGGGCTTCTTGTGAACCGGTCTGGAGTAATTAGAAAAAGAAGGAGCACTGGCTTCCGTAGGACCACAGGTCTTCGATCTCGGAGGTTTGTTTTGACGTTGAACAGCCTGAACTTCGGAACCACCCTGGCCCCCAGATTGGACCAAAGTGGTGTTACGCTGCAGGTTGACAATGCGTTGATACTCGTCGGTGATTGCATTAAGTGTCAGCGTTGGATCTTGTTCAAGGCGGTTCAGCAATCGAGTTCTGATTTCGGAGAATTTGGGTGATTGAAGACTACATATGAATACGAGGGATTTGAATTGGTCGTCGGTAAGGGATTTGAGCTTGAATTGTTCGCATTCACGGTTGACAATGCCAACATGGGTTAAGAAGTCATCGGACTCGTTCATGACCAGTTTTAAACAGCGATAACGCGTATTAAAAAGTGAATGATGGTCACCAAAAAGTTGACTTAGAGTTTGAACAGTGGCATCGAAGGAACGGTCTCGTGGGTTCTGCGGTAGAATGTAGTTGCAATACTTATCAAGCTCTGATGGACCAAGTTTTCGAAGGAGAAGACTCACCTTCCACGAATCATCTCTGTCAGCTAGGTCGACTTTAAAAAGATCTTCATAACGTCTGAACCAGGTATCAAATGTAATATTGGCATCAGGATCATAAAGAAACTCTGAAATACCACTAGTAATACCGTCGACTGATTGAGGGATTGTTGGTGTACATGAGACTCGAGAAGAGATCTGCGTCTGAGTAAGCATCTCCATCAGCTTCAGCTGTTGCTTGAACAATTCTTCTAATTTAACTGGATCCATAGCTAGTCAGCAACTTGTTTGCAAAATCTCCGTCGCCAAATTGTTATGACGCGAAATATAGCGTATTGCGATAGGACTACGCGAAATTCTACCGATTGACCAAATTCAGATATCCTAGTTCGACCCCAATACTGTTTCCCAACTCCAATAAATCAGAACACAGCCGTTAAATGAGAATTGTTTATGGGGTCAGCAGCAGAACAAAAATGGTTTACAGACAAGGCATATTTATACAGTTACGATGACTATTAACAGTACCCAATGGAAAGAAAGGACACGTAAAGGTTATAATTAGGACGACTCAAAATTGACCAACAGGGAAACGACACATGAAAGTCATAGTTAGGACACTGTAAATAATGGCCAATAGGAAATAACATGCGAATTATGTGAAGAGTCTGGAAACATACCATTTTACATTCGAGATAATTTTTGGGATATTCTTGTGAATATCCTAACAAACGACACAACAGTTTAACCATCTATTAATAATACAATTAAAAAATATAAATAATAGTTCTTTGTATGGTGGTCTCAAAAGTTGTGCCTCCGCGCGAATCATCTTATTATTTATTAGTCTTACTAACTAGTCATAAGCATGTAAAATTATAGAAGTTTCTTTATTCTTCTGTCATTTACCCAAATATTTTTCATACTCATCCCTTTTTATTTTTTTCTGTTCTATTTTATTTCTTTGAAGAAAGAACAAGCTAACTTGTATAGAACTATTGTTACAAATGAACATTCACGTTTACCATTTCGTTATTATTTAATTGAATTTTATGAACCGACAACATCAGCATTAATGATGATAACAAATCGTAAATTAATCTATCGTACAACATCAGATTTAGGTGATGTATTAAACATGCTAACTGAACAATTTCCTGATGCAAAAATATTAAATCAACCATTGACAACTACAAATCAATCAACATTGAATACATTTTGTATATTTGCTAGTGGGAATTTAGAACCAGAACCTGAAGTACCGGAACATTTGAACTCACGTATTGTTGACACTAAAATTAAGAAGTAAATATTTTAACCTGGTTAAAGTTATGCTTATTTACTTTGCGCTCAGACTCTGACACTTAGTATTGGTTTTAAATAGTTGGGAGTAGTCGATTATAAACTCTGAATCTAGGTTTTGTGCTGATTGACACTCACCGGCAAGATGTACTTGTGATCTTGAGACAACTGTTGTTTCCTGGTGGATTTGAATCTGGTATCACACTTTCATGATTTAAGATGTTACCAATGAGGTATTTAGGGCACACTTCGTCCCCGACGTTACTGAAATATATGGTGATCGATCACAGTGTTGTGCCCAATGTATTGTTTGTTAAACCCTTCGATATTGACCGGATCGCACAGAAAGCATGAGTTCTCTCAGGGTTGTAGGTACGTTTTACTGATGAGTTCCATCTATCATGAAACATTAATCCAACGTTTCCTCCTTCATCCCGGAGTTTATGTTCACTTCGGGGCTCAAACGCAGCGCTATTAACTTCAAACACCATCGCGTTATCCATTTAGCTACTGAATTCAGATAGCCACTAGCTATTGCAATGGGTTGAATTTTAATTCATATATGTTGGTTGTTTGAATTTTCCCATTAATATAGATGATTGGAATTGATCAATCTCTTTTCATCACATATGCATTCTGTGCAGGTTGCCTCGACACTCTCATTAAATCACAAACATTTTAAAGCAGAGATGGAAGGTAGCAAGCTGTCGGATCCCAAATAGGACAAAGCGCATATCCTGGGTTCTATTGTTAGCCATCATTCATCATTTCTCAAAAATGCTTGTAAATTAATAGGAATGTTGTGGCAATTAGCGCAGAATCCATATATGCCGAAAAGAGACAGGTCAATTGGAGTCCGTAACATTAACGGGAAGACTCAAATAACCAATACATTATTGTAATTTCATTCAAATATTTTATGATGTTACTTCGTTTTCACCAAGTGGTGAGACCATAAACTTTAAATTATTTATTTTTTGAATTATATAATATTTACCAATTGACTTACTGAAGTAAGCAGTACGAGTTTTCAGTCGATAACTTCTTGGCAATAATTTGAGTGGTTCAATGGAAATGGACATCAATGGTTTCAAGAAAAACACGTAAAAGTTTCGTATGTGTAAAAGATTTTAAGTAGAAATTTAGAAACGGAAGTTTATATTAATATCAACTGATGGTAGAGTAGTTCATGTGAAGGTATATTTAGACTTATTTATTTTAAATGGTTATCTGGACTCAGTAGCTAATTGGATTGCGTTAGCGTTTCAAGTTCAATGTACTAGGTTGAAAACCCCGAGTACATATCAACTTTGGCATGCATGTAAATGCAACTGATAAGTCCTAGTTAGAACAAAACGTGAAAAATGGACTTCACTGTCGACCATATTCTATCTATTCTGTATTTTCGGAAAAATTTAAATAAAGGTTCTACTATCCAAAGAGATAATTTCTAATTTAAATATTCATGTTAGTTAAAATTCTATTGTTGTATTTCTCACTAGTATGGTATGATAAGTTAGTAACATTGATAGTTAAAGCAATAGACTTACGTTTATTGCGTTACAGATTTGAATCATAGCTTAATGTACTTGCATTTGATCAACTGAATAGTATCACTGAACTTTACGGAATAAACTGGATAAATTAAAATCGATTTTTATTTTCTTGTGCTTAGTAAATGGATAGTTAAATTGAATTATAAATGCATCGACTATCAGTTCTCACTTACTTACTTACTTAATTAATTACTTACGCCTGTTACCCCCATTAGAGCATAGGTCTCCGTCCAGCATTCTCCAGCCCACTCTGTCCTGGACCTTCTTTTCTAGTTCTATCCAATTTTTGTTCATTCTTCTCATATCTCTCTCCATTTCTCGGTGTAATGTGTTCTTTGGTCTTCCTCTTCTCCTTTGGCCTTCAGGATTCCATGTGAGGGCTTGTCTTGTGACACAGTTCAGTGCTTTCCTCAATTTGTGTCCTATCCACTCCCAGAATTTCTTCCCCATTTCTTCCTCCGCTGAATTCTGGTTTATTCTCTTCCACAGTAGAATGTTGCTGATAGTGTCTGGCCAACGGATCCGAAGTATCTTGCGTAGACAACTGTTAATAAACACTTGTATCTTCTGGATGATGGCTTTTATAGTTCTCCGGATTTCTGCCCCATAGAGTAGAACTGTCTTGACATTTGTATTGAAGATTCTAACCTTGGTGTTGGTTGACAATTGTTTTTAGTTCCAGATGTTCTTCAATTGCAGATATACTGCTCTTGTTTTGCCGATCCACGTCTTCACATCTGCATCTGATCCACCGTGTTCATCAATGATGCTGCCCAAATATGTAAAAGTTTTCACATCTTTCAAAGCTTCTCCGTCAAGTGTAATTCTGTTGGGATGATCCTGAAAATTACTCGCAATAGACATGATAAGCTCAGGAAACATTAAGAAGCATTCTATCGAATCAGCGTTTTATTAGAAGTTTAGCTAGAAATATCGCGGAAATTAAAAGTCACATGTAGAGGTTCTAATTAGCTGATTATTACACTGCTACTATGTTTAGTAGTATTCTAGAATTTTCAGGAAAACCCAAGGACTTTTAAAATATTATAAAAACCCTATATTTTCTGTACATAAATGAACCTTCGGAGTAAAGTGCTTCCGGCATATTTTGTGCCTTTTCTCTCGTGTTCAAGTCGCTGTGTAGTTCTATCTTGCGGGTTACGAAACTAGCTTAGGTTCCGAATATAGCGTTCAGTAAACAAGACGTATCAGTGGCGACGGGGAAAAACTAAAATCAGTAAGACGTATCAATAATCTATTGAATAGCATAAACAAAAGGATGTAGAACCCATTTGTTCGTCCTTGAACTGTTTACTTGAAATTGCATACAATATCTACTTGAATACATATTCCACGAAGAAATAGAAAGTGTGTGTGTGTGTACGCCTGAATATCATACCTTTCACTGTAAAAGATTTTGCTGCTTACAATATTTTAATATGAACTATATATATATGATTCTTATGGGGTATTAGGATTTCCTACAGATTGTGTTGCCTTCTCTCTCAGTATTCAGACCTTATTAAATTGTCTTTAGAGATTTTTTCTGGTTTTTCTTGCTTTCACAAGCCTTTTCAATGTAGAAATTATTATTTTGTTTTCCTTATTGTGGGTTTTGATTTTTTTGCACATTTAGTTACTATTCCAAAAATCGTGTGAAGTACTTTTTGAGGCATAGACCGTTGCAACCTACTGAGGTTAGTTTTAATGATGCAGTGTTTTTTAACCTAAGGTAACTTTTGTTTACTCGCCCAGTTTATTTTTAACTAGAACACTTTTAATTTACAGCGAATTTAGTTAAAGGGTTTTTATAGATAGATGGTGGAGGGGATTTGTAGCTCAGGTGAATGAGTTTGGTCGGGTCTAGTTCTCTGAGTTAGACGGTTCAATCGTGAGTTTTTCATTATTCTTTTAAACGACATTATCTCCAGCTTGGCTTGATTTGTACTTAATATTTTTCACAAATTGATGTCAATTGGATTATCTATGGAATCCAGGGTGTAATAAATAGCTGTTTCCTGCTAGCATAAAGCTCAATATTACGCATTTATAACTTTATCAGGGATCAGATCCAGGATGTTCAGGTCTCACTGCAAACTACTGGGTCGAAGTTCAATAGTACAATTTTAGCCTTAATCAATTTTTTATGTACTATGACGAGCACGCACTACCATTGGTGTCAATTTTCCAGGACCCCCTCATTTTTAATGACAAATCAACTAAGGTCTATTTTTACGTAAATACTACATACAGACTTATAAGATATATTCATAATAGCACTTAGGAAGGTTTTTGGTGCAGTCGTTTCGCCTATTTCATTAGGTACACGCATATCTCGTAGATATCTTATCGGTCTCATTGGATGATAGCTTTTTTATGACACAAATCATTCAACTTAGCATTTACTAAGTGACCTGAAAGAAAGTCTTTTGTTTAATCCCTGACGGGGTCATGAATATGCACTACTAAAATTTTTAGAAACTGGGACTTTAAATCTGTTCGGTATTGTTTATTTTTAATAGTTTCCTCAGTAAATTTACCAGTAAACGATGTTTTACGCAATAACAAGTAATGGCGTACGATAAATCACTTCATTAAATTTAATCATGATATAAACAACGATTCATGCAGAAAAATGAAGTTTGGCATTTATCTTTACTATTGAAAGTAATTTTCATTAAAAACAATTTTTTGGAGGATCACTGATAGTCAGAAAATAATGGACAATGATTTCATTGTGACTAGCTGTGAGATTTGGAATGTGCGTTCTATTCACAATTTATTGGGTGGATGTACCTTTCATTCCAGCCTCGATTTTCATAAATAGATCCTTACTTAATCCCTTTATATCTGTTGAACAATTTAGTGACACAGTGGTTCTAGGCGGACCCGACCGTTGCTACTGCTACCCTGACGTGGTGGTTGAGCTTGCCTATCATGATGAAACAATCGAGCTATACTGACTGGAACAATCGTTCCTCAAGGTCATATCATGCCAGAGAGGTCTGTTGAAGATCGGTAAGACTAAAAGCAGTAAACCCAAGGTCCGAAGGCAAAGTTAGCTGCTGACTTTACAGAGGTGTGACGGCAGTAAGTTGTTTCCTTCATACAACCAGCACAACAGTGATGCTGCCTTCACACAAGGAGAGGTGGGGTTAGAAAAGGTCGACCCTAAAAATGCACACCTCGCCTTATCCCACAGATATCCGTCTCCGGCGGTAAGGTCCCAACAAGTACGGAGCTAACACAAAAACTACCCACAAAAAGGTCGTGTGTGACCGACCTCAAGCAGTTTTCCCTTGGGCACTGCGGTCACGCTCTCAAGTCACTAAGACCACCACTAATTCAATTTCCTCTTCAGGTACCTCTAGAAGAACCCTCCCACGGTGTGGGAAACCGGGAAGTGATAACTGCCCTCATACCTGTAACAGCACTCAAGATCACTGTATTCATAACCAATCTCCTTCGATTCTTATTATTCATATTATTATTAGTGAATGTTTATCGACTCAGATGATCTAGACATGTATTACATATCCTCCTTCATCGACTACCACTACACGCGATAAATAACTCATATGGGATTAGGTTGTAAGGAATGTATAGACTTGCAAGTTAAGGAATGACCTTAGAACATGACAACAAGAGCTATTGAGCTGAGTCATATAGGTAGATGTTCATTATCTAGCTGTGGTCTGCTTGAATATCGTAGCTAATAGTTTAAAACTTGAGGTTGCATTGCTCAATAATTGCATCTCGCTATGCATAAAGGGCTTACCAACTTGAACTATACATAATTCTACGTTGAATTTGATCCAGCGACTGACCGGTATTGGAAAAGTTGATTTGCTTATTAAAAATTCTCAGTTTAACTCGTTTATTTATATTGTTTCAATTTTAATTTTTCTTGATTCCAGGAAAAAGATGGTCGTCTTGTCACTAATACAGAAGAAACTCGTTATTGTATTGCAGAGCCAATGCCAAATATCATTCCTATTATGCCAGTAGATAGAGTGGAAATTGTAAGTTAATTAGTTCTCTTGCCCGTAAAAAAAGTTTATATCATGAGATATGAAAGCAATTGTAGAAAGATTGTTAACTGTATAACACGGAATAGTTGATTATCCCTATTATTTAGGGACTCTATTGTGAGTATGTATGATTATGTCCGGGGTCGAACCTATGACCTTATCTAATAGTAACCATACTTTCTGTAGATTTCTATATCTTTCACAACGGGTATAAACCCGTAAGTTCTCTCAAGATTACAAGTACATTTTACTAACGAGTATCAAATAGTACAAAACCTAGATTCAGGGTTTCTTATCGACTACCTTCAACCGCCACCTTGTGGGAGCACGTTTCACACATTGTTTTCTTTAAATCCTATAAAATTTATATCAAATCAGTATCATTTAATTTTTTATTCTTCTACTCTATTTTCTGCATACTTCTTGGAATAATTGACATTTAGCGTATGTTAAGTCAAACAGAGTGGGCTAATAAACAAATTCAAGGGATTATACAAGCGTTACATGCTGACTTAATCTCAGCCAAATCACAAGAGGCTAATCTATCTCAATATATTGGTAAACTTGTCTCATCTATCCAGTCACCTGTTAGTGGCGGTGTGCCGAAATTAGTGGTAAGTTCTTTTAGATTATGTGTGTTTTATTTGAAGAGAATATATTTACTTAGAATCTGGTCGTTTGATAATGCATATTTAGCGATTAGACTGTATATGTTTGAAGTTTATATGATTTGAATTTTTCCGTTTACTGGACGTAATTAAACCTCAACAGACGTAAAATTTCATTGCTTTAACAGATAACATTATCTTATTGAATTATCCACTTGTATATGGCTTATTTTCACCATTTTAAGAACAATAATTATAACTATAGAGTTGGATAATGAAGTTTATTGAAAATAATTGTTCGTTCCAATATTCTTTCTCCTGTTTATATCGAGTGGTATGAATCTACTATGGGATGAGAACAACTAAAAGTCACCTGTCAATCAGTTACAAACAAAATAAGATCTAGCATATTTACATATTAATCCTCTTCAAATAGCTACTACACTTCACGTCATAATATTAAAGGGAATTAAAAATTATGAAGAGCAAATAAATCAAAATAATACTAGGATTAGTAGCGGCAGTGTAGTGAACGCTACTCACAAGAATGCCAGTAATTTGTGTATAGCACAACGTTGCAAAGCTTGTCAGACAGAGTGAAGAGTTTGAATACATTAAAAGCACATCGTTGTCATAACGCTTGGAGACCAGATGAGAAGACAATTTAGATGGCAGAACACACCGAAATATGCAAATGCACGATTCAAGGCTACGTGTATGTATTATGTAACTACTTTGTAACTTCTCGCAATATACATGCATTCCTACTGCCCATTGTCTTGTTTTACAGTAATAGGGTATCAGTGATAGTAAAAGACTAGACATTCTAGAACAGATTTATTGTTATTGATAAGGGTTTGATGCTCAAGATTGAAACTTTATTAGTCTTTGTTGAGTGAATTGATTCGATATCACCATTTTGTTACAACGTATCTATCGATATCGACACTAAGGTATAAGTTCATCCAGTTAATCAGTTTCAAATTGGCCAAAATAGGCATCGCAGATTTTATTGACAGTCACAATTAACCTATTCTATAAACTATTGAATGGAGATAAAAAATGTCATAACATTAAATGAATACATTCATACCGGCACGCCATGTTTCAAGTCATAACATCTAAAGTTCATCTGTGTGCTACGATGGGTTAGTGGTTACAGCGTTCAATCTCCAATCACCCTACTTCACTTGCTTCGCTTTGAGTAACCCGTTCGTATTACTTTTTAATGAATAGTCACGAATCATGAAGTTTTTCTGCAACCATCAATTATAACCGTCTCATGCTGTGGATTTCTAACAAGTGATTTGCAACTCATAGAGTAATGGCTCGGTTCAACAATTAAGGATCTTTTCAACTGATATAATGTTCTGTGTATTCAGTTTGCGAAACAAAACGGTCATATTGTAATGGACGAACACTATTGTGGGGAAGTCCAACTTATTATTTATTGCAAAGTTACAGAATGTCTTCATAAAATATGAAATACATTATTTGCACATCTTCCATCAATCATCTGATACAAACTTCATCATTCCTCCCTTCCTGTTGTGATTACAATTACTCCCTGTTTATATTCCTATTCTCGTCAATCCAACCTCAATCTCCTGCTTCCAGACACTCCACTTCTGGTTGATGTTGCATACTACTTATACTTGTTAATATAAGTAGCATACACCACTATATATATAATTGATAAATGAAGACCGTAACTAACTGGATTGTTTGAATTATAAAGTAATGTGGGAAAATATAGACCAAGTTGATTATATAGGATTCTTAAAATGCATCATAACTCCACTGAATGTATTCATTTATTCATCTTTTTTAGTCCTTCACATTTTATTAGCTTATACTCATTTTTCTCTTTTCTCTGTAATTCTACAACGATTTTTACGCTTTTTATCTCTCATAAGTTTCTCCACATTCAGCAGTTTTCTGTATATTCATCACTATTATCACTTAATAACTTTTTTTAAGAATTACTTCGATAATTTTATCTCTCTGTGTTAATGTTATATGGGAACTTGAACCGATATATGTTTATGCCAAGTTCTACGTTCCATATTATTGACTATTTTTATTCAGTTTGATAAAATTAAAATTTTTCCCTGGTTTTTTCCTCGATATTCTAAACTATCATTTTTGTTTGTTTTTTCCTGCTTATCATTTAATACTTCAAATCAGTCATACTATTTGCGAGTTAAGTAAAAGACTAGAAAGTTTTTTATATTCATTATTATTCTTGAGAGTAATAATTGATATCTTTTCCACTGTCAAATCAGTTTATATTCTGTAATCAGTGTTCCAATTTGGTGTGATGCTCTTTTAAAAGTTTCATGAACACTTATTAAGTAGTTGTATTTCTTTTTATATTATATATATAGTCAGTCACTCTATTAATAATCTTTTCTACTACTTCTACTGTTCTGGGATTTTATCTGGCTGTGCTAATGTTAGTGTGTGGCAACCCGAACTAGTCACCCAGTTGCAGCGTAGAGCCTGTACATATTTACACCGATTCACGTTGCTATACCCCATAAGCACTGAGAGATGAAGTCAGGTCAACTCTCAAAATAGTAGAGGCCGTAACAGTATAATTGGTAATAGGAAAGATTTAGCATCGAAGATGCTACTCGAAAATAAAGTACAAAATAATGAAATAAAAACAAAAAAAACAGTTATGAGGAATTTAGAATTTCAGAATTTAGGGGAAGACAAAGAACAGATGCACCTGCGCTATTACAAACGATTTTGAGCCATATCATTCAAAGTTTCTAACCATTGGTTACGATAATAATGCGGAACCCAACCAGGTAGTCTACACTTATCAACATAGCTAATTCCATTTGTCCACTGACTTCATGAACTGATGACATGTTTTCGTTTGGTCTAAACACGTTTCAGATTCTATTTCGCATATAAAATGACAAGCTGACTGATGAATTATTTGATTGACAAATAATTAAAACCGATATTTATTAGGAAATCCTTATTATTTGTAAGAATAAATGACGGAATTTTTAAAATGATATTTGTGATTTGTCCTCCATTGATGGTGATAATGTCTGACTTTTACCATTCTGTGATATCATAGAGAGTCATGATACATGCATATCACTTATTAGAGGATGAAATAAATTTTGCAACTTTTTACCACTGCCATCTCGTCATCATCAGCATTTCTATTTTCATACTTATTATTTTTAATATCTTTTTTAGAAAGACGTTGAACTATCCGATGATCCACGACAAGAAAAGTGTTTCTCTCAATTGGCTGACAGTGTTTTAGAATTACTGGAATTACAGTTAACGTTTTTGAAATTTTGGTATGTAAATGATCCACCACCACCGCCTCCAGCATCTCATCGTTCAGCTGCTATGTATAACGTTGATATGGTTGGTAATGTAAGTAGTTCTACTGTTGGAGGAACTACAGGTAGTGGTAATTATCTTTTGCATGAAATGATCGGTTACTATGAAGTACTGGTTCGTGATATGAGTAGAAAGTTTGGCTTTTCTGTTGATCATTTAAATGCAGACCACCTTCGTTATGGTCCAATATCTACAGATCGTCAAAATAATATTATTAATTCTACTAGTAATGTTAATACTAATTTATTATCACCTCTTCGTCGTAATTCACGTTCATCACAAAAGTAAGTTGTATGTTTCATTTTATTTATTAAACTTCTTATACCTAGAAATTAATTTAGTGAAGGGATTTAGTTGAAGTTTAATAAGTCCATGACACAATCGATTAGTCATCTGTAACCAATTTTGACCTGAGTTAAATATTCTTTGACCTAGGCTTCTACACCACATCTGTATAAGGAGATGAAATTGACAAGATAAACAATAAAATAATCGTTTTAGTAATGGCAATGAAAAAGATTAAACATTGAGATTAGTGTTCGAAAGTACTGAATGAAAAGCTGTGTTTGATGGAATATTAAAATTCAATATCTGGAGGAAGACAAAGAGTGAATGCATCTGAACCACTTTGACCGATTCTAAGGCCATGTCACTCAATATCGTCAACCATTGATCTCTATTATAGTGCGAACCATAATCAGGTAGTATGTACCTACCAACATGGCTCAGACCAACAGTTAATTACTCCGTGGATTGGTTCTACGTTTTGGCTTGCTCACTCCTAACTTTATTTCAACCTACTACTACACCGCCCTTGAGAGTTAGGCGGTGGGCGGGCGTACATAACACATATCAATCACTTCGGTTGATCGAGATTCACGAATTCACTAAACAGTTCCTATCTTTTTCAAATATCGTACGAATAACCATAGCATTGCTTACTTGCTCGTTCCACGATACCCAAGTAATTCTTTGAAATTACTGATTATCAAACACGTACAACCTACACATATCTCCTATTTTCAGAGACTATGTTTCACAGCCATAGAACAATACACAATGAACTTACTGTTCAATTTACTCGCCACTTGGTTGGCAGATAGACATCATTTACACCACAGGCGATGGAAGTTAGTTTAATTAGACACCAATTCAACAGTGCTGATATGACTTCCAGTATAAGTAAAGTGGTCTATATGTTCAACTACTTTACTCACTATTATCAGTTTAGATGATGATATAAACCAGTTTGAAACAATGTTTTGCATTTAGATGGAGCGAAACGCTTTCCAAATATTCTCTCATTGTTACCCAAGGTAATCAAAAGACTCTACATTATGTTACGGTATTTATCGAATAGGATTCTTTGGTCTATCGATTCTATCGGTGTCACTAATGATTCCTTGAATCCTAATCATCTGAGATTGTCTACATATTTTAATCTTAACCAACTATTGTTTACTGAACCATCCTATAGTCACTTACGAATTCTTGTGCGGAGCAAGGAGGTTATGAAGTGATGAACTGTAATGAGTTCAATAGATATATATTCTTGTTAAGTCTTAATTTTCTCACTTCTTTATTCTTATCAAAGAACATGTATATTCTTAAACCATATCGTTTACATGCTCCAAGTCGATAGGACAGCCCTTTAGCTGAATTAATCAACAGGTGAATATATATAATTCCATAAGTATATTAATACTGAAATTGACTAGACTTTCTTGCAATAGATATCATTATCAACACTACTTGCTATTATCTTCACATGTAATGTCTCTTCACTAAAACTCCAGAGACTTTTAGTTTGAGTATTGGGACCCCTTAATAGCATAGCATGATATATTTCTTAGGGTTACTATTTTTTCAGACTATAGGACACAACTTCCTGATGTTTGGAATTATATACCACCTTTAAGTTAAAAAAATATCAAAGCTTATAGTACCAGTAAACATCATTATGTTCTAGTTATTCACTGTTAATTATGATATATTCTCTTAATTACTATATCGGTCAAGTTTAATGTTATTAAACTGTCGAGACTTATTCAATTCTAGGAAATTTAACTATATATTCTTAGATTCGTTGAACTTCTGCTCTTCCACATGTTTTATTCGTCTGTTTCACCATACTATGACGTTTACGGTTAATAAAATAGCCAGCCATAATCTATATCAGACCCTGATAATTTTTACTATTTACTAGTGACAATTGCTTGCTCATCAGTACATATATACAAGTCAATCTGATACAGAATCTTTCCTTGCCTTAATTTCGACAATTGGTCTCTAAAATCATGTACCGAGTACAAGTCTACATGGTTAACTTTTAAATTACGTATTGTATTCGAGTCCTAGTAATACTACTTAATACTCAACAGTTCAAATTAAAATTAATGTAGTTTAAGGTTTAAATCTACGACCTAATAGTTTGAAAAACGGGTACTTCACTACCCATTTACTAATCGCTCCACTTTACTTTCTATACCATTCGATTCGCTTTCTCCAAGCTATGTTTAGATTTCTGATTATTTTGGTGATCAATAGCTTTATTATATGGGTGATATATTGCATGAAACTCTTAGTGTAGGCAAGAGATAACATTTTCATTCTTTGACTTCTGAGGTGTTGGTGTTTTACCAGAAAATTCATTTGTTGACTTGGAATGCGCGGATGATATAGTTCTGTTTGGTGAAGACGCTGAAGAAAATCTAATCTTCTAAACAGACAAAAATACAAGCATGTCTGAGATACGATTATCTCCCTCTAAATGTGAAACGTTTCTAGAGGATTAGCTTGCGTCAGAACCAGGATTAATGGTAGGAAGTGAAGTATTTGGACGCACCAACCTCTTTACTTATCTTAGGAGTCTCACCAGTCCTAATGGTCTATTGTCCAACGAAATCTCAGTATGGACTCGAAAGGCTCGATTGACTTTTGTCAATTCGTGTCACTTGCGGCTTAGGTGTGATATCCGTCTTTTAACAAAAGAGCGAGTATATTGTGCAGCAGTTTGCGAATGTCATAACGTGGATTTAATGCCCATAGCAATGTAATTCTATGACTGAGTAATATAATTGCGTATTTGCCATAATTTTATATCGATAGGAATACGGATAATAGTTCCACCGTGATAATGACAATATGGCAATAACGATAATGGTAATGGAATATTTCACGTAATACATAGATGAAAAGAATTGATACACTGAAAAAGTAAAGATAAGACAATAGGATTTGTTTATATACATGTCTTTGATATACTAGCTTCTCTGCTTGAGCCGGTTTCGAGAGATTGAGTCATCTATGTTGTTCATTGACTAAGTCAGCTACGTTGAGTTCGTTCATCGAATGCACAGAGTTCGGAAGGTTCTCCGTCAAAGTAGCTTGCTAGTGATGTTAAGTTTGAAGCAGGGCTCACCAGTTTAGTGGCCCGTTGATCTGAATCAGATTTGATTGTATGATGATGTCAACGAAATATGAATAACGGCTACCCTCGTATATAATTATCGACTTAATTCACGTTAGAGAATGACAGAATAAATATATCAGGCACGAGAATGAATTTTGGATAAACATATTCCATATATTCATTGTCCCAAACAGACAATGAGATAAACGAAGCGGAGAAACCGGCTGGAGAAGGCAAATATTCCAATTCTTTATACCACTCATTACAAGCGTCAACATACCTCAAAATGGATAGTGGGTAGTGTGGCAAATACAGGCATTGGATGAAACAATTAGTGATAGACAAACACACAGGTATACACAAGGCGCATAAGCATAGAAATACAAGGAAGTAAAAATAGGACAAGTATGTTCTCTGAAGTTCATACTTTCCTATAAAAACAAAAGTTATCATGAAGGTAAAAATAACTCAATGTCGTATGCTTTTTGAATTATTTTAAGTCTTTTCAAAAGCTAGGATGAATCATGTGTGTATTGGCACTAGGCACTACAGTGCCCCCAAAATGCCCTGGTACGGCCGAGAGTGGGGAGAGTACGCTCTCTCTCTCTCCAAATCCTCTCACATGGCCACGCGAATATATAGCCTCTGCCAGGGAAGTCCTACTCACTGCCTTCTCGTGGCATTACTGTTGTTTACGAAATTGAGAGGACGAAAAGCGAATGTCCGGCGCTTTAACCGGGTTGGTGGACACGGAGTTGGAAAACCCTGATTCCAAACCAATGGTGCACATGGGCTCCAGGATCCTGATGGAACGAATGGCGTATGAACCTATTGTTGGTCACCGGCTACCATGGGACTGCATCTTCTTACGATGCTCCACTGCCTTGTGGATCAGACCTTTAGGTCAAAGGCTCGGGGTGTGGCCCCCTAAGAAAACCACCTGCTTCAGTCTGAGCACCTGGGCAGTATCACAGCCCTCATACAAATCGAATGAGACTTGTGAGGCGCATATTTATCTGGTGCTTTTTGTACCAATATTTATGTGTTTAAATAAATAAATAAAGGCACTACAGTTGTAACCGGTGATTCATGTTTTTGAATGACAGCTCGGAATCATTCTCAGTAGCGCACGTATATTCATTCTTTGTCTTCCCCCAAATATTGAACTTCAGAATTCTTCATAACTTTTTTGTCTCACTAATTTATATTTTCTTTTCGAGTTGTATCTTTGATATCTAATCTTTTTAATTACTATTGATACTTCTACTACTTTGAGATTAGACCTGACAATTTGATCTCTTAGTGCTAATGAGGTATGGCACGTAGGATCGATGTAAATACGTGCAGGTTCTACGTTGTGATTGTCTGACTGACTCATTTATTCACAGTTTGAGCGTTATATTAAGTATTAGTTTAATTTAATGATAATGTGAGTTATATCTTTATGTATATCGTGTATCTAGCATTGTGAATACTGGTGTTGCGACAATCGCCCAATCAACTGTCCCAAGAATTTTCTCGAAACCTGATCATTCTGGATCTGATCATGGATCGTCGATTCGTTCATTGCAAAGATCTTTCCAAACGGTAATTTTAATCTATGCATTAGTATTATTATTTTATTGGTAAAATTCTCCATATAATCATACCACTCTTTGAAAGTTCGTTTTACTGAGATCGTTTTTAATCTCTAAAAATATACACCATAAACTAATGTATTTAAACTGAACAACGTATACAAAGTCAGATTTCAATTATGAACGTGTTTATTTAAATCTTTGGTTTGTAAATGATTTGTTCAATTTTATGTAAATGGATTCGGTTGAAGTCATTAGTCCCGAATCCAATGACTGAATGATATAATAGTTACCACAACTCTTTAAAGTCTCCTGTATTCGTTAAAGTGTGTGTGGGGGGGTCAGTTGTAGGTATAGATTGTTAAATAGTCTTGTATTAGTGCTAAACAGCTGTTTAATACTCTGTGTTTGTCAATAGTTTTACAGTTGTTATTCAATTCACTGAAGTAGTTTACAGTCAATAGAAAAATCAAAAAATCGACTCTGTAAGCAGAGACGAAAGGTGGATAGCAGTGTAATGCAGGACAGGCCTTTCGTCTTATTTTGAACTCGTCAGCTGAATATATCTGCACCCCAGCGTTTATGTTCACTCCGGGACTCAAATCATGTGCCGTTGTTTCTAACACCATCACGTTATCCATTTAGCTATTGAGCCCAGATATCCATTGGCTTATGCATTAGGTTGAAGTTTGATTTATTTGTTTTGGTTGTTTGAGTCTTCTCATTGACCAATTGGAGTCCTAAACATCAATGTAAAGATTCAAACAACCAATACAAATTCATGAAAGGTTTAAACTGTTGACAGAGTTCCCAAAAAGTGTTTCTAATTATGTATTGTAATTTCAACCAGCTTTAAAGTTGTTTTTATACCATAAATTGACTGAAACTTTAAAACATTGAACATTGGATTAGGAATGCTGATATTATATGCACTTACGTGGAGCAAAGCTAAAACTTCTGTGCTTGATTAGCAAGGTAGTATAAAAGTATTATGCTTGACTTACAGCGAACTTATAACTAATAAATGTTTAATTGTACAAGCCCGGGATTTAACATGTTAATTTTATCTTCGTGTGCTAAAGTGGTGCAGCAACTTGAAACGAAACACATGCGTACCGGATTCTATGGTGCACCTAACTAACTGTATTGCTTTTGTTCTTGTGTTTCTGTTTTTTTTTTCTGGATCACTTTGTTGTATATAATTTCTTCAAATAGTTCTTCTCGTTGTTTGTGTAGATTAATCTAAAAATGGATCCTTATTCATATATCGCGGCAATTCTCTGAGGATGCACACATATAAGCTACAGAGACTGAAGAGTTTCAGTTCCTAATATTAAAATAACGTTTCTGTGGCTTTTCTACATCCAGTAAAACTCAGATAAATACGTGCTCCAAATAGATCATGATCTGATTCCTAACATGTGCTCCAGAATGAGCAAAAGTCTTCTGTTGAGCCTCTCCAACAATGGCTAATGACTGTGATGTTTTCGAGTCTATCTGTTTGTCGATTGTGAGGGTTACTATGTCAGACGATGTTTCTCTTTGTGTTAAACGTCGGTGTTTTCCAGAAATAAACAATTATCTGAGTATCGTTACAGTAGATGGGGTTGCCCTCTATCTGTTCTCTGAGCCGCGACACCGTATGGTTTAGTCTACTTATTTGAGCATTGCAATCACCTGCCACTATTACTATATCACATCGTTTAGCTTTTTGAAAGAAGTTGAATGACTTCCCGAAAAATTCATCTTTAACTTCATCTGTGCTGCACTCAGTGGAAGCGTAGGTAGAGACGACAAGAGGATGATAAGGTATGTCCCTATCTTTTCGATTTCTTGCCGTTCCGTTTAGTCGGATAGCTCACAAGCAGTTTCTATTGGAGTCCAGTCTGATATTCTCTTCTGCTTTTGGACTTAATGCTTTAACTACACTAGTGAGGCAGTAGGAAGTATCAATGAGGTTTTATGATACTCGACGAGTAAATTGTGCTTGTTCTCCATATTGACCAAGTGAGGTCAAATAAATGAATGTATTTGAGTGGTTGTCATTTTACGGTTGTTTGCACCGTGAAAGGATATGTCTTGTTGAGGAACCTTAAAAAGTATCTGAATTAGTGGTGGTCTTAGCAACTTGAGAGTGTGAACACAGAGCCCAAGGGGAAACTTCTTCAGGCCGGTTGTGCACGAACTTTTTATGGGAAGTTTTTGATGTGTTAGCTCCGCACTTCAAAAGGCCTTACCGGCGGAGACGAAAATCCGTGGTGTAAGGTGAGTTAGTACATCTTTAGGGTTGACCTTTTCTAACCCCTTCCTTTCGTTGTGAGGAGGTAGCATTACTGCAGATCCAATTTGTCAAAATGGCAAACCTTACTGCTACCATAACCCTTTACAATCGGCGGTATGACTTCTTCGCATCTTAAGTTATTGCTTTTAGTCTTACGGTCCCCCAACCGACTGCCTGGGATGTTGAAACGTAAAGGAGCATGTGTTCCAGCCAATATAGCTCGGTTGGGTCGTCACGATAGGCAGACCCGACCACCACGTCAAGGTGGCAGCTACGGTCGGGATAAAAATAACGGTAAAAATCAAATCCTTGTTTATACAACGTAACTACATAACGGTAGAACATGTTGATGGTTATCTGGACTCAAAAGCTCCATGTATAACTCAGTGACAATCGGATCGGAAGTTTAGGGTTTTAAATCTCAATGTGAATATCAACACTGTGATACATATATATCCAGTTAAAGAATCACAGGTAGGACGCAACAGGCTTCTTGAATTCCTCTACTAGCCACATACAAAATATATTAAGGTATACAGAGATTGTTCTGAAATCATTCATTCTACCTAGTATATTAGCACATCAAGTTTCGAAAATTCATTATTTATTATTTGTTACATTCTCTGAGTTGGGGGATTCCTTAAACGTCAATATAATTAGGTGATGATAATGAAATTTGTTAATAATACGAAAATTATCACACTTTATAAACATGATACTATTCATATTTATCATTTGTTTTTATAATACCTTTTCTATTCAACATGAATTATGTGAAATTGTTTATTTTGTTTTGTTTATGGATGATTTCATTTGGAGTTTTTTTTTATTTTAAATCTCAGTAATTGACACCATTCACTTCAAAGTATTTCATATGTTTATTGTTCAGTTTACTTGATTACTCGTTTTATTTATAGTACCATCAAGTCTTTATCATTGTGTTTGCGTGTTCGGAATTGCAAAAAAATTTTTAAATTCAAGTTTATATGTATAGATAATCGTATGAGGTGATTCGACTGTACAATGGTTAATTCTAACAAGTATTGAACCTTTGACCACAGTAATTTTATGTGCTAGTTCTAAGGAGTTATTATATTTTATGTGTAAATTTGAAAGAAAAAAACACTTGTAGTCCATTGAAAAATAGTGGTAATTATAGTCAATTTATTCAATAATATATATTTAATTATGTAAAGTGGTTTTCAGTGAGAAAAAAAATACTATGACATGTTGTTTTAATGAATTCTTCTTACCTGTGACGTAATTTATAAACAGTATATTAAAATTCAAATGATAAATTTGTAGAGACTGTTCAATTTAAAGAATTTTTACATCATTGATTGACTTTAACTTAGATAAGATGGTTGTTAGGTACTAGTATATGATTCTAAAATCGTCAGTAATCGAACTTAGGACCCTTGGGCCTCATTAAATTTGACTAATAAGTCGGTAACTTGGGTGTGTGTATTGATAAGGAACCCGATATTGTGAAGAAACACCTTAGTGTTTCCTGATTTCTTTTTCACATAGTTTTGGCGTTAAATCCAACCTTTCATGTAGTCCATCTTCAATTTTACTATGAAATGATTTTGTAACAGTCTTTTACAGCTAGTTATTTTCATCCATAAGTATTCTAGCAACACACTTATCTGTTGGGGCATCGTTGAAACAGCTTTATGAGGATCTGTGTATTCTGGAATCGATTGTCCGTTACTTCTAACTTAGG